CAACAAAGCCCTCCTACCTACCTACAGCAGAAACGAACCCACCCCGGGCACTACTTGCCACGGTGCACGGGGAGCAAATCTCGGAGGAGTTGCGACCAGGAGCCACAGCAGCAGGTGGGGTCCATCAGCATGCAGGTGGCTTCCTGCTTCCAGTCTACCAGCAACGTGCTTCTTAATCTCTCGCGCTCAGCGTGCTTGCATTACGAACATGTCTTTCCTCTGGAAGCCTGTGTAGTGCCTGCTAGGCGTGTTTTGTCCGGGGCGGTCGGTAGCAGGACACTTCACGTCGTGACTGCCCCATGTGCCGCGGCGTCAAATGTATGCATAGGCGGTTTGCCCCTCCATCCTCTGTACAGCATGTTTTTTTTATGGAATGGCCTCATCAAATGGCCCAAACAGGATCCGTACGACGGTACTGCGTCTTGGCTGCATACAGTGTACAGCAGTCAGACCACGTCATCCGCCAAGATGCGCTCTGCACACCGCAGCAGCAGACGGAGCGGTAGCAGATCCGGTGGCAGAGCAGCAATCCGAGGTACCGGCCTACTTGTCCTTTTCAGCTTGCAGGGTCTGTGCTGGCTGGCAGGCCTTGCGGGCGGCATGGAGGTCCACCCGACCCATGGGTCACACAAGATGTTTACATCAGGTGCCAGTGAACACAAGGTAAGAGGCATCTGCGGTCCATGCGAGAATGCATGCTGCTGTGATGGTGAGCCGCTGCCGGACCGGGAGTATATAGCCCCTTAGTAACGCAGCATGCATGGGGAGCCTTGGCCGCCTAAATAGGAGCCAACCGTTCAGGTTCCTTTTCGTTAACAAGTTGCCCCAGCTGCCTGGACTACTGCGGCCGTAGGATCGTAAATATGCACTGCACTTCACGTCTTTCTTTTGTCTCCCGCTTGTCGCCTGTTATTCTGACCCTGGCAGGTCAAGGAGGAGGATGTGTTTGAGGTCATTGCAGGCGACGCGACCGCACGTGAGCTGCTCACCACCATTCGATGTAAGTCCCATGGTTTGCGCCAGTCCACGTGCAAAAGACTTCCAGCGGTAGCAGACCGACATTGGGATGCCTCAAATGCACCTCTAACAGGTTTCACCCAGAAGGCGAACGATCCCGCGCAACGTCCAGCCGCCGTCTGCTGCCACACACCACCAGCCATTCCAACATACCGACTACCCCTTCCGTACAAACCCACAGCATCATGCGCACTCCATTCTCAATCCCTTGCCGGTTTTCAAACCAAGTACGACCAACCAACCCACACCTTTCCCCCCTCCTTCCCAGCCGGGCCCTTGCCCGGCCTCAGCTTCGGCCCTGGTCTCGCCGCCGGCCCAGCCGGAGGTGCTGGAGCCGCCGCCGCTGCAGCAGCCGGTCTGGCGGGCGGCGCTGCCTTTGCAGAGTACGTAACGCTAGGTCAGGACCCGGTGGCCATCGCGCTACGGCAGCTGAGCGTGGTGGCGATAGATGTGTACGGCACTGCAGTACGCAACAGCATCGTCAGGTAAGTGGGTGGGTGTGTAGGGAGGTCTACCGGCATGAAGCGGGGTTCAAGTAGCCTTACGCAAGCCGTACGGAACTGCCTTCGTAGTCATCGAGTACGTGAATGGGCATGTGTTTTGGGGTGAGCCGGTGAATGGGCTGGGGACATGCTGGTACCTCTTTACCCCACATGAAGATGGAGGACGGGTGGTACGTCTTGTTGTACTGTCCATGGGGTGCTAGAAGGTCACGCTGGTTGGGTAAACACGTGTACGGGCATGTGTGCATTGTTCCTGTGGTCGCGCTGCTGCCCCCCTACAACTGCCACACATGCCCTTCGGTTTCCTTATTACTGCACTACTGTGCTGTTCGCTTCTGTGCTGCGCTCGAAATCGCTCACCTCTCCCACCCCCACCTCCCTCCCTACCCCCTCCGTCACATTTACCCTCCCCCCCGCCCTCCTTTCCCCCCGCCCTCTCAGGGCGTTCCGTGACATCGATGCGCAGCTCAACCGCTACTCCGCCTTCCTGACTCGTGAGGTGGACGCGCTGGGCGACAGCAACCTCATTGAGCTCGTGGCGGCCATACAGCGGGACATCCGGGTGCGGGGGTGATGATGAGGGGCGGGAGGGGAGGAAGTAAGAAATGAGAAGTTAAAAGCAACACGAGTCCCAATCCCATGTCCCGACTCAAGGGCTGCAAGGGAGGGGGAGGGGGAGGGAGCGCGGGTGGCGGCCTTTAAACTGCAAGGCTGGTGCTGGCGCCCCCCTCCCCTGCCCTGCAGCCTTCATACGCAGTATGGCTTATTACCTGTAACCGCATGTACTGCATGTGTAATCCGTATGCAATATCAAAAATCTCAAAATACATGCAGGTGCTGGTCATCGTTCGGGCGGCTCTGGAAGACATGCGGGAGAGGATGGTGGGTGCATGCAGGGTGTCGGTTGGGGTGATGAGGTTATCGCATATCCCAGCATCCGTGTTGGGATCCCCACCAGTAGAAGGAGCTGATGGCAGGTGGGACGAGCACACATTCCCCGTCCCGGAGGAGCGAAGACAAGGGGTGGTACGGTACCGAACTAGTGATAGGTGTATCGAAAGGTGTGTGTCTGGTAAGGTGCGTCTTCAGGCGGCTAGTCTCTAGGATGGGCACAGGGTATATCACAGTATAAGATTAACGCTTCACGTTGTCATCTCCTTTCCACTCCTCTCCTCGTGCGCGCCTCCCCGTCCCCCCTGCCCCCCTCCCTCGTCCCACCACAAACAGAACACCTACGTGCAGTTCCTCCAGAAGGCGTCCTCATCCTGGTTGGCCTGGTGGTACGGCATCCAGGCAGGTTGCCGTACATAGCGGGAATTATAAAGGGTACCTTTTGTCTAGGCCGACGAAAGACCCGTGGGTCACCGCCGCGGGTCGCATCGATTAGTGAATGGCATGCTTCCGATAGTGAACTTCGCCCTATCGAACCCGACGCCATGCAAATACTCTTCAGCAGCCCTACATCCTATCCACCCTGCCCGCAGTTTCGTTTCCAGTCAATCCTCCTCTCGCTACAGTCGACGAATGACCCATTTGGCTTCGAGTACGTCCGCGTGCTGTACAGGTAGGCTGCCGTACAACCTGCCGAACGATTTGCCATCTGCTCGTGCACTGGGTCGTAAAGCCGTTCTCGACGCCGGAGCTGCCATACCAAATAAATGAACTAATTTACAAACAAAATAAGCCAAACGCTATGAGGCTGTTACCCCGGCTATCCTTGCTGGCGCTGCTGCTGATGCTTGGCCCCTGCTGCTCCTGCTGCCTCTGCTGCCCCTGTTGCCCCCCCCCCTGCTGCTGCCATGCCAGTCTTTCCGACGTGACCAAGCTGGTCGCCCTGATCCTGAAGCCCTTCATTCGGGAGGTCAAGGAAGCGCAGTGAGTGAAGAGGCGGATAGGGCGGATCGAGCCGCGGGAGGTGCAGCAGCGGGCATGCATGCGACATGCATGCCTGACCGATGTGAGGAACGGCAGCAGCGCTCGATTGCAGGGCGAGCCGGGTTACTATTGACTTATGACCGTATTCCCCCATATACCTCTGCAACCTGTCTCCATCTGCATGAAGCATGATATGCTGATCCTGGACTCGCGGCATGCTTCTCCTCCCCGCCCGCCCGCCTGCAGGGCCTTCTTCAACCAGCTCAACAACATCCTCTTCGCCGAATACACCCGGGAACGGGACCGCTTCACCGTCACAACCGCCCTCGAGCTGCCCGTGAGTGGTGCATCCCTTCTTTTCCTTGGCCCCCTCCCCCGTTACCGCAATTCGACCCCTCCGTTTTCGGTTCACCTCCTCCTGTTAGCTTCGTTCATGCATGTACCCGGCATTCAAGCACGCCGCTCGTTCCCCCTCGCCGCCGCAACAAACAATACACGGTGTTAAGACCCCCAACAAACGACACACGGTGTCCCAGTTCGTTTAACTGGTACCCTATCCAATCCCTGTGCCCAAATGTCAGCTCACCCTACACTACCCCGCTGCCCTCCCCTCCCCAACTCTCCCCCAGGGCCCCATCGGCAGCGGAGAGAACCTGGCTGCCCTCGAGGACCAGATCCGCGTCCTTGCTGAGCGGGTGAGGCAGGCGGGCGGGCGGGTAGCTGCATGCCTTATACACAGGGAACCGTAGTAACGGCCATCCATCCAGGTAGCTAGGTAGGCGGGCAGCAGGCCCGTACGGCAGCAGGCCAAGCTAACCCGCCTTCCCTCCAGCTCCGCAACAAGCCCCCACACTTCCTATCATCCGAACCCCATCACTCCCCAACCAACGCGCATCCCACTCCCGCTGCCTCCCCTTCCACCTCCCCCCGCCTCCCCCCCGCAGCTTGGCACGGGTGAGAACATAGACGCGTTGCTCCGCGCCATGCAAACAGCTCGGGACCAGGTCACCGCAGCCCTGCGCCGACCCAACCCCGACGGCAGCAGCAACACCACGGGGCTGTTCAAGCAGGATGGCGGATTCGGTGGTTTCGGAGGGTTGGGGGGCTTTGGAGGCCTGCTGGGGGGAGTTGGGGGTGGCGGTTTTGCTGCGGGCATGCAGGGGCCGTTGGGAGCGGCGCTAGACGCCAGCTTCTTTTCAGCAAGCAAGAAGTGAGCTGAACAGGGTATAGGCAAAGTAGAGGTCGGGGTTACTGAAGGGAGCTGGAGAGGGGGTAAATAACCAGGTAGTGGGGTTCAATGCTACGGTTCATAGAACCTTTACACGGGGAGGATGGGATTTCAATCTGTTAACTGTACGGCATGTCGTGCGTATCTCGATGTGCTGATACGGGCGTCCACGCCGTGATATACATTCCGTGATCCCTGGTTAAATGGACTGAACCTGTGATTTGTATCCTCTAGCTAGTTTTGTCGTATTGACAAGTTAAAATGCCATGCAAGCCTGACGTACGGATGTATGCTGTATGCAGTCGGTTTCCTCGTACCGGGTCTAGGTTCCGTGTGTTGCAAGTCCGAGACACGTCATCATTGGGGTGTAGCCTGCATAAGCGCAAAGGCTGATTGCAGCGCAAAGTAGCACAAAAATCATTACGCGCCTTACAACGGGTACATGGTTTGCGGGCCTGGCGTTTTGAGAACCAACGGAGCACGAATAAAGGGTTGTAAACGGCGCGAACACCAATGTGTTGTAAGAGGGGCGGCGCTTCGCTGCACATGCACTATTGAAATATTTCCGTCTGTCCTGTATTCAACCAACTGTCGCCCAACCTCAGCGCTTGCTTATGAGGCACACGCAACCCCGAAAGCAACTACATGCAATGCCGTACAACCATCTAGGGCTATACAACCACCTATGGCCCACAACGCGCGCTCCTTCACACGCCTCGCGCCTGCTATACCCAACCACATGCGTGCGTAAGCACTACCGTCATGCACAACCGGCCTAACCACCAGCCCGTAGCGCCTCCATCCACATGACCGCATGCTTGCATTACTCTTACACGCACTGTAAACATGCCGCCCAGTCCTGCCGTACATGTCCGCGCGCGCAGCTGCAGCCGGCAGCTGCCGCTGCCGCTGCTGGCCGTGGTAACCCGGGCCCGGCTGCAGCAGCGACCGATAGACCCAACATCGTCCCGCCATGAGCCCCTTTCTTCACCGCACGTACTCCACACCCCGGCAAAACGTCCCCGCCCCCAAGACGCCCCAGCTGCATAGCCGTATACATCCGCTCTTCTCCTACGCGTCCGACTGGTCTACCGTGGACTTGAGGGTGGAGCCGGTGGCGTCATGTCCGGGCGGCAGGTCGGGGCCCTGGGAGCGCACCTGCTTGGGGTGCACCAGCCGACCTGGCGGAGGGGGCGGTGGCGGTGGTGGTGGGTGAGGGAGAGGCTGGCATGGTGGGTAAAGAGAAGCCTAGGTTCCCGGCCGTGGCAGTGGGTAGTGGGTGACTACAGGTGGGTTGCCTGGTTGCGTGCATGTGTGATGGACCTATGTTGCAATGCAGACAGAGCAATGAATAAATGAGGTGCATACAGATGTATGGGCGCACAGGCTCTGGCACCCCACCTGCAGGCCCGGCCGTCTCCACCGCCGCCCGGTCGGTCACCCGCTCCTCCTCGCTGCGTGCATCCCCGCCTGCTGCCTCCCCTCGCTCCCCGCCCCAGCGCCCCCCGGCGCCACCGCCCTCCTCCGACGCATCATCCACCAGCTGCTGCCGCTGGCGCGGACCCAGGTCGTTGTTGTTGCCGCCGCGGGCGTATGTCTCGGAGCGGATCTGGTGTGGGGGAAGGAAGGAGGAGAAAACGCCATGCTGTGAGAGTGATAACCGCAAGCGCGGATTTGGTGGTGGGGTCGGGCGGTGGTGGGGGGGGGGAGGTCGCCGCAGGGGTCCCTGCTGAGGGGCTGACCTGCGGTTGTGAATAGTCGCCGGGGCCCTCCGTGGGGTTCTCGATACCCTCCGACTGGGGCCGGTGGGAGCCCAGGCCGCCCGCCTCGCCGCCTGCAAGCCATGGAGAGGAGACTCGGTTACAAGATGCATTGGCTGCGGGCGACATGGCACAGCCCCAGCATGGGTTATTACGCGTTTTGCGTGTTCCCCGGGAACAGTGACCATGGGTCACAGTGCGCACGCGGCTGCTACTACACTTGTTGTAAGCTGACGCAGCAGGCAGCTGCTGTCGATGTCATCACGACCCACTTCGGGTATCCTCCTGCTGCTGTTGCTGCCCTGAGGAGTCGGAAGAAGGAGCTGTTTTGCCGATCCTGGGTCCGGGCGCTGTCACCTCCGACAGGGGATCGCGATCACCTGCGCAGAAAGAAAATGCACCTAAGCCGAAATGCAAGAATACCACAAGCAGCGTTTAAAGAGCATTATGCAACATTTCGCGAGCAGCTTTGCAAAGTACGCAGCTCCAAATGTTAAATTCAAGACATGCCAACTGAGACCGCTGCCCACCGCGGGGTCCGTAGTTAAAGTCGGGCAGTGGCGCCTGTCCCTCCTCCGACTTGCCCTCCTGGGAGCTGAAAGCCTTGCCGCTGCTGGTGCTGATCGCGACCTGGCTTGCTGCTGTGGGTGCGGCGGCCCGCAGCGAAGCAGCTGAAGACTGGCTGCAGCCCCGGAGCAGGGCTTTGAACTTGGATGAAAGCTGCATGATTCAAATATGGCTTTTTGCTTTATGACAATAGGTGTGCTTTGGTAAGGTTTAAGGGACAGCAGACGCACTGTCGTTCTTTTGTTCGCGTGGCTTTACCTGGGCGGCACAGGCTGTACAGCTGGTGACGCATTGCGATCATCCCGCATCGAGCTCAGACGTTTCCTCTTGTCCACATTGCTGCACTTTTCGACTCTTCTCTTAGCCTTGCAACATCTCGCAGCTAACCAAAAGTATTTCGCGCACAGCTACCGTCTAGCTTCTACAGCTTACCTTTTCGCTACCTTTACCGACTTACCGACTTACGAGGAATGAATCCTTACGCAGCTCCCTCCTCCACAATACCATCGAACACCAACCCATACAACGCAGAGCCTCCGCCCGACACCTCTCCCGGGCCCTACATCGAGGGCCGCTCCGAGCCCCTGCAAGCCACTGGCATCTTCTCCCGCCAGCCGCTCATGCGCGTTGAGGGAGATAAGCTGCTGGTGGCCGATGTAGAGGCGGGGCGCACGAACGGCACGAGCGCCCCGCCTGTGCACGCGGGGACCAGTAACCCTTTGGGCGCCAGCCCTGAGAGTTGGGGCGGAGGCGACGGCAGCAGCAGTGGAGGCGGTGCGGGTGCGGGTGCGGGTTTTGCAGCAACAGGGCAGCAGCAGCAGCAGCAGCCGCCAGGAGGGGGCATGATAATGCCTGGCTTCGCGCCTGCTGGGGGGTATCAGGGTTATCAGGCAGCTGCAGCAGCAGGAAGCTACCGACCTGCCGAAGGTTACATGCAGCCGCCTGGGGCCTACACGCCCGCTGGGGCCTACTCGCCAGCAGCGGATGCTACCGGTGCGCCGGCACCAGCATCCTGCTTCCAGGGGTCGTACTCGGCGCCTGCGCCAGCCATGCCTTACCCGCAGTACGGTACGTGGAGCGGGAGGGGGGGCAGGGTTGGGGCTATAGGGTAGGTGTTGGTTGCTGCTGTCTTCGTCGATGTCTGGGAGTTTGAGTTGAATAGGACGATTTGTAGTCATTGTGGGCTATTTGTGGGGCTGCAAATAGTGGTAGTTGAGTAGGTGTCAGGGGAGTAGGTGTCAGGGGAAGAAGGGCTGGCTGGCACGCCGCTGTTAGGGATGGTGAACGTGGAACGACCTACGTTTTCCCCCTGCAGGTGCACGTCAGGAGTAGCTGTAGAAGAGGCTGTCCTAAGGGAGGGCAAAGGGGAGGCCGAGAAAAGGTTGATGAAGAAGCACTTTTGTTTTATGGTGACTGGGGCCCCGGTACCAGGGAATGGATGGTGGAGGCTTGCTTGGCCATCTTGAAGCCCCAGCTCCTGTCTGCGTGGATGCGCATACTTCCCAGTGCGGGTTTTGCGTTGAGGGTCTGCGGTTGCGTATCGTAAACTTTAGCGGCCTAGAGACGGCAACAGTGCGGTGCCGCTGAAGGTACACTTGGAGTACGGCAGATTTCAATCATTCATTCCGAGGAGGCTTATGCGTCTTGTACCACTTGCTCCAAATTTACGTTGTAAATTGTTAAGTTAGGCCTGCGAGCGATTGTCCAGTGCACCAACCTTCGCGATGATTGTGAATGAAAGCTTGACAGCGGAAACAGTATTACCTTAAGCCCTTAATAAAGGAGCTCGTGTCGCATGCTAGCGATATCGCGTAAAAATGTTAACCGACGTCATACAGGGGAGTCAGCAATTGGGGCTCCTGCTTGCGGTGCTGATTGGAGTTATTTTTCTCCTCGCGCTACGAAGGCGGTATCCTGGCGATGCACCACTCGTGCCAGGCTTGCCACTTCTGGGTAGTGCCATAGGATTGGGGCGCCACGGAGTTGCATACATACGGAAATGCCGCCAAAAGGTTGGTCGCGTCTGGTTAGTCGCGGTTGAAACCCAATTGCGGCGCAGCCGCATTCAGCAACGTATAATCCAATGCGCAGTTTGGGGATAGCTTTTCGCTCAGCCTGGCGGGCCCAAAGATGACGTTCCTGTTTGAGCCCCAACACATTGACTACTTCTTCTCCGCACCTGACGCTGAAGTGACTTTCAGGCAAGTTAGCGTGGATACCGGAGCGAGTGCCACTGAATATACATGTCTCGTCTCCTTTCTTCTCCTAATTGTACTGCCCGTGTGCCCCTCCTCCTCCGCCATCCCCGTCTCACTCTCTCCTTCCCCTTCTCCCCCCCTCCCTGCCTACCTCCCATCCGCAGGCCCGCAGTCGAGCAGTTCACCCAGCGCGTTTTCGGCCTCACCTCCCGCCTCTTCTTCCCCCTGCACTTCAAGGTCAGAGCGCCGCACCGAGCGCACCGCATGGCAGCTGCCCCCGCCCCCTCCTGTTCTCTGTATCGCTGCAGCCTGTCCTGTGCTATGCTCAGCTGTGTCGTGCTGTGCTATGCTCTGCTGTGTCGTGCTGTGCTGGTATCAGCCGCATGCTTGACGCACACGTGTATGACATGCCCCCTCCACCCCCGCCTGCCCTGCGTGCCATCATCCGCCTGCCCTGCGCTGCCTGCCTGACGCATTCCGCCTGCCCTGGGCCGCCTGTTTGCCTGCCTGCCTCCCGCCCTCCTCACCCCGCCCCCCCAGATGCTCACGGAGCTGCGTCACTTGCTGGTCCCCGCAGCCCTGCACGAACACATGCGGGTGAGGGAGAGGAGAGAGGGAGAACGGGGGGGGGGGTAAAGGGGAAGAAACTGGAGGGAGGGGGGGGGAGGGAATTGGGAAGTTGCAAAGTCTTACCGCCCCGCTACAAACTGCCTCCTGTCTTCCTCCCTGGCACGCCCCTCTCGCCCCTTTACCCTCCCACCCCCCTCCACAGCTGCTGGGCACTCGGGCGCTGGAGCTGCTGCCCTGCTACGTGCACCACTCGCAGGTGGGAGAGTAGGGGAGTGAAGGATGGGGTAGTAGGGTAAGAGAGGGAAGAAGGGGGAGAGGGATAGAGAGCGCGAGGGAAGAAGGAAGAGAGGGAAAGAGGGGATGCGCCGCATCCATCCCCTCAGACTAACTGCCTTGCCAACCCTACTTACGCACCTCTACACCCTACTTATTCCCCATCTCCCCCGCCCTGTCCCTGCCCTACCCCCCCCCCCCCCGTAGGTTGACCTCTACACGCTGTGCCGCGGTCTGGTGTTTCAGTGTGCGTTAGAGGCGCTGTTCGGCCGGCCCTTTGTGGCGGCTCTGGGGGAGCTCACAGCAGAGGCGGGGGAGGAGGGAGGAGAAGGCGAGGAGGAGGAGGAGGAGGAGGGAGGGCTGGAGGCGGAGGAGGAGGAGGGAGGCAGCATGGGCGAGCAGCCTCAGGAGATGCCGTGGGAGAGGCGGGACGGGCGGGCGCCTCCGCGGCCCCCTGCGGGAGTGGAGCGGCTGGGGCGGGCATTCTTTGCGTTCGAGGACGGATTCGAGGTGATTGGGCGGGTGGAGGGGAGGGAGGGGAGGGGAGGGGAGGGGAGGGGAGGGGAGGGGAGGGGAGGGGAGGGGAGGGGAGGGGAGGGGAGGGGAGGGGAGGGAGGGGAGGGGAGGGGAGGAAGGCAAAGCGGCGGAGGGATGAGGCGTGGAAAGTGGCAGTGGGTAGGTTTGAGGGCCTTGGTAGGGTACGATTAGGAAATGGCCAAGTACCCTGCCTTCAACCCATCCACAACAGTCACGCCACCCCCCTTCCTCTCTTTATACCTCATGCACTCGTCCCTCCCCCACCCTGGTCCCCCATTGTCGCCGAGCCCCCCTCTAAACCCCCCCCTCAACCCCCACCTCCCCAACCGCAGATGGCTGCTTCCCCGGTGCCTCACGCCTTCCAACCCGAATTCGTCCGCTCCCGGTCCCGGCTGCTGGCGGTGCTGGCGGCGGCGGACCGGCGGGGGCTGTTTGCGGGCACCCCCGCGGGGGAGCTGCTGGACAGGTGGGGGGCCGAGGGGCGCGGGGCCGGTGGCAGCAGCGGAGGGCGCTGGGCCGTGCCTCTTCCCAACTGCGGCCCTCGCTCACTCCCTTCCTCCCCCTCCTTGCTCCAGTGAGCATCGGTGCCTCCGAGACCATCCAGTGCGTTTCTGTTCCCTGACCCCTCTCCGCTCCGAACTCCCCGATGACCTCCCTCCTGTGTGCAGAACCACGGGTCTGCCGGAGCACCTGCGCCCCAACCTGCTGCTTGCTGTCATGTGGGCCTCGCAGGTGAGGAGGGGGTGGAGGCGCGTGTCCGGATGGGTTGGGTTGGGTTGGGTGCCGACCGGGTGGGGGATGCCGGCCAAACCGCGCAGGGGCATGTGGGTCAGTGTGCTCGGTATGGGGGGAAAGCGCGCGCGTCTCGGGCATGTGGGTCAGGTCATGAAACCAAACGGCCGCCTAGCTGAAAGCCTTCCGTGCAGGGGCTGCAACACTGCATTTGTAGCCATGTGTGGAGGGAACCCACGCGTGTTTGCGCGTTCCGAAGCGTTCCGAATTCCCAAACCAAAGGAAACCCGTATTCCTGCCTGCCCCCACCTCCCGCTCCTCCCTCCGCCCATCCAGGCCAACACCGTTCCCGCCACCCTTTGGGCGACTGGTTTCCTGCTGCTGCCAGAGAACAGGGCGCACAAGGCGGCGGTGCTTCAGGAGCTGCAGGCGGAGCTGCAGGGCTCGCCTGGCGGTGCGGAGCAGCAGCAGCAGCAGCCCCCGTCTCCCTCCGCCGCGGGGGCCCCGGAGCCAAGACATGCGGGTGCGAGCGGGGAGGGGACGATGCGCGTGTGCTGTAAAAGATTAAGTACGAGTGTTGAAGGCGTGTTGTGTTGTGTCGACTGAGCCGCGTCAGGCGAGTTGTGTGTGGGCGGGGTTTCACGGCGAGATGGGCAGGGCGTGAGGCGAGGGGCACTGCAGCTAGTGCTGGGGACGCTCCATCGCACTGGCGGACCGTGCCATGATGGGGATGCAGGGAACTGCTGTGTCCATTTGGGGTCGGCTGTCGATTTGGGTCGGCGGCTATGTTAGGTTGCCGTTGTCTTTTGGGTTACGGTCGAGCCTGTGATTTGGGTCGGTTTCTAATCTTGGTTTTCGTTATCTTGGCCATCTGGGTCGGCCTTGTTGCCCATTGGGTTGCACTCTCGGCCATCTGGGTCGGCTGGGAATCCCGCTGGACAGTAAACTTAAGTGTGCACCTGTGCATCCACGGTATGAAGACCCTCCGGGCCCAGGCTATTCCTAAGCCACCTCCTCCTCCTCCTGCGCGCAGAGGTGGTGGCCGCTGCTGCACGTCTTGCCGCCTCCCGTCGCTCGGCCGTCAGTCGTTGCGTGGCAGAAGCGCTGAGGCTGCGAGTGCAAAGCATCGATGTACGACAAGCGGCGTCAGATCTGGATCTGCCGTCAGCAACATCACCCGGAGGGCGACTGCGGCTGCCGAGGGGCCGACTGCTTGCCATCTGCCCCTTTGAGAGTCACCATGATCCTACGTTGTACGGCAAAGGGGCTGAGGGATGCTCCGACCCGTGGGTCTTTGACCCAAATCGGCCGGAGCTGCGTTTGGGAGATGGCTCAGCGGTGGTTACGGGCGTGGCGGGTGAGAAGCATGCGGCGTTGGTTGCTGCGGCTTTAGGCGCGAGCCTTTGAAGGATGAGGGGATGAAATACGGACGGGGCAAGGTTGTCATTATAGCCGTGTCGTGCGATTTGGGTCGCGGAAAGGTTGAATTAAGTAGTCCCTGCACTTTCGCTGGTCGCATGATATCATCGCGCACGGTCGCGACCTCACAACGGGTTGTGTGTCCTCTGAACCCAACTAGTACCTAACCTTGCTGTGTCTGCTGCTGCTGACCCCTCCGCCACCACCTTACCGAGCAGGTCTTGCGTTCGGTGGCGGGCCGTACCGCTGCCCGGGTCGCTTCTTTGCGGAACAGGAGCTGGGGCTGCTGGTGCAGCTGCTGCTCTGGTCGTACGACATGCAACTCAGCTACGGGACCGACCCGGCGGGTCGGCCTGCGGCCGCTCCCGCTGTTCCTACCACCCCTACTCGGGCGGCGCAGACCGATGCAGGCTTGTCGTCGGCAGCGGCTTCTGGGGAGCAGCAGCAGCAGCGCGGGATGGTTGCTGATGGTCCGGGGGCAGCTAGCAGCGTGCCGCCGCAGCCGCAGCTGTCGGAGGTGAAGGGCGGGAGCGCGCTGTATTCGGCGCTTGCAGCGGTTGTGGGCCCTTCAGCGCTGGCGTGGGGCTGCGGCTGGTTTGATGGCTTGGATGGTCCGATGGAGGTGAGTGTACGCGCGTGGGAAGGGTTTGGGGTTGTTTGGGAGATGTGGGTTATGGGGGCAAGTGCGAGGTTGGAATGCTGTGCACTTGTGATCCTTAGTGCCCACAGGGATAACGTGTTAGGCATTGATTCAAGCGCTGCGCTAAAGCACTTGGGGTTTGTTCATCTGTTTTGCCCCTCTCGCTCGCTTCCTGTTCCGCAGGACTGGCGGCGGAGCGGTGACCCAGCTGGGTTACTGCCTCCCTGTGATCTTCAGAGGCTGGTAGGCGTGAAAGTGCCCAGGAAACCGTGCTGGGTGCAGCTGGGGAGGCCGGTTCGGTCGAGGGAGGGATAAAGCAGCAGGCAGGCATAGAGCGTGGATGTTTATGACTTGGCAATAGCTGTTTGGGACTGGTGGTTATGGGGTAGGGTTCTGACGATGCGGGTTTGTGGTTGCATGGCAGTTTCCCAACGGTGTAGGTGCAGCGGATTCGACGTAGCCACGGTCTGGCAAGAACCTTGGCAGCCGTGCCACTTTTGACTGGGACAGCATCAGCCCTCTCTTCGCTTTACATCGATGTCGTGTACATGTTTATGAGCATGCGCCATGGCCAACCACGTTGCATTTTTTCTATGGAACTTCGTGGCGCAAAAATATACCAATTATACTTACTTCAAGCATGCACAGTTCGGGGGTACTTCGGAGGAGAAGAGCATTTGGCTCAGAGGATGTGCTTAGGACGTGCTTACGACTCACCTAACTATCATTGCTGGAAATATTTCTATACATTATCCTCACACGGGCAAAACACATGTGCAGAACCGCTTTACGCCACCTTTCCAGCTAGTTGTTGGATAACACAAATCGAGGCAGTGGCACAAATTACTACAGCATGCGTTGCTGACCAGGGAGTTTGTGTCAATGCCTTCCGAGATTCCCGAGGCTAAGCTAAGCAAAGTCCGTTGCATGCCAGGCAGTACGACATGGACGAACCCCATTCTAATAAATCACTCGCTTCACCCTGAGAAGGATACATTTTCTTAACTGTTTCAACAGCTCGGTGGGGTGCATAGCTCCCACGTTGGCACTTCTTCCGACATCCCTGATATCGACGCTCTAGCAAGAATGAAGATTGCCTGCATCGGTGCTGGCTATGTGGGTGGCCCTACGATGGCCATGGTGGCCCTGAAGTGCCCCGAAATCGAGGTGGGTCAGCTGAAAGTTGTGCAACTTCCGATCGGAGCCCTCATGTCAGTTCTGCGACGACGCAGGTGGTCGTAGTTGATATCAACGAGGAGCGCATCAAGGCCTGGAACAGCGACAAGCTGCCTAGTAAGTTTCGCTATTACCCTGTTTGCGGAGTCCGCATGCTGTCCCGATCAATCGGACTAACCGGGTTACCCGTTTTACCGCTCTATAGTCTATGAGCCTGGCCTACTTGAGGTTGTCAAGGAGTGCCGTGGCCGGAACCTCTTCTTCTCCACCGATACCAGGAAGCATGTTGGCGAGGCTGACATTGTCTTTGTTAGGTAAGCGCTTAACTCTGCGCTTGTGTTGAAGTCTACAGCGTTGTTTGAAATACATATTATCCGTTATGACCAATATAATTACAACTGTTGCTCGGTATGTTAACGCCCGCCCCGTTCGCCCGCCAACGTTACGTATACATCTTTCAACACCATAAACCTTTTACGGCTTGCAGTGTCAACACCCCAACCAAGACCTGCGGTATTGGGGCTGGGAGGGCCGCGGACCTAACCTACTGGGAGGGTGCTGCTCGCCTTATTGCATCGGTGTCCACCAGCAGCAAGATTGTTGTTGAGAAGTCCACGGTGCCTGTCAAGACCGCAGAGGCCATTGGCAAGGTAGGAGCCATTCGTGCTGCGTATTTGCCCATGAGCACGGACTCGTACACACTAGACCAGGTTGTCTATCTGCAGGAAGGTTTCGTCAGCGTGTTATCGTCCTTGAATGCCTCTGCCCCTTAAAGACCCATACAGCATAGATTCGAATTGAGGCGTTGCCGAAGCCAGGCTAAAGCGCGTCTCTGACCCTTGGGACATGCCCTAATGCTTTAAATTGCAGGTGCTGAAGCGCAACTGCCTGGACCCCAACGTCCAATTCGAGATTCTGTCAAACCCAGAGTTCTTGGCCGAGGGCACTGCGATGGAGGACCTCCGTCACCCCGACCGCGTAAGTCGCGTACTCGCACAAGACAGACCCCTGCGGCTTTGGCGTCCCTTGCAATGAGCACGGAGATTCACATGTTAAGCTTAGTGTGTAATTGCATCTTTGTCCGATCGCAGGTGCTGATTGGTGGTGCTGACACCGAGAGCGGCCGCAAGGCCATTGATACCCTGGTCTCTGTCTACGCCCACTGGATCCCGCGTGAGCGCATCCTGACTGCCAACCTCTGGTCGGCTGAGCTTGCCAAGCTGACCGCCAACGCCTTCCTGGCACAGCGCATCTCGTCCATTAACGCCATCTCGGCCCTGTGTGAGGCCACCGGCGCTGATGTGCAGCAGGTGGCGCACGCCATTGGCACGGACAGCCGCATTGGAAACAAGTTCCTGAACGCCTCGGTGGGCTTCGGTGGCTCATGCTTCCAGAAGGATATCCTGAACCTGTGCTACGTGTGCGAGTCGGTCGGCCTCAAGGAGGTGGCTGAGTACTGGTGAGCAATAGCTGACCCGCTATCTTCTATCTCCCGGTTATGGCGTTGGCGTCAGCAGGGATGCAAAGGATGTGTGAACTGCGGGCGAGGATCAATACGGATATTGGGTTTGCCTTGTTCAGATTAGAGTGTTTATGCATCGCACTCTCACATTGATGTTTTGGTGACACCCATTGATCGCAGGTTCCAGGTGGTGTCCATGAACGACTACCAGAAGCAGCGCTTTGTTGAGCGCGTCATCAGCGCTATGTTCAACACCGTGTCCCAGAAGAAGATTGCCATCTACGGCTTTGCCTTTAAGAAGGACACCGGTGACACCCGCGAGACCCCCGCCATTGACGTCTGCAAGGGCCTGATCCGCGATGGCGCCAAGGTCTGCGTGTACGACCCTGAGGTCTCCCCTGAGCAGATCTTCCGCGACATGTCCACGCCCAAGTTCGAGTGGGACCGCCCCAACTACAGCCGCTCGCAGAGCCACATGCTCGACAACGTGCAGGTGGTATCGGATGCGGCAGCCGCTGCTGAGGGCGCGCACGCAATTTGCGTGCTGACCGAGTGGGATGAGTTCAAGACCTATGACTACCAGGTACGCAGGGGATGCGTGAATGCTGCGGACGAGGTGAAATGGGCTTGATACCTTGCATGTGACCACCTGGCAGCAAACGTAGTTAGTGTTGTTACTTCGCTGCTGTTACTTCGCTGTAACACGCATCGCCTATGGTTTCCGTTCATGATGCAGGCCATGTATGACAAGATGGTGAAGCCCGCCTTCATCTTCGACGGCCGCAACATCCTGGACCACGCCAAGCTGCGCGAAATTGGCTTCATCGTGTACGCACTCGGCAAGCCGCTGGACCCCTTCCTGATCAAGGGGTACTAAATGCCTAACTTACATGCCGATGAGGGGAGGGCACTGGGTTAGCCAAGATGACTTGCATGGGTTAGGTTAAATGGCCATTTGCATGGGTCGTGTATATACCAATTTCAGTCGCCTGCATGCTGCCACACTTTTGTTCATGCTATGGTTCTCCTAGGCTTCTAGGCTGGTCTTCAGGCTAGTGATACAGCAATAAATTGTGATTTTCTGACGTGGCATTATAGGCACAAATTCCTACGAGCAGGATCCGGACTGTGTGACGCCCTTTTTTTCCCTGGGATATGTACGTCCATATTGTCCGTGCTTTCTCTTCAGACTCGAACTGAATCGATGACCAGTTTGGTCTTGTATGTCCCTGTGCCCTGACATGTGCACTATGGACCCACGCTGGGGCGATTATTGTTCTAAATGTGACCTATCGCATGTGATTATGTTTGACATCCGTTTTAAGCAGTGGGACCGCTTTCTGTATTTTATGTAAGGTAATCGATGCAAGGGAAGTCTCTAGTTGCAGCCTGCGAAATGACACCAATACTTCCTGCGGTTTACACATACTAGTACAGCCAGGATCACTAGGGAGGAAGCGAGCAAGGAGGGGGACGGACAATCACACTAGCTAGAAAACAAGCGGTCACACATCCCCCACGTCCAATGTTTAGTACGTGCTCGTTCTGGACTACTTCTCGTTGGCCCGCACTCGTTCTGGACAAATTCACCTAGGCCCCCTACCGAACAGCAAACTTCCCGAACTAGCGCGGCGGTCGTCATGTGCGGGTTTCGTACATGTCTGTAGCTTCCAGCACGTAGGCCTTACATCAGTCCAGCTCGGTATCGCAACGGATGTCCGGCAAAACCTCTGCTATTGCGGCAACGCGGCCTCAATGTGCCGTCGTAGCTTATCGGTGGTCATGCGTGGAGGCGGCCGAGGAATGCAAACCTGTGAGACGAACGAACATGCACCAGTTTGGTATCCACCATCCACTGCAGCATGCGACGCAGAAACGAGAGGCAGACAAGGCACCACCAAAACCGGTCGCATACAAAGCCCTTTATTACCGGTAGTAACCCCACAGCTATGGACCTGCCAATGTGCCGTACCTCTCGGCCGTCTTGTGCCAGAACCGTCAAGACGGGAACCTGTGTGGAGTGAAGGCATACGGTGTGGCCGCACACGGCCAACAGCTGAGGGGCATATACTCGCCCTCATGTCTTGCTCATGAGGCTACACAGCGTGTGCGTACCTCCATGTCATATGCGGCGCTCCAGGCAGGGTTGGTGGAAATATCGCGAATCTGCACACGAAATGACACCGTACGACAAGTTCCAGATTCAGCCATACAAGGACAGCATACACATGGCGCGTACGGGTACGGGTACTGCTTCTCCGGGGCCATACTTGCCAGCCTAACATCCCACCGGCCCTACCTCAAGTGTGTATTCAGTCAGCAGGCTGGGCATAAACTGAGCCCTGTCAATCAGACCTTGTACCCGATCCTGCACCAATGTTAAGTGTTGTTCTTTGTCCTGAACTGTGGCTTGGGGCTTTTCCTAAAGTATGTCGTCGGGGTTGGCGTGGACTGGCTGAAGGCGTGTATTAGCATGTGTTTGCTCCGGTTCAAGCCACAACCGCGTACTAACCCGGGTTCCTTCGCACAGCGGGCAATTGGGCTTGCTGTATAGGATGATGACCTTCGAGGGCTTCCCTGGAAGTGGCTCTAAAGGCTGTGACGACGACGCGGCGCCCAGCTGCCGGATGCGCGACGGATGGGACTGGTTGGGTAGGAGCACTGTTCGGTCAAGAGAGACCCTGCTGGCGTGCTGAAATCTAGAGACGTGCTGAATCATACCTATGCGTAGGGGTGGGAGCTGTGGTGGGAGGACTACGTATGTGGAAGGTAAGCGCTCAGTGCAAACAGCAGCGTTTAATGGAACGCCGAGAAGGATCAAACCTATTCAGCAGTTGACCCAAATGAAAACATAAGTTTGTAAGGTGTCTAGGCGCTAGAGTCCAACCAAGTAGAGGGGCTTGTCACAGGATTGCCGTACGGAGCACGATAAGTTGTTTATTGCACAACGTGATTTTATAGCTTGCAAACGACGGTTACAGATAGGACGCCGCGAGGCCGGATTGCCCTGCTACCCTAGCTTCCGTTGTCGAGACGCCCCACTTGCTTGCACGACTCCAGTGCGCATCCAACCAGACGGGTTGAAACACTATATTAGGTATTTGTTAACGTGCATAAGCAAAAGTAGTTGGTCCTTCCCTTCACTTCTCGTCTTTCCTCCGAAATGCTGCTCACAAGGACCTCGACCGCCGTTGCCGGCAGGTAAGCACGTCACCTGTAATGACTTCCAGCTTCGTCTTTATGCCTTTACAGTTTCCGTTATGGGTGCCGGCGGACGCTTTTGGACTAGGTCTTCGTTCCATGCCTGATCGTGACTGGCGACCCCTCTGAATTGTGCAGGCCAACTAGGTCGTCTGCGTTTCAGACCCCACGCGCTGCTTCAGCTCGTTGCCATCAAGCACGATTGGTGCGCCGCTCGGCCGTGGTCGTTAGGGCGAGTGAGTGCCATCGGAGCAGCGCCCCGCTCGCTACCTGCAACTGGACTGGATTTGCGCTGCTATGTATCTTATATCCCGTAGCGGTAGCGGTACCTACTCGGCATCGCAGCCATTGGGTCGCTTTTGCTTTTACTTGCACGGCCCCACGCAAGGGGGGGAAACCCTTGTCAGTCGAATTTAATCAAATTCGCTGTGGACCACACAGGCCACGCCCAGCTACTTGATAAAGGCGCCCATCGTGGTTCCCTGCTTAAACCCCAACGCTCCTTTCTCCCATGGCGCTTAAGCACTTATATTCCAACAGTCTATACGCGTGTACAGTGTGTCCGTACGAGCCAAAGGGGGCCAAGGACGCCATGAGAAACAAAATAAGAACGAGTCAGGATTCGCTGCATCGGCAAGCCCCTCTCCCCTCGTCCCTCGTCCCTGTCACCACCACCCCGCCTCACACCTTCCCCTTGGGTTCCCCCCCCTCCAGGCTCCGACAACGGCTCCACCAAGCGCGCCACCTACGCAGAGCTGGAGTCCATCCAATGCGACCTCAGCGCCTTCCCCGGGGTCAAGTTCTTCAGGGTTGAGGTGGGTGGGGGGAGGGGAAGGGAACACCGGTGAAGGAGAGCCCGAACCCTCGCCTCCCCCTCCCCCCTGCCCACCCCTCCGCGCCTCTACCCACGCTGTGCTTCGCTCCTCGTGCGCCCTTCCTGTTCTCCCTATGCCCACCTCCTCATCCCTACCCCCTCCCAAAACCGTGACTAGCTGACTACCGCATCCTACCCTACCCCCCACCCCCACCCTCCTCCCCACACCCCACACCCCAGGCTGTGTTCCGCCCCTGGCGCCTGCCCTTCGTGATTGAAACGCTCTCCAAGAACGGCATCCGCGGTCTGACCAACACGCCCGTCAAGGGGGTGGGTGTGCAGGGGGGCAGCCGGGAGCGCTACGCGGGCACGGAGTTCGGGCCGTCCAACCTGGTGGACAAGGAGAAGGTGGACATCGTGGTTAGCAGGTGCGAGGGAGGGGCGGGGGGGGGAAGGGAGGGGGGGCGGGGGAGGGGGGAAGGGAGGGGGGGCGGGGGACTACAAAATGTAATGTCATTTACGAATTGCAAGGAGGATGGCATATCCTGGGCGGGCGCGAGGTGGCGGGCGGGGTGCCTATAATTCTCCCAATCCCCACCCCTTCTCCCAATCCCCACCCCCTCTCTCCTCCTCCCACCCCACCCCCCTCCTTACACACGCCCGCGTGTTTCTTGCCGCACGCAGGGCCCAGGTGGACACGGTGGTGCGGCTGGTTGCCGCCTCCGCCTACACCGGGGAGATCGGAGACGGCAAGATCTTCGTACACCCTGTAGCGGAGGTCGTGCGCATGTGAGCAGGGCGGGAGGGCGGGAGGGAGGGAGGGGGTGTCGGGCTGCGGGTGCAGGCTCCTGGGCGGGGTTAAAGGGCACGGGTTGCCGTTTCGGAACCACCAACTTGGTCTTACTGCCTTCCCTCGCCCCCCTGCCCTGCCGCCCGCCCCGCCGCAGCCGCACTGCCGAGACGGGTCTGGAGGCTGAGAAGATGGAGGGCGGCATGGAGGATATGTTGAGCAGGAAGGACTGAGTGACGTCTTGCAGGGGGGGGGGGCAGCAATGGGGGTGAAAGAGGAAGGAGGGAGAAGGGGTGGGAGCGGTAGAGGGGCGCAGGAAAACAGGGGATTGCGTCAAGCACGATACCCCCAGTCTATCTGGCGCAGTTTATGTAATAACCCCGGTCTAGTTGGGCTGTCCTGTGTCGACTGCTCCGGACATGTGAAGCTGAAGGGCGCTGGAAGGCTCGCATAGGGACCGCATCGTTTCCGGCTAGTAGTTGGCTAGTAGTTGGCTGGGCATTAAAACGAAGGAGGTGCTTGTGGGGTTGGGTTTTGAAGGCGTGCTGGGCGCATGCACCCGGCGAACGGGCCTCTGCAACATGAGGCGTGCGGGGATCAGTGGTTGATGGGTTGCGGCAGCAGGGGCGGCCGCCTCCTTGCTTTGCTGGTCACCTGGCTGGTTGGCGTTGCCGAGCGCCGGGAGTGTTGTAGTTGGCGTTAGCTCCGTGCGTGCGTGCGTGCGTGACTTATATCGGTACTTCTCCGGTACTCCGGTATGTATGTCGCATTGTCGATATGTTATTGCCCGGGTGTGGCTTGGTGCCTCTTTTTGCCTCAAATGAGACGTGCTAGGAGGTCTGCAGAGTTGATACGCAGTGTGATATCAGCGGTCGAGGGGCGGCGCCTGTTCCCTTGTTGCGTTTCCGCTGTGTCGAGCTAGGCGGGTGGCAGGTTGTTTTGTGGGCAGGCAGTTTAGAAAGGCTACTCCCTGTTGTGTGAAAGGAGCCCCGTTCCAAGAGGGAGCCGGGCGTCAACGGGAACCTGGAACGGGCACGCTTGCCTGCACCGGTATACGCGGTGTGTACGCGGGTGGCCAGGGCAAGTACGACGACGTACATCGGACCCCGACTGGCCACTGCAATTACCATGGTGCAAAGTGAGCAGCATGTACCGTATTATGGACTCATCGTGTGCCCCGCCGCTTTGTCGACGCCACTCGGCGCCCAGACCTATTTAGCGGCTACGGTAGCTGCAATGCACGAGTAAGGTATTTGTTAGGAGTACGACTATCGCACGGCCTGAGGCGTGTTTGCAACCCTTGCATGCCTCTCCACCAGGAACCTCATAGCCCGAATGCACCTACCTGTCTGTGTGCCGGTACGTACCGCTTTCCCCGGTCGCTTGTCCTCAGGAGCACTGTGTTTTATGCATGGTGCTGATGTTCACCATGGAGCGTGCACTGTAAGTGTGTAAGCCATCCTGCAATGACTTCGTTTTGCATTTCTGTCCTCTCAAGGGTTGGCTCGCGTGCAGGCAGCTGTGCGGAAGGAGATGCAGCAGGAGATCGACCATCTGACGGTGGGTGTAACGTGACGCGTTACGTATGACTTCCTCTATTAATTACTGTAATCGGTTAGGGCGGTTACCCCGCTGGAATCGTACATGCCGTACAGCCCGCTACTGGGCGCTCTGTTCTGTTCTGTGCGTGTGTCCCGTGAAGGCGGACATTAGGGAGTCAGTGGCCCTATCATACCGTACTTATATATTCTCCACGATCACGTATCGTTGCAGTGGGTGTTGCGGACTATGATGGAGGAGGTTGGCAGCTTTACTTTTTCCCAAACTACTTCTGCACAAACATCTTATGAAATATGGCTATGAGTTGTAGAATGTTGTCCGTGAGCACCACCCCGGCTCGCGCTTTTGGCTGGCGCGCTGCTCAGCGCTGCGCTATAGCGGTGAAGGTTGCTCAACCTTCCCAGCCGAACTATGAGGTGCTCTTTGAGCGCTGCATTTCGGAAAACAAGCTTGCCATTGAGCGCTCTAATTCGGAAAACAAGCTTGCCATAGAGCGCTGCATTTTGGAAAACAAGCTGTCTCAGGAGCGGACCATCGCGTTGGTCGAGAGGAGTTTCCAGGCTGGCCAGTACATTCTTGGAGGGTTGGTCATTCTGAACGTCCTCGTTTCGGCAAGCGCGGCGGCAAACGACAGCTACATCTCGAAGCTGCTCTCCTTCCTGACGGAGCAGGTCATCAATCACTAAGGTGCGCATTCTTGACAGATGTGCTCGGCTGTTGTCACACCGGGCTACATCGGTTCCCCACCCCCCTGCAGACCTGCTTCGGTCGCAGCATTCAGGACACGAAGACTGGCTGCCATGAGACGGTTCAGCGCGTGAGACTACACTCATAGCGCGTAACGCCATGTAGTGCATGTGCGCAGTCGTGCATGCTACTTGCGTTGTTTCCTGAAGTGCCGCACGCGCGCGCCTTCGACATGCGGAGGATGCAGCACTATGTGAGTGGGAGTTAAAGGTGGGAGTCTGAGTAAGGAAGTCATTTTGCGCGAAGACCTGATTTTCTGGCTGCCTGCAGGATGGCAGGCCACGAGGACGGTTTTGGGGGTGGAAGCAGGCAGCATCTGCTGCCTGCTTCGTCCTCCGGCAGTTTTTTCATAGGCGTAGGGGTGCCGTACGTCTTGTTAGGTACCATAGGCATATAGATTGGTGAGTTGGACCTGGCCAAGACAAGTTGGTGGCCTCAATGGGCTACCCGAACGATACAAATCTAGTAATAACAGCACACCGGTATCCAGCTGTTATACTCCGCCAACCTGTCAGCAGCATATGCACCCACTACGGGGCATAAGTCTGTGGGGTCGGTAGTTGCCTTCCGGGCATTTTCAACTTAGCTTTGGGTGAGCCCATTGTAGTGCCATTGTAGTGAGAACATAACCTTTGGCAGCAGTGTGGACTGTCGTCATAGCCCAGTAACAACCACAGATGGTGTAGCGCATCTTACTCAGCAACATACCAGTTCACATATAACCGGCAACAAAGTAACTAACCCGCAGGACCTTATATTGCGTGTTACATGCCAGCCCTACATGAGATTGGCTCATAAGGCTCAATCACCCGCATCATGACACATGCCCGAGCCCCTTTCCCCCACTCTATCCAGCCGCACCACATCACATGCTCGCTACCCTTGGACCCTCCCACCACCCCCACCCGCGGCCGCCTCCACCCGCTCCACAAGCCGATCCGCACAGCGCTTCGCCAGTGCCGTACACAACACCCCCCAGTCCACCTCCCCCTGCCCCTCCTCCGCCCCCTCCACGTCGTACGCCCCCTCCGCCTCCAGCCTCTCCACCGCCCGGCGGTACAGCTCCGCAACCGCCGCCGCCTCCGCTGCCCATGCCGCCGCCGCGGCCCTGGACCCCCCCTCCTCCTCATCCTCGTCACAACCCGTGCCGTCAGCAGCCCCTGCCGCCGCCGCCAGCCTCCGCTGCTCCTGCGCTGCCTGCTGCAGCGCCGCCGCCGCCAGCAGCGGCACCAGCAGCGCCAGCCCACCACACCTGTACGGCAGGTTGTTGAACCGTATGGCAGCGGCAGCCCATGTCCAGTTGGAGCCGCTGTTGTGGTGGTGCGGGTTGGCGGCCTCCTCCACCAGGTAGCGCAGCGCGTCCGAGGCCAGGGCCTGGGGCAGGCGCATGCGGGGGGGGGAGGGGTGGGGGAGTGGAAACTGACGAGCTGTATCACGAGGTGGGTGGGGTGAGGGGTGAGGAGGAGACGGTTGTGGCTCTCGCACGCACGCCCTTCCCCAGAGGCTACCTACCCACCTCTCAAGGCCTAGCTGAGTGCCCCTTCCCCCTCCCAGCTGCCCCCAACACCCGCTACCTGCACCCTCTTCCTGATCCTCCATCTTCGTGCACTTCCTGGCCACCCCTTCCCTCTCCCCTCAACCCCGCTCCTCACCTTTGGCGCCGCGCCCTGCCCCACCCCCTTGTCAATGTAGTAGTCCACCACGTCCCGCAGCCGACCCGACATCTGGCCGCCGTCCGTACGCCTGGGGAAAGGGGAAGGAAGGTGGGGTGGGGGGGAAGAGGTAAGAAACTGACGAGCTGTACGACATGTAGGCTCCACCATGGGGTGCAGCCTCCTGGTGGTGCCCAGGAGGACGGCAGCGGGGGTGGGGAGCGGTGAGTGGGGCTGCGGAAGCGGCTGGGTAGCGGCCTGTGTGCCCCCCTTCTCCTGTGTCCCCCTCCTGCCCCCCCTGCTCACAGTGCTTGTGCAGCCTACAGCTGTCCTGTCGATTGTCAACAAGAGGTGCCAAAGGCAAGAGGCAAAGAAAGCCCTCTTGCTTGTTTTTTCCTTACTACCCCTCGCCACCCCTCCTCCTCCTGCTGCTCACTTGTGCGCCGCCTCCCCCAGCACACACACCAGCAGCCTCACAGCAGCGGCAGGGGGCAGGCACTGCAGCAGCATCTGGGGGGGGGGGGCAGGCGGGAGAGGGGAGGGGAGGGAAAGGAGGGGAGTGAAGTGAGGGAAGGGAGGGGAAGAGGCAGCCGTGTTGGCTGTGGTCGGGAACGTGGGGAGGAAAGGTGGCACTGCGGGGGAGGCGGGTGCCCCTTTCAAAACCTTACCCCAAATGAACCCTTGCAACCTCCCCCACACACGCTCCCCTCCCCTTTCCGGCCCCCCCTCCCCACCCACCACAATGTTGCCCGGCTCCTTGAACGCCAGCTCCTTGGTTAGCGCCCGACACAGCACCCGGTCCGTGTGGACCAGGTCGTTACTGGGGGGGGAGCGGAGGAGAGGGGGAAGGGGAAAAAGGAGAGGATAAGGGTTGGAGAGTTAGGGAAGGAGGAGAGGAGAGAATCAAGGTAAAAAAGGGGTGCGGTAAGGTAAAAGATAGGGCCAGGAAGGTGGGAGGGCGGGCCGGGGAAGACAAACGCCCAACAGCGATAAGGGAAACTGACCATGGCGTAGAGGCGGCGCAAGGCACACCCACCCGGCATCCCTCCCCATAACCTCCCCCATCCCCCGGCCCCTGCAACCACTCACTCCCTGCCAACGGTGCCTCTCCGCCGGTACGCCCCCATGGCCTCCAGCGCAGCCCACGTGTCGTACAGCATCCTCAGCAGCTGTACGGCAAGGTGCCCCACCTCCCCGGGGCCACACAGCAGCGCCTGCTGCAACTGCTGCTGCTGCTGCCGCCGCCCCGCCTCCCCCTGCCCCTGCTGCTGGCGGGACGAGGCACCGGCTCCTTCGCCTCCGCCACCACGTCCACTGGGCCCTGCTCCCGCCGCCGCCTGAGCCTCCTCCATCTGCTGGTCTTGCTGGTGCTGCTGCTGCGGGTTGCCGTCCTCCCCCCCGCCCCTCCCGCTACCCCGCCGGGTCACTGCCATGCTGCCGTACACAGCGGTTGCCGCCATCAACCGCAACAGAGCGGGTTTGGAGTGGGTGCCCTCAGACCAGGAGGAGATGGTCTGCAGGAGGTGGGAGGAGAGGGGAGGCGGTGTTCAGCGGCTCACATTGCGGTTCTGCGGAGGTTGACGAAACGATAGAGACAGACCTGCTCCTTTACATCGCTTGTAGTACCCTTATCCCGTTATCCGTCAAGCCCCGCTCCCTGGATGAAAGCATCCATCCGCACACGTGATGCAACACACCGTGGAGCCTACATACCACATGGCTCGGGATCCTCGCCACCTCCCTCCCCCCCCCTTCCCCCTCCCACCTGCATGATGCGCACCAGCAGGCTGTTGTCCAGCTGCCCCTGCCAGTCGGGGGAGAAGCCGCTGGCGGCAGCAGCACCCAGCCGCACCTCTAGGTCCGCCTGGGTGGGGGTGGGGGGATTGCATTACATGGGGCGAGTCGGAACGTGGGGGGGGGGGCATGGGACGTTACGTCTGTCGTGTCGTGTGCATCCATGCATGCCACACCTTCAAGACCGTGAGATCGGTATTGGAGTTATGGCAATCCTTCCCTTCCTACCAACTCCTATCCCGAACCCCAACCCCCCTGCGCGTTATCGCTCCTCCCCCCACCCTTTGCTTTGCCCGAACCTGCGGCTTCCTATGGTATGGTATGGTGTTTTGACCCCCACCTTGAGGATCCTGACCCAGTACTTGAGCAGCAGGATCTGACCCACATCACCGCCCGGGGGGACACCTAGGGGGCGGAGGAGGAGGCCGGAGGGCGGGACCGGTGGAGAGAACACACAACCTCCGGAGGGGCGGGCTGCTTGCGGGGTTCCTCCCACATGAGGACAGGAGTGAGGCGCCTTGCTGCGTTGGGGCTCGCCTTGCCGCTCCTCCCTCCTTTTCGCTTCCAACTTCACTCTCCCAAACCCATCTACCCCTCCTACCCATCTGAAGACCCCTTCCCACCTTCCCTACCACCCCCTTGCGTGCGGAATACCCATCATCCCCCGCCTCTCTTCCACCCCCTCCTCCACCCCGTCTCACCCGGCACCAGCGGCAGCTGCGCCCCCACCCCCCTGCCCGCCGCCCCCGCCAGGCGGTTGTGCGCCGAGGCCAGCAGCACCGCCAGCCCCTCCGCGTGCCGCAGGTGGGGCAGCAGGCGGCACAGCGGCTCGCTCTGCCACTTGCTGGGAGGTGGGGGGAGGGGGAAGGGGGAAGGGAGGGAGGGAAGGAGGGAGGGTAAAGAGGGAGGATGAGCCATGTGGGGGAGAGCGGGAAAACGGGGAATGCATGGACGGCAGAGGGTACCGAAGGCGGGGTTGGTGAGGGCGGGGTTGCTGTCCACCCACCATGACACGGGCTCCCACAGGTTCTCATTCACCACCAGCACATCACCTGGGGGTGGGGGGGAGGGAGGGGGGGGTCGGGAGGGGCAGGGGCATGGAACAGAGGCGGGCGGTGGGGAGTAGAGGGAGAGAGGGCCACGAATTAGGGCAGCGGGTGCAGAAAACCGGAGGGGGCAAGGTACGGCGCAAAGTCGAGGAGGTGCGAGGTGTCCTCTCGGGCCCCTCCTCCATCAGCTCCCCCTTGGGAAGCACCGCCCGCACCCTCCCTCCCTGTCTCCCTCCTCCCCCACCCTCACCCCGCCTCTTCACGGGCGGGTGCGCCTCCAGCATCCGCTCCAACAACCTGTCAGGAAGCGCGACAGGACAGCAGCGGTCGCAGCAGCGCAAACAGCAGCGTAAGGTGCTAGGTAGGAAGGTTAAGAGTGCAAGCATTGTAGGAGTGGGGAGCGACAGGGCAGGGATGGAGAGCAAGGTGAAGCCGGGGGGGAGAGGGAGGTCCACGGAGGGGTCAGGCGGGCACTGGGTCCCCTCCAGACAACTCACGCGTAGGCCCTGCCGGACAGGTTGGTGGCGTGGCTCTCCGCGTTCAGCACGAAGTGCATGAGCGCCTCCTGGAGCGGCCTGGAAGGGGCGAGGGAGGGAGACGGAGAGAGGGAGGGAGGAGAGTGTGGGCAAGAGGAGAGGAGCGGGACCAGGGGCAGAGCAACCAGACCAGCTTAGGGGTAGACCGCACCACTGGAAACGAGCTGTCGAGGCTACTTCCACACCTCTCCTGCCTCCGGACACCTGCTCTTCAGCTAGGACCCTCTCTCCTCTTGGCCTTAACCAGGTCGCCCCCTTCCCCCTACCGGGATCCGGCCCCCAGCTCCAACCCCACCCCCCTCCCTCCCCTCCTCACTTGGGCGGGGTGACGTGCGCCCCCAGCAGCGGCTCTAGCAGGTCCAGGCAGTGGTGGCCTGTGGGAGGAGGAGTGGGGAGGGGCGGGTGAAGGGGTGAAGGAGGAACAACCATCACTGGGAAAGAGGCGTAGCCAAGCCGTGAGTCACGGCGCACAGCAGGGCATGTGCCCCCCACCATTTGCCTCCCACGTCTTGGCCGCCTCCGCCGCGGAGGCAGCGGCTGTGGGCGCCAGGGCCTCAGCCATGGCGTCACCCGGGGCGCCGCCGCCGCTGCCGCCAGCCGCCTCGGACCCGCCGTCGGTGGTGCGGGTGGGCCTGGTGGGCGGTGGGTTGGGGTTAGGTGGGGAAGGAGGGGACTCGTGAGAGGTGTTGAAGTGCATCCATAGCACGTGGACTCGGTTGCTGGGAGACGTGGCCGATAACGCTTGTCCTATTACCATGCAAGCACCTTAAAAGCACAAGTCTGGGACGCTGCTGGCCATGGGTACTCGGGAGACAGCCACATCATCATAGATGCGTACCTGCGCCTCTGGGATCGGCCCGACACGTCGCCCGCCCCGCGCTCCAACAGCGGACTAGAACTGGCATACTTCTCATACAGGTGCCAGACGGGCTGGCAGAGGGCCTCCGAGAGCACGGTGTGCTCTAACGCCGCGGATGCTGGTCGGTTGGCACTTGCTCTACGCTTAAGCGCATTATCGAGTCTCTGCAAATATGTAATAAATGCTTATCTTGGTGACTTCTAGTTAGATCGTAGAGAGCGTTTGCAGTGTTAACAAACACCTAAAGAGGGTGTTGGCCGCGAGGATACCGACCTGCTGCTCAAGTACATTATTATAGTTATTGCTTCTGGCCGATCTACGTCTATCCGACATTGTATATGTAGGTCTTAACCTAGCCCTAAAACATGCTGTAGAGCGAAAGCTGTCTAACGCGGTGAAAAAGTCCTCCAACAATCCCTATATACAACCTAATAAGACTGATTTTAAAGCAAAATGATCTACATTTGACCCGCTTGCAGGAGAGACTTCATGGCGCCAATTCGATCAACTGCCCGTACGGCGAGAATGATGTCGTGCTGTGCTAAGGCCGTGTCACGGCTTCCCCTTATGAGCGTCACCGGAAAAGCAGAGATTCCATATAGTCCATTTGAGGCTTAGGCAACGGTGTAGCCTACAGATGGCAAAGCTATACCACACGACAGATGATTAGTGCACTAGTCTAACAACTGACTACAGGTCGGCCTGGTGCTGAAGATTTCAAACTTTGTTGACGGATTGTATACTTTTGCAGACTATTCCACTAGTTCTCCTAGGAGGCGCTGGTATCTGCTTGCTCCGGTTACCTCGACTTACGATGTTGCCCTATCATCCCCCTAACTCGAGGATAAGCTTGAATTTCTGCAAACTAGCATTACATGCGGCTTTAATCAGCGTAGTCGCCTGCTCGGCCTTTGCGGGAAGCGCCTTGGGTAAGGCAGCTGGTGATTTCAAATCAAATGATGGCACCCCCGACCAGATTGCCTCCCGTGGCGCGGAGGTGGAAAGCAATTTTAATACTGCCATTGCTTTAATATGTTTACGGCTGCTGTGGACACAGGGGGCAATCTTGCGGGTATTCGCAAGCATAATGTTCGGCGACAAGCTCAGGTTAGACGGTTTGCTGGGTTTCAACAGCCCCCTCATTTAAGCTCTACTCTGTCATCGCCGCCCAGACCAGTCCGGGTTCATCTCTGGGTTTGATGCGTTGTTCCCTTGTCCGATACGCCAAAGCTGCCAAAAGGCATCACGGATTAACCGGCAACCTTCCAGACAACCTCCAGATGACAAGGAGCTCCTGTAGCCATTCCACACCTGTGACAGCACGAGGGTTTTAAACCACATCGTCTCTTGCCCTTACCTGACCCTGTCCAACCAACCCTACAGGAAACCTCATTCACAGACAGCATGACATGCCTCATCGAGTGGCGCACCTCGCCCTCCTCCCTAACCCAGCAGCAGCAGCAGGCAATCCTGTCCCCCCCGCTGGTCCAGGAGGTGGGCCCCTTCAGCCTTGCCGACCCCGACAGCTTCCAGTGCACCATCAACAACGACTTAACCAAGGTGGGGGCCACATGACACCCAGTTCGGCAGCGCAGTATCAGGCACGAATGGCGTTGCTGGTTTGGTGCATAAAGCTGTGGGCCAGGGACGGTAATGGTTTGGCTTGCTGGCGTCTGACTGGGTCGTTCGGAAAGAGGAATGTGTGCTTGGGGATTACAAAACCGATCGTGCTGAGCTGGCGGTTACTGTGTTGGGCAACAACGTTTGGCGTTGAGTGTGGTGGCTGAAAGCGACAGATATACGACACTGCGACAGTGCTGGGTGTGCAGCGGCTACCTCACAAACTAACCGGGCTCCCATGACTTGTTCGTGACCTCCCTCTCTCTCTTGCATTTGCCTCTGGCATTTTGGCCCCTCCCCAGCACCCCGGATGGGACCGCACTGCCGACCTGCTAGCGGGTGTACGAAAATACGACGTATCCATGTCGTGCAAGTGTACGGCATATGGAGGTGGTTGCAACGATCTGCGCCAGTACCTCGTTTATAATTGGTTGGCGGCACCTCCCTGGCCTACATGGTAAGCTTGGGAGGGAAGAACCCGCAAGCAAAGGGGAATTGTTTTCAGATAGGATCTTGCAACGACTTGGAAGCACCAGCTTACAGCAACCGGGTAGACAAGGCGCCCAAATCCAGTTGCTTTCCTACACCCCTCCCCACTCTTGCAACTGCACTCTCCTCAGACCTTTTCAGATTCTTCACTCTTCCCTCCCATTTGTTATTTCTGTTCTCATGCCCCCCTCTGCCAGGGCGTCGTCCGCTACCACCTCAACCGCACTGCAGCAGCTGGACTTCAGCAACGGCACTTGTACGGCAACCTCCTGCAACGCCACCAGAACCAACGTCGACCCACCGTATGCCGACTTTGTCTGCTTCCACGCCGCGGAGTACGACATTGCTGGTAGGCCAACGGGGGGAAATGTATGTCAGGTGGGATTTAATCCTGGATCTTCATTATGACGGCATTTTGTACCTTTCTTGGTCATGTTGTACATGCACGCCGGTGTCTGTACGAGGTGTCTGTACGATTGCGGTAGCGGCGGTCGTCCATAACTGCGCCACATGACGTTAGCTATCTAACGTTAGTAATCTAATTAAGGCATTGCCATCTTTATGGATAGATGCAACGGACGCGATTTCGGCCAAGCCCGCGGACGTGGACGTTGGAACCTTCAACTGTACGGCAATTTCATATCAGCGATACGACGCCAGCTCTGCATTGTACGGGAAGGGCGACTCGGCGCAGCTGGTTTCGCAGGTGGGTTGCAGTTGACGTTGCCACTTATTAGTGGCGGTGTTGGTAACACAGTTTGTCGCAGGTGTGCCCTTGGCGCACGTATCCCTCAACGCTTTGACAAGCTCCCTACTGACGCCATAATGTCTCGAACACCCGGGTTAAGCTTGGTTTGCATCTTGCGTAAATTTTCTCTTCCTCTCTGTTCCCTCCCCATGTCACTTCCCCATGTGCAGTTCCAGGGGTTTGGTCGGGGCATCACCACCCCATGTGCCCTGCAGTCTAGCCTACCTCAGGTGAGAGAGAGACATGCTATCCCGAGAAATGGAAACTTGAACAGGACAATTTCCAGGGAGAAGTTCAGAGCGGGCCCGCTCCGCTGAGCGACAATCTTGGCCCATAGAGGACGAGAGGCACGGGCTTCTGATTAATCATGTCTTGCTTCCTGACTGACATGTGGCATCACCTCTTCTTCAGCAACGCCTGGCCGCTTGCTTATTCCAGCCCTGTTCGCATGAACCCTTACCCCCTCTCCTCACCCCTCACTACCTTCCTCTCCCCTGTCCCCAGGACCGCTTCTTCAACTGGGCCAACACCACCGTGCTGGTGTGCACCTGCAGCGGGGTGCCGGGCAACTGCTTCCGCCTGGCGCGCAACACCACCTACTACATGGGGGCGGCGCCCAACACCGTGTCCTACCCCGAGTACACCAGCACCGCACCGGCGCTCACCCTCACGCTCAGCGCAGGGTAAGATACATACGCATTCCAGCACAACAAGAGGCATGCACATATGGTAGAAAAGCTGGTCCCGACCACTTGTCACCCACATTTCTTCCCCACCTGTACCCCCTTTCCTAAACGACAGGGACTGTACGGCAGGCTTCTGCGTCACCTCCACCCGCCTCAAGTTCCCCGACTGGGCAGTAAAGCGACCCACGCTGCCGTACATATTCGGAGAGTCGCTCTGCATCAGCCGGCCCTACACCACCGTCAGCGCACGTGAGTGGGTCGCCGGTGTGTGCGCCTGCTGTAGGGCCTTGGAGTGGGCGGTTGGGTCTACCCGGTGGATCTCTTTCCCGCCGCCCCCTCCCCCTGACGATCTCCCTCCGCCGGCTGCCCCTTATCTCCTGCCTGTCTCAGGTCCTTCTGCCCCCAGGGGAGTGCTCTCCTGCTCCCTCTCGCTGCAGCAGCCGGCGGGAGCGGCGGTTGTCAGCACAACCCCTCACAACGACACGTACCCCTCCCTGGTCGTGGGTGGGAACTCCGGGGGAACCGGCAGCTGCGTCGTGCGGCGAGACATGGCGCAGGTGGGAGGGTGGGGATTGAGAAGGACGAGTATATGTGCAAGTGCTAGTGGACGAGAGTAGTATAACAATAGTCGGTTTGGTACCGAAGAAAGTCTCATTTACTTTTGTTTCTGCACAAGTTCCTTGGACGTGTAGCCTTCTGACAGCCCACATAATCTTGTGTGCCTACTTTCCCGCTGCAGTCGTACCCGGCGTACGGATTCCTGCCGTACAATCACGATGTGACTCAAGAGAGCCACGCCACCAACCTGAGGCTGCAATGCACCTGCAAATACGGGTACGCTATGCCGGGTTTGCAAGATGCGAGCTAAGGATGAGTGCGGTCATGAGTGCTCACCATGCCGCACATTTTAGGGGTCTTAGGAGGCGTCGACTCCTGTAGGAAATGCTCACACGCATTGCTAATCATGTAATGTATGTCCCCAACACAGGACTGGTAGCAATAGCAGCAGCTGCTACTCCATGGCTCGCTCCGCCTACCTCAGCATGTGGGACGGGCCGCTATGGCTGCAGGGCAGCACCAGCAGCCTGACCACAACGTGAGTAGTCTGGGGATCACTAAAATGCAGCAAAGGCGATAAGTAACTGACTTGGAGTAACGCTTATGGGCGGAAACCTTTGAATAATGTATGCCGAGATACTGGTTTTCTGAGATGCTAATAGGCTCATGGTAGTCAAAGCACTTGCCCTATAACGCTATCAACCGCCACCATCGACCCGCGGGTCTTTTGCCTCTCATGTTTTTCTCTCCCCTTGCAGGCCAATCTCCTTCTCCCCCAGCGATTGCAGCTTGGATCAGTGTTCCCTGGCGCTCGATCTTGACAAGGCGCCATACACATCTGCCATGTGCCTGGGGGCCTGGCCGTACGAGGTACAAGGTGAGAGCGGCGCGATAGGGATGCTTGGCTGTCGTTTGTGTGGTTTGCGCCACACGTCCTTATGGCCCTTGTTTCACGCTACATTGCCGCTTGGGTACGCGTAAGTTGACATTAGTTCCCTCCCCGCCCTTTCACCCGAGTCCAGCTGACGACACCTCCGAGCCCGTCCAGTCCGCCCCGGCGCCCATGCCGTACTGCGTGCTGGACCTGTACCAGTGGTACGACAACTCCTCCGCCACCTACCCGCCTGGCGCTGGAGACGTGCAGCCCCTCTACACCCCCGACCTCCGCTCACTAGCAGTTGACTCGAGCTCTAGCAGCTCGGGCAGTTGTTGGAGCAGCCCGCAGCTCACGTACGACAACCCCAGTCCACCCCCCGACGCAGCATTCGGCAGGAGCCGTCCGCCGCCGCCTGTGGCTGCTGTGGGCGGGGGAAGGAGGCGGAGCATCTTGGACGGGGTTGATGTCGGCATCAACGATCGGATTGCTGTTGGTGGAACCGGGAATGCCGGTGATATCACCGACACTCGCAATTACGGAGGCACCAGCAGGAGGAGGCTGCAGCAGGCAGATGCCAGCCCACCTACCGGCGACATCATTCCAGGAACTGAGGGCTACACACAGCCAACTTGGCCCTTGCTACCAAACATGCCTCACCCGCCGCCGCCACCTCCACCACCGCCTCCGTCGCCCCACCCGCCACGCCCCTCACCTCCGCCGCCACGACCCCCTTCACCCCTTCCTCCGTCTCCTCCCCCTCCCTCCCCACCGCCTCCCTCACCTCCACCTCCCACCACTTTCCGCGGCAACTGGGGCGCCTACGCCCGCCTCAGCTGCGCATGCGCCGCCTCCACCGCGGGCAACTGCTACACCGCAGCGCGCCGCATGGCCTGGTTCTACAGCCTGCAGGTTCGTGGGGCTAGGGCTCAAGCCCAAGCGTGTGTGTTTTCGCCCTTACAGGCGGCCACCTAACCACCATGTCAAAATTGTTTCCCAGTAACATTCCTACGTTCTACAGCTCCCGGTGAAAACATCGTTGTCCCTTCCTGCTCCCCCCTCTCTATCTCCCCTCTGCACTCCGCAGTACGCCACTCAGATGCCGCATCCTTATGCACCCACATCCGCGCTGAGCTTCAAGCCCTGGTGAGTTGTTGACCTGGCTGCATGGTACATGGTACTTACGCCCGACATGCAGCATCCTGTATACGATGCATTGCTCGTCAGCCTGTGAGTATGACGCAGAACTGCAATACTAGCTTACAACTGCTTTGGGGGTTTGCAAAGCCCACAGCCTCGTATATGCATGCTGCTCTGAATCACGTCTCCGATGCCTCTATCAGGGAGTGTACGGCCGGCAGCTGCGTCTCAAGTGTGCACGTGGGCCCCGCTGGGTCCGTGGGAACAGCGGTGGGCAGCGGGCCGCCGACCGACCCACGGTTCCTTTTCTCCCAGGCTCTCTGCTATAAGACGGATACCTACGCGACACCCGATATAGGTGGGAGACTTGTTCGATAGTGTGATGTGTCCAAAAGCTCATTATCGTGCAGGGCGCTCCTCATAGTTCCCCATTGCGTACTGCTTGCACGGTATACTCCGCAACACCATGTCTGTGCGTCGCAATTGCCTGACGTGCATCGGCCCCTTCCTTCTCTTCTGTAGGTCAGGACAACCTTCCCCCGCCGCTGCCTCCGCAGCCCCCCAGCCCTCCGTCTCCAGAGCCTCCCTCGCCGTCGCCTCCACCACCACCGCCGTCTCCCCCGCCGCCGCCCTCTCCCTTCCCTCCTCAGCCTCCTTCGCCTGAGCCCCCCAGCCCTCCCTCGCCCGCGCCTCCTTCACCGCCGCCGCCCAGCCCCTCACCTCCGCTGCCGCCATCCCCTGAACCCCCTTCTCCGCCTCCTCCCTCGCCTCCGTCCCCCGAACCGCCCTCTCCACTGCCGCCGGCGCCGCCTTCACCTGAACCCCCCTCCCCCTCTCCTCCCGAGCCCCCGTCTCCACAGCCCCCTTCCCCATCCCCGCCACCGCCTCCTTCACCCGAACCACCCTCCCCGCAGCCTCCCTCACCACCCTCACCTCCCCCTGCAGTCCCCAGCTCCCCTTCTCCACCTTCACCACAGCCGCCTAGCCCCGCACCACCCTCGCCGCTTCCTCCCAGCCCCACACCTCCCTCACCACCCCCTCCCAGTCCCGCACCACCCTCCCCAGATCCTCCGTCTCCAAGCCCGCCCTCCCCGTCTCCATCCCCTCCGCCCTCCCCGCCCGCTCCTCCCTCACCACCTCCTCCCTACGAGCCCCCTCCCGCCGGCGCCCCGGCTCAAGCCGTCACCGGCATTGTAGCAGCGTCCGTGGCAGCTTCCGTTGGCGCCAGCGTCGCCACAACCGCCATTGCAACGGTCGCAGCAACCGCCACATCAGTTATGGCCTCCACGGCAGGCGCAGCTGCTACTGCTGCGGGTCTGGGACTCGGAACGGCTGCTGCTGCAGGGGCAGGGGCAGTGGGTGCGGCGGCGCCTGCTGCCTATGTTGTCCTGAGCCTGGCAGGCAGCACCGCCCCCTTGCTCGGGCTTCTGCAACACATGCAGTTCTTGGCACTCACGGGGGACGCAGCCGCGCTGTTGGGTGAGGAGTACGGCAACGTGGCTGGGTATCTCAGTTGGACCAACTACCGGTATGACATTACGAGCATCTTCGCATCAAAAACGGTTGGTGCTGCAACGAGCGGCACGACAGCAACGACGGCCGGTAGTGGCTCACAGCAGAACCGCAGATCCCTTCTTGGCAACTTTCAATCCTTGGAGGACGGCGGTAGCAATACTTCTAGCACGGGCTCCCAACACACCGGGGCCGTTACATGGGCCGAGGCTGCCGCTTACAATACTCTTGTGAGTTGATTGGTGCCAGATAAACAAACTAGGATCATGTGCCTTTGCGGGGTTTGCTCGGACATGTGACAGTGTGCACTGCATGCACGCAACACTGAGCGGCATGTTACCGTACCCCCGCATGTCACATGATAAAGCCCTTCGCTGCGGCCTCCCTCACCTCACTTCACCTCCTTCTCTTCCCCCCAAGGTGGTTATTGCGGTGCTGCTGTCCTCCGTGCTTCTGCTGCACTGGCTGCTGCTACGGCTCTGGAGCTGTCTGCCAACACTCAAACACACACCCCTGCCACGAGTGCTCGTCTTCCCAAGGTGCGTCAGTGGGCCCCTTATCTCTTACAGACAAGGAATGATCTGCCGCCTTGCCTTCCCTCATTCCCTCATTTCCCATCCTCTCACCCGCCCCGCAGCCTCGAGCTGCGTCTGCTGGACGCCTGCCTGACCCCGCTGGCTGCCGCTGCCGGCACCCTGGCCGCCGTGTCCGCCTCCACCCGCCACCGCGCAGCAGGCGGGCTGGCAGTGCTGGCGTGCGTGGCGGTGGCGGCGGTGGTGACGCTCTTTGGCCTGCTGGTGCGGGCGCTGGTGCGCAGGCTGACAGGGTGAGTGTGAGAGGCAGAGTGCTGGCACGGTTGCATGGCAGGGTATGTGGTTATCGTGACTGTCTTGGCTCTGGGGTGCAGATTTGTTGCCCTTTGCTTGCTTAGGTAGAGGCGGGGTGCAGCTGCAGCAGCATCAATGAAACCCTAATGGTTTGTATCCCCATCTGGATTATCTGCCCCAGGTGCCGTAGTTCCTGGTTCCTCCAGCGGCGCCGAGAGGCCTTCACTCTGGACCTGTCTGCCCTGGAGCCCGGCATGGACACCGCCGCGGGGGGTGAGCTGCGGATACGGGCAGAAGGTTTCGGATTATTTGGAGAACATTGCCCGGATCTGCGTTGGTTTAACAGCAACCCTCCATCGTTGTGTGCACAATCGTCGGAGACGTGTATATATCCCACCGCAAGACGTTTCTCCATTCCTCTCCAGTTCCTTGTCGGCTGCATAAGCTTGGCTTACTCCCGTGCTCGTCCATTTGTCTGCAGGCCGTACACCCCCTGGTGCTGGAGCTCGCGGCTGCTCCTCGTCCCTCCCTCTCACCTTCAAACGCCACTTCGCAGCTGCCACCGCTGCCGGGGCTGCTACCAGGGCTGTTGCGCCCCGGGGCTCAAGCGCTGGGTCGGGTGAGGTGGGCGGTATCGACCTGCTGAAGCCCCTGCCCCTTGAGCACACCCGGTCGGCCGCCCCCGCGGCCGCTGCTCAGCATGCTAGCAAACTGAGGCAACAGCAGCAGCAACACGGGGAGAGGGATCAGCATGAGGACTTGAGTCGGGGTCACGACCAGGGAGGCGGTCTTGATCAAGACTGGGAGTCGACTCCCAGGGATGGTGCATTAGACGTTGACGGATACAAGAATGACAGAGCAGGCAAGCTGAAGAACCCCGCCGGAGGTGACTACGAGTGCGATGGCAAAAAGCAGCCCTGCAACCAGGATGCCGATGCTGCTGCTTCTGATGCTACCGCTTCCCCACGTGTGGGGCCGCTGGAGGGTCTCGAGCGGGCTCTGCAGTCGCTGGAGGTTGGGCAGTGGGTGCTGCATGAGGAGCATGAGGGAGGCGAGGAGGCGGCGCTGGAGCCCGCCCGCACCGCTCACTACCTCGTGCACGGTGCGTGGGGCTCATTGCGTGCACGCACGTTGTATCCGGCTTGCGATCCTTTAACAGCCCTCTTCATGTTGCCCTATCTTGCTGACGCGTCCCGCCCCTCTGGGTCACCCGCCCCTCCACCCCGTAGGCTTCAGCTGGCGGGCTCTCCTGAGCCCCTTGTTCGGATGGGACATGGAGGTGAGATGACGGCCTCCTTTGACGCCAGTTTCTCAACCCGTCGTCACAAAAGCCAGACCTACGCGAAGATTTCTCCAAGTCATACTCATCCCTGTACTTTTTTCCTTCGTTCCTTTCTTCGACACTTAGGATCCCAAGCCGCGCTCCAAGACGACGGACAAGCTGTACGGCGTCAGCCCCAGCAAAGGCAGCCCACGCAGCGGCAGCCCCGGTTTCCGCTTCAGCCACCCCAGCAGCAACAGCAGCGGTAGTGCCGAGGGCGCAGAGGGACCCTGGCCCTGCTTTAAGCAGCTGATGAAGCAGCACGCGGGGGCATTGCGGCTGGGGCAGGTGGAGGAGGCGGTGTTGGACAAGACCCCCCGGCCGGGGCGAGGAGGTGTTGCAGGGGCAGGAGGCAGCGGCTCGCCTACTCGTTACTACATGGGGCAGGTGGCACTTGTGCTGGCAGGTGGGAGGAAGGATGCGGAGGTACTGGGGGAGCGGGAGACCGCTGAACGGGAGCGTGGAACGGGGGCGGGCAGAGAAGTTCTGCGCATGTTGCCCCAGCCCGGTGCCCTACAGTCACTAACCAACATGTGCTCTCTCCCTTCCTATCCAGATGACCCCGATGTGGGCGACCTGGGTTTCAACGATGTGGTGGCCGCTCGGGACTTCAACCGACCCGACAGTCTCACGCCGCCCAAGGCCACCGCCAAGCCACAACGGGGTTCTGCAGGCGCCCCGGCTGCAGCTGCCGATGGTGACGCTGGCGGCAAGCGGGCGGGTCGGCCGCGGCAGCCCCTGCCTGAGCTGGATTCAGCCCGAGTGGAGCAGGTGAGGCGGGGGTCAGAACGGACGGGGAGGGCCATGTCAACGTTTGCATGTTATTGAGGTGCGGGAAGGTAAGGGATACGGCCAGCTGAATTTTTATATGTGTTCCCCTGCCGTTTCACGGCTGTCCTGCATGAATATGCCGCACACGTTTTTGCCTGCGCAGACTCCGCCCCCATCCGGCCGGCAACAAGAGCAGTCCCAGCCTCAATCTGGGTCCAAGGATGCCTTGCCGCCATCAAAGAAGGACATCGACGACACCGCCGCCGCCGCTGCCCCCTCATCCTCATCGTCCTCATCAGCCCTGCCTCCCTTCCTCAAGGGCGGCAAGGCAGGAAAGGCCCTGCCCCAGCCGCAGCAGTCGCACCCACCGCAGCCGCAACGCAAGGTGGCAGGCAACACGCTAGCTGCCGTACTGCTGTATGAACGGTACGGTGAGGCACTGCTGCAGCCGTACAAGGGGGACAGCTCGTTGGCCGCCAGCTTCCACTCGCCCAAGACACTGGTGATGGTGCTGGCGGCGTTCCTGCTGGGCCTGCAGGTGAGGGCCAGGGCTGCTGCGTTGTGTCGGGTGCGTATGGTGACACGGTATGCCGGGATGTGGGGCAGAGTGCGTGCCGGGCGGGTAGCAAGAGGGGGTTGCGCTCTCGGCCCTGCGTCGTCTTTCCCTCCAACCCTCAAGGTAACACAGAGCGAGTGCACAGGGCCTACTTTCGCCTTGTATGTGCTATCAACCAAGTGGGCGTACTCCACCCTGGGGGAGAGCGCAATTCTGTACGCCCTTCTCCCCTCGTAACCCTTCTGTTCTTCTTTTATCCCCCTCTCCCTCCCCTCCCAGGCTGCCGAGGCGGTCACCCCCGGCTCCCGCGCCGCTGTGGCCACCACCGCCCTGCTGCTGGTCGTCAAGGTGAGGAGACGGGAACAGCTGGGGATGGCATCGGATCATAGGGACGAAACAGGGGGTAATCATCGGGGAAGACGGAGACCGAAACGTCTCCACAGAGATGGAAGAGGGAGCCGCAGAGCGCGGAGAAACGCCGAGCCACTTCTTTCAACTTGTGACCCAGTCAGAGTCACGGTCCTGGTCATATGCATTGCTGCGCTTTGGGACTCAATAGCGATGCAGTTCTGCCTATTCTCCCACTTCGCTACCCCTCTTTTCCTCTGCGTTCCTCCTGGACAGGTTGTCTTCGCCATCTACGTGGTTGCGCTGCGGCCGTACACCAACCGACTGGCGCGCTTCACGGAGGGAGTCAGCCACGCTTGCGAGGTGAGGGGGGAGAGCACTGAGGGCGAAACAGGCTGCGAGGCTCAACTGCGGGTGCAAGCTTTTAGATGAGCATTCCATGCAGCTACCTGGACTACGTGTAGACGTGTAACTCCTTCATCTCGCATTCCCTCCTCGCTATCCCATCCAGGCGGCCATGGTGGCGTGTTTGCTGGCGCTGCAGCACTCGCAGCGTGTGGCGGCGCAGGTGAGCAGGGGTGGCTCCCGTTCACAGCTTTGCCGTTACCCGCTTGCGCAGTACACCCAATTATTTTTCGATCTGAAGTACAGGTATAGTACAGGAGGCCACCAAGCCAAACCCAAACCCAATCATGTGTTGTTCTCTTGGTAACCGACCCAACGCTTTTCACCTTCCGCAGGACGGCATGATGGCGCTGGCCATGATTGTGCTCGCCATGCAGGTGGGCCTGGGGGTGGTATGGAGGTGTTCGAGGTGTCTGGAGGTCTGTCAGGTTTTCCTTTCTTACCGGTACTTGGTGCCCCAAAGCAGCTGGGTAAGGGTGTGTTGAAGTATATGAATCCCTAGGAGGTTGTTACAACCTTTGATACACCCTCCCCCCTGTGGCCTCCGGGTCGCCCACGCAGTTGGCATCCGTGTGGACCCTCAGCGTCATTCCGGGGCTGCTGGCCACGGTGCGGATCTGCGCCAATCTGGCTCAGCAGCGGAAGCTACAGGCGGCTCAAGACCGTCAGAAGCAGCAGCAGGCCCAGAAGCAGCAGGAGAAGCAGCAAGTGACGCCGTGAGGGGAGTGCGTTGGGAGCGAGGGCCGCGGAATTTAGGGAGTGGATTAGATGACTCGAATCAGCAGTTTGACTCAGCAGGTACAATCGATAGGTCAAGCAAAATTTGAGAGTGTTTGCCGGATGACGTAAAAGAGAACACGTTGGATGTGCTTGATGGCTCCTGGTGATGGTTGCTGGAGAGATGTTGGCCAAGTGGCCTCGACTGTCAGCCTTAGCCCCAAGCATGGCCGGAAAGTAAAGCCCGGATGACCTTTGTACATAGGCGAACGTAGACATTATTCCGTGTTGTTGCATGGGGGTTTATGATTACCACAACGTGCGGGTATTCTTGTTGAGTAGGGAGGTATGTATCCGTAGCATGTATCAGATCCCAGTGATCCTGGTTCCCTGTAGCTAGTAAGACCCACGACAGGCATTGTTGTTATCGTTGACGTAGGTAGATGGTTGGGGACAGTTGAGTAGAAATAGGAATTTCATTCAAATTGCATGTAGGTGCTTGCAGGTAGGTGATGTGACCGAAACGGTTCTGGTATCATGTCGGGAGAGACCCAGAGCCCGTTGTGCTAGTGCGGAAACCCTGGGCCTGAGGCACGGCTTTTAAGGCTGCTTGCATCACGCGACAGTAGGTTTATTCCTTTTTGCGTTGCTACTGCCAGTTGCCGCAACAGCCTGCAACCCATTCTTGTTAAAGTATTAATGAATAAACTGCGAATTGACGTTGACCTGGGGTCCATTGCCCTGAATACAATCCTTGTAACACCTCTAGCGAGTAGTTGCTATGTTGCTGCAGATAGAGCCTGTCGACACTTGTGGCGTCACAATATCGCATGTAGTTTCAGACCGCTCTGTATGCTTTAGCAAGGTAGCCACATCAAAAGTCCATCAACCATGCGCGTCATCTTAATAGTCTTCATAGTGCTACAGCACGTCTACTCGTCCTTCAGCCCGCCCGAACCCCGTTTGCATTCAACAAGCCCACCCCTACCCCGCTCCACCCCAGCAGCCCCGAAAGGTTCCTGTGTTGCGGATTACGCCTGCACCCTAGTCCGCTGGTACAGCTGCATGACCCATGGGTCGGCCACCCAGCCCTCCAGCGGGTCCACGTAAGGCGGCGCGCCCCAGTTGCCGGTTGGGCCGCAGCAGGCCGCCCAGCCCGCCTGCAGCGCAGCCAGCACAGCGTCCAAGCTGTCACGTGCGGGCACATCGGAGGAGCAAGGAGTAAGGGAGGAGTGGTTTGGGTCTGAAAGGAGGAGGGGTCTTAGGGAGGAGGGCTACACATGTGATACGGGTGAAGGGAAGCCGCCATGTCAATCCAAAGAGGGGAAGAGGAGCATGGGGGAAGATGGGTTGCATTATAGGCCGTATGTCCTCATGCATGCTCACTGAGTGCAGCCGCCCCTCCAAGGCCGCCTTCCTTCATCACTCTGAGCCAAACCTGCTCACCGCTTCCGTCCAACAGGCACTCCCGCACCACCTCTCTGCAACCCCCATTCGTGACAAGCCGCACCAAGCAGCTACTGACGGGCCCGGGGACAAATCGAGGGAGGAGCCACCCACTCATGCAGGTGGTGACGGCGTCAGGGACATCCCGGCTAAGGCCTCTTACCCAGCCACCTGGCTCTGCATGCCGCCCACAGCCGCCGCCGCCCGTGAAGCAGCAGCAGGCCCTGGCAGCAGCAGCTCAGCACTCCCTCCGCACCCGCCTCTAACGACCGCCTTACAGATTACCCGCTACCCGCCTGGGATCAAGGCCCCAGAGTCGCTCTTGCAGCCCAATAGGGCCGCCTCCTGCTGACGTGGCCGCCGCTGCTGCCGCCTCCGCCTCCGCCACCGCCACCGGCAGGAGGGATGTCCTCCTTGGGCCCGCGGCGAGGGCTTCCGCTGTTGGCTCCTGACCGGCTGCTACCGGGCCGCCGGTTGGCGGCTGACAGCGGAGACGGACAAAGACGAATAGCCTGTCAACAGCGGGTTTGCCAATCCTACTGTTTTAGATTTGTATCATACTACTTAGTAGCCATAGGTTTGGTGTTGGGCAAAAGAAACCTCGGCAGTTAGCTGCAGGCTCGCTAGCACTTTGCCGGTATAGGGAGCCTAGGTAGGACTGTAGCACCATGGTACACAACGCTAGCGTGTTCTTTTTGCCCATGTTGGACCCCTGGTGGCCTCTACGACCGATGTCCTTCGGCTACGGAGCCGACATAGTTGTGGCTGTGCGTTCCAGCAGTTCTCGCTTTGTCACACGTGGCAGGCTAGGGCGCTTGGCCTATTAGGTGACCAGTGCATGCGGACGTTATATACTTACTACCGGTATTACCGGAGTGAAATTGCGAGCATGCGCGGGTGCTTCATAGCTGCGACGGTGAGATGACCCATGGGTCACATGGCGGCACCGGAACGTCTGGTAGCGACCACGTACGCTTCGGATGTTGCCCAGGTATATTTGGAGGCGGTGGCGCAACGTGGGGTTTAGGAGGTGGTAGTTTGTTTCAGTTTATCAACGTAGCACATTGCACCCTGGGCGAAGACATAGACAGTTGACGTACGGAGAGCCCAATATCCGGTCCACACCTTCCGGATGCCAGGTGCGTGGTCTACCTGCCGGTAGAGGCCGGGCCGTGACGTATACTCCCGTGTGCTTTCTTCACCAAATACATGGGCAGCGCTCGTTCAGGACAACTTGGTGTATTAATTAAAATTTATAATTAAAAAACCTTAAGGACTGTTACAAGCACCGTATTCCTGTTCCTATTTACCAACATCAAGTGCTTTGGGGACAAAACCCCTTGACTGAATGAATAACCGTTGCAATGGTCCCCTAAAAGGCAGCACTTCCAGCACTAGCAAAATTCACAGCACAGAACCGTACAACCGTAGGTTATAACTTGACACCCGGTACACCCTGCGGCTCAAAAGGTACAAAACTGTAATCTCCTTTGAAGGTGGGTGTTTACAACTCAGCGTTACAAGACAACAAGAGTTAAGAGAACCTCCAGTAAAAAAACAGCGAAACACATACCTCATAAAGGATAAAGGAGAACTGACCACGCACTAGCAGGACGACGAAGTGCTTGTTCATCTGGGTCCAAATAAATCGAAGTCTTTTAGTAAAGGTATATAGACCGATACGTACATGCCGCCACAAGGGAAACAAGCTGCGACACAACATACATGACGTCATATTCCATGTGAGGCTACTAATTGTCCAGCACTGTCCAAGTAAGGATGGCTTTAAGTGCCAAGTTTTCGTCAATTAGGTAAAAATGAATAACCCTATGCTGGTCCCATAGAGTGAAATGGATCGTAAACCCAGCCCCACTCTGCAAAAAAAGGAAACGTTAGCTAGTAAAGCAGTTCATAATGGGCAACCATAATTCAACACATAACCAAGAGGCATTGGATAGGCCTAAGAAGAGCACAAGTTAAGCCAAACAAAGAACGAAGAGGGGAACGGGTAGTAGCCACGAAACGGCCCTTCGTACAACAGTACGAGATAGCAGGAGTACTGTCGCCCAGCAGTATCCAGCATCCGATGAGCGACAAATACACTCATGTACGGCAAGACCGAGACACAGCGCAGAAACGCGCAAAGGAATCACAACGCATGTATAGATTGGTTACCAGTACCAATAGCCATAACCACATATGTATAAGTCGAGCACATCAAACCGATCAATACGGCTCTTTTATTTACTGCCGGAGCTCCAGGCCAACTGCGGCCAGCACTGGCAGATCCGCTTTGTTGTTCGTGATCTGGTTGTTGGCCCTGATCCGCACAGCAACCACCTCAGCCGTGTTGAGTGCATCTGCCGTCATGCGCGGCTGCAGCGCATCAGGTACCAAGGCAAACTGGTTGAGGGCTGCGCACTTCAGTGACTGCTGTGCACCCCCCGCATACATCGTGACTTCCTGCGGGGTGTCATTCTGCGCGAGGTGGAAAGCAACAGCAGCGGAGGGTGGAAGGTTAGCGAACTGCGGAGAGTGAAGTTGTAGATGGACAATGGCTGTTTAGTTTTGAACACAGCAGCAGGGTGAAGACGCTGCTAGTGAACAGCCCGATGGCAACCTTACGGGGCGTGCGGCTGCTTCCATGCACCCGCCCTCCCCCCATGTGTATTAACGCACATGTGCTCCCGGCGTCCGCAGCAGCAGCTCGATGGAGGAGATGGCGGGGCTGAGGGTGCCACTGCTGAGCACGTAGAGCTTCACGGCAGCAAGCTGGCTGACCAGGGCAGCCGGGGTCTGGTTGAAGGAGGCCACCACGTAACGAGGGTTCTGCAGGAAGGAGACAAACGTTCACGGAAGAAGACAGCGTGGTGACAAAGCAACGAGACATGTCACCTAGCACATCGACAAAGGACGAAAAGGCTGACGCGAGTGGCCTTTGCGCCCTCGCTCCTTCCTTCTATCCTAGATTCCTTCCTGCTCTTCTATTCTGGACCTAGCGCTTGTATTCGTCAGCGCTGCGGCTATTGGGTTCGTTGTCCCGATCCCAGCCCATCCAACACCCCACCTTGATGGTAGCCACCCAGCCCAGCGCAAGTGCAGCCCTGCAAGCCTTGATGTCAGTGACTTGGGAGCTGGGAGGACCCACGAGCTTGCTTACGGAGCCAGGCGCAGTGCTGGTCCCGTTGACATCCTGTATGATGTACAGCACATAAATTACCGTACGCAACAGTATGATTAGGCCGGCGACTACTAGTAATGTACCTTATTACGCACCGCACCATAGCGGGATTTACTTAAGGGATGGAACAAGGAGGACAATGGAACACGGTGTGAAGTTCGTTGCAGAGGTGCATCCATGGGGGCGACTACAACCTTCTCGCACACAACTGCTGATCCCATGAGTTCTTTCGTTTTAGTACTCACAAAGGGTCCAAATGCGGATGTGGCCCAGTACATGGGCGCAGGGGGTGGCGGCGAGGGCTGGCTGGGAGGTGGTGGGGAGCGCAGACGACGAGGCGGAGGACTTAACGACTTCGTAGGATGTGTAGGAGGCGGTGAGGGTGGCGGGGGGGATGGGGAGGTTGGAGATGGGGTGGGAGGTGGGGTACGGGGCAGTGGCGAGCTGGGCGGCGAAGACGGGAGGGGGCTTGGGGAGGTGGGAGGAAGAGAGGAGCGAGGTGGTGTTTGTGGGCTGGGGCTTGGTGAAGGATGCGTTGGTGGGCTAGGTGGCACGGGAGAAGGGGGAGGTGGTGATGCCGGAGGTGGCTGGCTTGGGCTGGAAGGTGGGGTGTGTGGGCTGAGGGCTGCAGGGCTGGCGGGAGGTGTCTGCTGGTTACGAGGAGGAGGTGGTGGAGGAGGAGGAGAGGGGCTAGGAGGGGACGGTGATGGAGGAGAGGGGCTAGGAGGGGACGGTGACGGAGGAGAGGGGCTAGGAGGGGACGGTGACGGAGGAGAGGGGCTAGGAGGGGACGGTGACGGAGGAGAGGGGCTAGGAGGGGACGGTGACGGTGGCGGGCTGCTCCACAGTATGCAGGCTCCGCCCGGGGCCTCACCGCCGTAGAAGTACAGGACTGGAGGGGTTGAAAGGGGTAGGGAAACCGAAGGTAGCGCGTTTGGTCGGTTGGGCTTGCAAGCGGGGGCGTTTCAGCTTTCCATGCATGCTTGCTAGCTTTATGTATAGGGGGGAGCGCAGCGGGTACGTTCTTACCTACCCCACTTGAGTACACTCGCTCTGACGGGTCAATGCTGTCAAAGAGCGAACCAGAATTGCTGCCAGGGTAGTAGGAGGCCATTGGCATGCCCACAAACTCTCGAAATAACGGGATCACGCTTACGTTTCCGAAATAGCCCCCAAGAATATGGTTCCGTCTGCATATTACAAGTGAGTGGGCGCCAAGGAAGGTCAAAGGGCCGCATGTAAGTTTAAGGAAGTTGTGACGAGGCCGGTTGATAACGAGGGCAATATGAGTGCATGACGGAAAGGGTCTGCTGACTCCCCCTATCTCGTTCGACGTTGGTATTGCCCGCAACCCTTTGCCTTCGGGTTTGGGCCATACATTAACCATGCAAGTACCCAATAAGGTGACAACAAGTACGTGTCTTGGCGGGGCTACGAGCTACATAGCCGCTGGCCTGTCATTCTGGCATTCTTGCATTTGCAAACCCTGACTCGGATAAAAACGTACAAGCTCCATTTTAAGAATGAGGGTAGCCCGTGCATAGCAATAAGGAACTTACGGGCCATCCGAATCCTGGTAGCAGGTCCAGCTTTTATGTACAAGGGCCCCACACATAGGACTGCGAAATGCCACGGAAGCGAGCATGTGCATCCCCCTCGGAGGAAGAAGCACCAAGGGTTAAGTTGGCCTCTGGACCATCCACTAAACATTAGCACCGGTGGTGATATGGGTATTTCGGGCGCCCTTGGCGAGGGTTACCCATGGCGGCGGTTACCCATGCAGCCTTGCTGGCAGTTGCTCGTTGAAACGGCAAAACACCAGTAAGCCGTAACGCTGGTTGTAAGCAAAGACCAGGGTTTCAATTCGCGCACCTTCGGAATAAGCAAGCCTTGCCGAGAGCAGAGCCCTGCGACCATAACATGTCCGCTTTCACCACCGTGCAACAGGCAGTAAAGTAATCAACGATGCTTGCGCACTTACGTCAGCAACAATGTAAGACATATCCTGCGTGAGGGCATTGCACCCAACCGCGGTATCCTAATGGGCATCCTTCGCCGGACTATACCTGCTGAAAGTACAGTGTTCGACTCTCAAGACAGCCATTAAGATATTAACGGAGCTTCGTTGCAGTTGGTTGCGTTTAACGGAGCTTAAACTCGGCTACTGACCGAAGGCACACAAGGTGCCAGGTACGCTACAAGGTAGGCCTTTTCAGTACCAGTTGTCTGGTTAGCAATTAGTGACACAAACCTAGAAGCTTTAATGCCAAGCAAGCCTTCTGTTTCAACCTCTATTGTAACCCTTACTACCGCTTTAGTACGGCATTATTCGCCGCCCACCTTTCATGCCCACCGACGCCAACTTTCTTGTTTTTTTCTTTTGGTTTCGCTTTGTGCTCGCGATCCATGAGCCTTCTGGCTCGGACGGATCTTACGAGCTCAGTACGAAGCTTGTAACACATACATACATACATACATACACGCCACCGTTAAGGCGGGCGCTGCGCTACACAATTGGGCACTGCATTTACCGTGTAAGAGCACTCCGTTGACTTCAACGACAGTTACTGATTTGTTTGCTGCGAAGCGAGAACTCGTTCATTGGCCGGCGGGGACCTAGCGGGGACGAGCGCAAAAGAGTGCAGCTCTACTGGCAAGTTAAGAGAACAAATACAACGCTGGGTAGCAACACGTATTCAGGCAAACAATGTTACTGCTGGTTTTGCCCGTAACAACTATATGCGGTAGCTGCCGGTCGTTTAGCTACTCATTTGCCAACGCAGTTCAACCTGCTGACAGGCATAGGCACCATACAGCAGCATCGGCTGCTGCCCTGGGCCTGGCATCAGCACCTGCGCCCACGGCGCGTGTCAGGGGCATCGGCATCAGCAGCACACAAGGGTATAGTTTACAAACCTAAAGGCCACAATTCCACCTAGCGGCCTTATCTCAGGCTTTCCGAAGGGCAATTCTTGAGGTGACCGCGCGGTGAGGATTGCCCTCCGCGCCGCTACCCGCCCGGGGTCCGCAGCCAGGGCCCCAGAGTCGCTCTTGCAGCCCAATAGGGCCGCCTCCTGCTGACGTGGCCGCCGCTGCTGCCGCCTCCGCCTCCGCCACGCACCGGCAGGAGGGATGTCCTTCTTGAGCCCCAAGCGAGGGCTTCCACTGCAGGTTCCTGACCGGCTGCTACCGGCATCATGTGCAGCACCGGCGCTTGCTGCTCCTGCGGTGACGGTGCCGTACCTCGGACAGGACAGGAACGTTGGGTGCAAGTGCGCCCGTACTTGGGCACGGCAGGACTGCTAGTTTGCATGGGCACATGTGGTCTGGCAGGATGGCAGGGTACACACACGGTTGTGTGTTCAGAAGCAACTGAGCCGCGTTACTGTACTGGCCATAGCCATTGCGGACAAATGCACGGACTGACGTTTGCTACATTGGCGACTGGTGACGACGGGAGGAGGTGTACGGTAGTAGTGCAGTGGTAGTAGGATCAGTACTCTATAATAACGCACAGGTACCAGTACTTCGGCAGGACACGGCACGGCATGCGCACATACGCATGAGCACCAGTATTCGGGCGGGTAGGGCGGGGTTTTGCACTCCACCACCTGTATGTCTTGATATCGGTAGACTGCGTGTTTCTTTGGCCTCCTCAAGCCGTTTGTGCTTCCTACCCGTTTGTGCATGCTAGCAGCCTTGGCAACGATCGCTGCCATTCTTTCTGGGGTGTGATTCAAGCATCCTTCTGCATCCTCAAGCTGTACATGCGCGCAACCGCATCTTCTCAACATCACCTCCCATTCCTACTCTTAGTCCCGCCCGCCCCGCGAGCTACGGGTAGCTCCCGCCAACGGCGCTCCCGCCAAAGGTGGGCCTTACTAGTATCGGAGAGAAATAGCGAGCTTGCGCAGGTGCTTGATAGCTGTGACGGCGAGATGACCCACGGGTCACATGGCGACACAGGAACGTCTGGTAGCGACCATGTACGCTTCGGATGTTGCCCAGGTACGCATGGGGGCGGGCGGTGGCGCAACGTGAGGTAGGTTGTTTCAGTTTGCCAACGTTATAGCACATTGCACCCTGGGCGATGACATGTACGACGGAGGCCCCATACCTATCCCGTCCATGTCACGCCCGATTATCGGCAATAGCCAGATTACCGTCACAGGGTGTTTCGGCAGGTGGTGGTTGCGGACTAGGGTTTGGGTTGCATGGGTCACTTGGGTCGTTCCGCCCTGGGAGATCTTCCGAGTAGCATTTGGATGCCTGGATTTATAGGATGATAGTTATTATGAGGCTTTGGTATGATTATTCTTGGTGGGAGATGCCTTGGAGGTTTCCGTAGCTCCAGGGATGGTCAGTGCTAGTGCATTTAGGTGTTGCTCGGCCCCGGTTCGGTGCCTCATCGTAACATGCAAGCGACGAGGCACCGATGGTAGCTACGCAGCTTGCTTGTCAGCGACAGCCATGCAGGCGCTGCAGCGCAGCCGTGAGCGCGCCATTGTGCTCGTCCATCTTCGCCTTCCACATGCCTCCTCCTCCGTGCTCCTGGTGTCCAACCCCTTCCTAGTTCCTACACACACTATCCTTACCACATTCTTGTTCTTCAACCCATTCCTGTCACGTCCAGGATAGCCAGCAAGCCAGTAACATGGCGTGACATCCACACCTTCCGGATGCCAGGTGGTCTACCTGCCGGTAGAGGCCGGGCCATGACGGATACCGGTACTTGGGTGTGCTTTTCTCACAAATACATGGGCAGTGCTTGCTCAGGACCACGTGAATGATAGAGATAGAAGTGTTTTGTAGGACTGTTACAAGCACCGTATTCCTGTTCCTGTTTACCATTGCTAAGTGCTTTGGGGACAAAACCCCTTGACCGAATGAATAACCGTTGCAATGGTTCCCTAAAAGGGAGCACTAGCAAGATCCGAACCGTACAACCGTAGCTACCGTATTGCCCAAAATTTAATTGACATGCGTTTGGAGGCCTATTTTCCAGCCCCATTTGACAAAGCGGGAATAATTTATGCCCCATTTGACTTCCTGATGGCGAATTTCTAGCCCCATTTGACATGCGCCAAAACGCCTCAAAACCCGCCGTACGTGTTGGATGTAACATGGTAAGGAAAGGAGCTGTTCAGCTGTATGCCGCTGTGTAGCCCTTGGAGGATAAATTGAACACCATTTGGAACCCCGACTGGGCATGGCGCGGTGAGGATCCAGCGCACTGGCAAGTCAGTTGCCCCCTACCTCTCCGTTCCCATCCTAGTTACCCTGCAGTCACCCCTGCAGGCGGAATATTTTGCCCCCATTTGACACCTTGCCAGCGAATTTCCAGCCCCATTTGACATGGCAAAAATACATTTTCGCCCCATTTGACAAAACCCAAAACATTTTATTTTTGTCAATTATATTGTGGGCAATACGGTATCAATTGATGACCCGGTACACCCTGCGGCTCAGGATGTGCAAACTGTAATCTTCTTTAAAGAGTTAACAAGCAAGACAGGTAGGTGAATGAATGACCGTTACAATGGTGCCCTAAAAGGGAACACGGGTGATGAACCCAACCCTACATTGCAAAAGAAACGGAACAAACCGTAGAGACAGCACCACAACGGGCCAACAAGATGGGAGACATAGCCCTCAAAGAAACCTCAGGAGGGAAACAAGAGGGTAGAAGCCAAAAAAGGCCGCTCAGCAAACCTCGACAAACCTCATCTAGGGCATAAGACAACCCAAACCGGAAGCCACGAACACACCACCCCAAAGACATCAGGGCCAAAAACAGGACGCTCAACGGCCCACAGAAAACCGCCCGCCAACAAGACGTAAGAAAGGATGAGAAGGGCCAACCCCAGCCCATCCCCGACGGGGAACACCCAAACAAGCAAAACCCCGAAGCTGACCCCAGAACCAGGAAACAGCAGACAGGGCCACCACATCAGCAAGCCCAGGCACAACACCCGCAGAACCGGACTCACGTACACGAGCCCGTAACAACCGCCGACCCTCCTCCATAGCGGACAAAGCAGCCAAAACAACAACATCCCAAACGCACTGCTGCACGCCCGAAGGAGGCAACGCCAACCACAAGGCAGCCCGAGGAACCGCAACACCCAGCGTGACCTCAAGCTGCTCAACCACAGCACGAGCAACAGGACAAGCCCAGAAAAAATGCAACCGCGAAGACACCCCCAAGACAACGGACCCACAACCACAACATTCCGGACGAGCCCTAGACATATGAGAATTCCCCAGCAAGGGAACCCCATCAATAGAAAGACGCCAAAACGCTTCCTTGAAACCATTCTCCCAACGAATCGACCAAAGACGCTGGAAAGAATCACGAAGGCCATCCAAGACACCCTCAGGAAGCTGCTGGGTAGCAGGTAACCCCAGGGCCTCCCGAATAAAAGCCGCATGCAACACAGCACGTTCCTCAAACACACCCCCAAGCTGAAGAACGGTAGCCATCCGAACCGACAGATTCCTCAAAGGAACGGCGCCAACATGAGGCAACTGCCACCCCAAACGTGGAACCAAAACCTGCCAAGCATCAACCTCAGAAGCCGGCGGAGGTTGGGGCGGCAAGGCATCAACAAGAAAAGCCTCAGCAGCCTCCACCCAAGCCACAGGCACCGCACCCAACAACGACTCAAGAGACGTCAAAAGATCACGACACCTATCCAACGAACAAAGAGCACAGGCATCCGGGGACGCCGGGTCCAAAAACCGACGTACAAGAGCGGACCAGCACCTCTCCATCACCCTGCCCTCAGCAACCCCTGACACACCGTTCAACAACGCTGAATCCCACGTGTCCTCAAAACAACGAAGTTGAGCCAGGGCAGCCACACACATACCCAATGAACGCAGGGCATGGCAATGAACGAGCACCGGATAGTGGTGTTCCAAACCCAACACACCAGGTTGGCCCGGCAGCCCAACCGGCAAGAAAGGGTTACCCCACAACGGAACACCCCAACACCAGCTACCCGGTACCAAAGGCTCCGACCCAATGTCAGTAACTGGCGGTAAAATTGCCATAGAAGTCACAACCCGACAAATATCCTCAGGCAAACCATCCACACCCAACCAAGGCCCCCTCCTGGACGCTGTCAACAATGATAGGGGACCAAAAGCCGGATGCAACCGCCGAAGGTACAGAAGCAACAAATCAGCGTGACAAAAGTAAGAGTAGAATCGAAACAGCGAAACACACACACCTCATAAAGGAAGTCCGACCACGCAGAACATGCCGCCACAAGGACAACAAGCTACGACACAACATACACGACGCCATATTCCATGTGATACTACCAGATGTCCAGCATTGCCCAAGTAAGGATGGCTTTAAAGTGCCAAGTTTTCGTGCTAACAAAGAACGAAGAGGGGAACGGGTAGTAGCCACGTAACGGCCCTTCGTACAACAGTACGAGATAGCAGTAGTACTGTCGCCCAGCAGTACTAGACAGAAAGATCCAATGAGCAACACGTACATCCATGTACGGCAAGACTGAGACACAGCGCGGAAGCGCGCAAAGGAATCACAACACGTCTATAGATTGATTACCAATACCAATAGCCATAACCATTTGCGTTTATGTCGAGCAGGTCAAACCGGGCGAACCGGCTCTTTTAATTACTGCTGGAGGTCCAAACCAACAGCGGCCAGCACCGGCAGATCCGCCTTGTTGTTCGTGGTCTGATTGTTGACCCTGATCCGCACAGCAACCACCTCAGCCGTGTTGAGTGCATCTGCCGTCATGCGCGGCTGCAGCGCAAGAGGTACCACGGCAATCTGGTTGAGGGCTGCGCACTTCAGTGACTGCTGTGCACCCCCCGTATACATCGTGACTGCCAGGGTGTCATTCTGCGGGGGTGGGGAGCAACAGCAGCGGAGGGTGGAAGGTTAGCGATTTGCGAAATAGTTGTAGGAGGATAATGGCTGTTAGTTTTAAACTCAGCAGCAGGGTGAAGGCGCTGCTAGTGAAAAGCCCGATGGCAACCGTACGGGGCGTGCGGTTGTTTCCATGCACCCGCCCTCCCCCCATGTGTATTAACGCACATGTGCTCCCGGCGTCCGCAGCAGCAGCTCGATGGAGGAGATGGCGGGGCGGAGGGTTCCACTGCTGAGCACGTAGAGCTTCACGGCAGCAAGCTGGCTGACCCGAGCAGCCGGGGTCTGGTTGAAGTAGGCCACCACGTAACGGGGGTTCTGTAGGAAGGAGACAAACGTCCACGGAAGCAGACAGGGTGGTGACAAAGCAAGGAGACATGTCACCTAGCACATCGACAAAGGACGAAAAGGCTGACGCGAGTGGCCTTTGCGCCCTCGCTCCTTCCTTCTATCCTAGACCTAGCGCTTGTATTCGTCAGCGCTGCGGCTATTGGGTTCGTTGTCCCGATCCCAGCCCATCGAGCACCCCACCTTGATAGTAGCCACCCAGCCCAGCGCAAGTGCAGCCCTGCAGGCCTTGATGTCAGTGACTTGGGAGCTGGGAGGCCCCACGAGCTTACTCACGGAGCCAGGCGCAGTGCTGGTCCCGTTGACATCCTGTATCATGTGAATTATTGTACAGCACATAATTTTCCGTGTGCAACAGTGTATGACTAGGCTGGCGACTACTACTAGTATTAATGGTAGCCTGCACCATGGCGGGCGCAACTCAAGGGATGGCGCGAGGAGAGCAATGGAGCACGGTAACACGATGTGAACCCCGCTGCAGAGATGTGTGCACGCATGCGTGGGTTACTACAGCCCTCCCGCACGCAGCCGCCAGTCCCAGTCAGATTGCTTTCGGTTGCCTACTCACAAAGGGTCCAGATGCGGATGTGGCCCAGTACGTGGGCGCAGGGGGTGGCGGCGAGGGCTGGCTGGGAGGTGGTGGGGAGCGGAGACGACGGGGCGGAAGACTTGGGGACTTTGTTGGAGGAGGAGGTGTGGAAGGAGGCGGCGAGGGTGGCGATGGGGATGGGGAGGTTGGAGGTGGGATGGGAGGTGGGGTACGGGGCAGTGGCGAGCTGGGCGGCGAAGACGGGATGGGGCTTGGGGAGGTGGATGGAAGTGGGGAGCGAGGTGGTGTTTGGGGGCTGGGGCTTGGTGAAGGATGCATTGGAGGGCTAGGTGGCACGGGAGAAGGGGGATGTGATGGCTGGCTGGGGCTGGGAGGTGGGGTGTGTGGGTTGAGGGCTGCCGGACTGGCGGGAGGTGTCTGCTGCTGACGAGGAGGAGGGGGTGGTGGAGGAGGGGAGGGGCTGGGAGGGGGTGGTGGAGGAGGGGAGGGGCTGGGAGGGGGTGGTGGAGGAGGGGAGGGGCTGGGAGGGGGCGGCGATGGAGGAGAGGGGCTAGGTGGGGGCGGCGATGGAGGAGAGGGGCTAGGTGGGGGCGGCGATGGAGGAGAGGGGCTAGGTGGGGGCAGCGATGGAGGAGAGGGGCTAGGTGGGGACGGCGATGGAGGAGAGGGGCTAGGAGGGGACGGCGATGGAGGAGAGGGGCTAGGAGGGGACGGCGATGGAGGAGAGGGGCTGGGAGGGGTCTGGGACGGTGGCGGGCTGCTCCACGTTATGCAGTCTTCACCCGGGGCGTCACCGCCGTAGAAGTACATGACTGGAGGGGTTTGGAGGGGCAGGGAAACCCAAGGTAACACGTTTGGTTGGTTGGGCTTGCAAGCGGGGGCGTTTCAGCTTTTCATGCATGCTTGCTAGCTTTATGTATAGGGGGGAGCGCAGCGGGTACGTTCTTACCTATCCCACTTGAGTACACTCGCACTGAGGGGTCCATGTCGTCAAAGAACAAACCTAAACTATCGTTAGAACGAAGGGAGCCCACATGAATGTCCACTGACACTCGAGCCTCCTCGAAATCGCTCTGGCTTCCGTGAAAGTCCCCGAGAATTAGGCCCGCTCTGCATATAACAAGTGAGTGGGCGCGAAGGAAGGTCAAAGGCCCGCATGCAAGTTTAAGGAAGTTGTGAAGACGCTGGACGATGAGGATGACAATTTGAGTGCATGACGGAAAGGGTCTGCTGTTCCCCTATCTCGGTGGATGTTGGTATTTCCCGCACCCCTTTGCCTCCGGGATTGGGTCATAACCATACAAGTACCCAATAAGGTGACAACAGGCACCTGGATGGCGCTACGAGCGAGATAGGCGCTGGCATGTGATTCTGGCATTCTCGCATTTGTAAACCCTGACTAGGATAAAAACGTACAAGCTTCATTTTAAGAATGAGGGTAGCATCAATTCGCCTAACCACCGTGCATAGTAACAAGGAACTTACGGGCCATCCGAATCCAGGTAGCAGGTCCAGCCGGACAAGCTCATGTCTGCGAGCATTTCAGAACGAACAGGGTTAAACAGGGAACGATGGACACGTATGCGTACGTTGTGTGTGCAAGGGCCGCACATATAGGACGGCAAAATGCGACGGAAGCGAGCACGTGCATCCCCCTTGGAGGATGTAAGCACCCAAGAGTTAAGTTGGCCTCTGGACCATCCACTAGGCATTTGCACCGGCGGTGATATGGGTAATTCGGGCGCCCCTGGCGAGGGGGAAGTGCTAGAGGAACGGCGGCGGTTACCCATGCAGCCTTGCTGGCGGTCGCTCGTTGAAACGGCAAAACACCAGTAAGACGTAACGCCACGTGTAAGCAAAGACCAGGATTTCAGTTCGCGCACCTTCAGAATAAGCAAGTCTTGCCGAGAGCAGAGCCCTGTGACCATGACATGTCCGCTTTCACCACCTTACGCGAGGCAGTAAAGAAGCCAACGATGCTTGTGCACTTACGTCAGCAACAGTATAAGAAGTATACTGCGTGAAGGCATTGCACCCAACCGCGGTCTCCCGATGGACATCCTTCGCCGGACTAGAACTGCTGAAAGTACGGTGTTCGACTCTCAAAATCGTCGTGAAGACACTAATGGAGCTTCTTTGCAGCTGTCACGTTTAACGGCGCTTAAACCCGGCTACTAGTCACGCTAGCACTACCAAGTGCGCATTTTCAGTATCAATTGTATGGTTAGCAATTACTGACACAAACCTAGGGTCAGGCTTTATTACCATGCTGGTGCGACCCTTTGTTGTAACCCTTATTACCTCTTTAGTAATCACCGGATGGTACGGCATTCGTCGCCGCCCGCCTTTCAAGCCATGCCCACCGCTGCGCCAGACAGTAGGGAACTGTATTTACCGCGTGAGGGCACTCCGTGCTTAAAACAATAGTTATTGAATTGTTTGCCGCGAAGCGAGAACTCGTTCATTTGCCGGGGACCTAGCGATGACGTGCCCAAAAGAGTGCAACTCTACTTGCAAGTTCAGTGAACAAATAAACGCTGGTTACCCACATGGTATTTGACAACCGTTGTTGCTGCTGGTTTTGCCTGTTCTGTCTGTAATAATGCATCTGCGCCCACAGCGCGCGTCAGCGGCATCGCCTGCTACATAGCACACAAGGGTACAGTTAACAAACCTAAAGGCCATAACTAGCGGCCTTATCTCAGGCTTTCCGAAGCGCAGTTTTTTAGGTGTATATGTTGCTAGCTAACAGGTAGGATTGCCAGCTTTCTGGAACAGGGGTGGGCTTCACCATACAGGATGCCATAAGGCTTGGCGTAGCTGGCACTCTCAGGGGAGACTTCCAAGCATCCTCGGGGAGTGCCACGCTCCCCACCCAGCACCAACCCAGACACCCTAACCCTGGACACCTACCCAAGCCACGCACCGAAAAGCCGTACGCGTGTGTCGTACGCCCCCAGGTGCCCCCACCCTGCAGCCGCACCCCCACAGCCCCCTTGCTTACCCGACGCCGCTCCCTGTTCCAAATTCATCCCGCTTTCCCTTGCCTCCCGGCGTGAGCACAGCTGTTTAGCATTTAGCCTGTGCTGTGCAGGGGTATGACAGTTTTTGAGCCGTGATGAAGCGAGACTAAGGGCTTCTCGTTAGGGAAAAGTGAAGCTGCCCGCCTTTGTAACTTCCGGTGTAAAGAAATCAAATGGTAGACTACCAACTAGCAAGACAGGTTGGGTCATCAAGGCTTGCACGGATATCATGCTGCTTGTGTTGAGGTGTACCATGCGCCCATGCCTGGATAGCCCATCCTTTCGACACCTTTCTTTCACCCGAGCACCTCCAAACTCCGCAAATCCAGCTACGCGCAGGATTCCAATCTCGTTTCCAATCCTAGAAAGCGCTCGAAGAGGAGGAGGAAGGGTAAGAGTGGTCGTACACGCTGTTCACTTTGTCTTACCAGCAGGGCTGCTCAGCGATGTGGGCTAATGTCAGGGACACGCAGGGGTGCCGCGAGTAAAAGGTGGCGGCTTGGGCAACAGCAGGAGCACCAGAGCCTGCAGCAGGAAGCATGCCAGCCCCGGCACCACCCCCTGACACCAAGCTGGGCTAAGCGCCCGGGCGGAGAAAGGTGGCCGATTGCCAGATGCCGTGAGGCAGCAGCAGGCGGCAGGCTCCACCTTCTTGCAGCGCACTGCTCTGGCTGCAATCCCAACAAGGGGTGCACCAGGACGAGGGTTACAGCAGGACAAGGGGTACAGCAGGACAAGAGGAAGCACACCAGGTCATACGCATAACTAGCGCACACTACCTAGCTCTGGTCGCCCAATGCCCGCCGCTTGCGTCCGACTATGCTACCAGTGAAAGACCTGCCTGCTTTGCATGGGGGCCATTGTGGTTGCTGGCGGAGCAATGTAGCATGCAGCCCGCCAGGAGGCTATCATTGGCAGCAACCTGGCACGTACCCGGGGTGTAGCAACCCCACGCAGCCGCCTTCCTGGACATGCCCAAGCACATGACGGGCCACACCAAGCTGGGAACGCAATTACGAAGCCTGCAGCCTACCTTACTGACGACCGGACCGGGCCACAGGGTAACGGTGGAAACGCACTTGGCAAACGAGTATGGGTACTAAAGGGCACCAATTCACGGCTTCTGTGACAGTGGAAAGAGAAAGCTAATAGCGATGAACGCAGGAATACTTTCCCCGCTAGGAGAGTCTTGGCATCGCCATAGCAGCAGCATGGACAAGTCACACTCTCACGGTCCTCGGCCCTTGGGGGAGGCGAGCGTCACTGGGTTGGAAACTGATGGTGCGAGCTGACTTGCTCGGCATAACTTTCACAGCATGCGGAGCTTGCTGCCACGCCCTATGTCATGAACGGTTGCACGGGGCACGTAATCCGCTTACTGGTGCGCAAAGCTACCGCGTAAAGCCGGGCGTGCCGAACCTGCTTGCGCCTTGACGCCATTCGCCCCACGTTTCGCCATAAAAGCAGGAAACTTGTAGCACGACATCGACAAACGATGCGCGAGTTGAGCCCAGTACTATGAAGACACGGTTGTCTCCACTGCTACGCTTGGCCATCCTTTTTGGCGGCAACCGCAACATAAATGCATGGGATCCTGCAGCAGGCGACGGATAAGGGTATGCTCCTACTTCGGTGTGGGTTCTGGGTGGAAGGCAGCAACCTGTTTTGTACGCAAAGGTTGGACCAGCCAAAGTGCAAACTGAGTAACATGCTCACTTGCATGTTTACAATAGTTACTACAGGGCGAGGGGTTTGCAAGCCTACTAAAGCTTTTTAAGTACGATGCCCTCAGTACGGGAGACGGCCATGGGCGCTCTATAGCCCGTCTTTTGTGCCATTAACAGCCCTTTCTTTCGTGCACGTCTGAGGCCGCTGCTAGAAAATATGGCCGTAGGTGTTAAGAAGCCGGCCGCCAAGGGCGCGGCGAAGAAGAAGGCCCTGGTCTTCACCATCGACTGCTCCAAGCCGGTGGAGGATAAGATTATGGACATTTCTTCGTTTGAGAAGTTCCTGCTTGATAAGATCAAGGTGGACGGCAAGACGGGCGTGCTGGGCGATGCCATTAAGGTCGCCAAGGACAAGACGAAGGTGACCGTCACCGCGGAGACCAACCTCAGCAAGCGTTACCTGAAGTACCTCACGAAGAAGTACCTGAAGAAGCACAACGTGCGCGACTGGCTGCGCGTTATTGCCTCTAACAAGGACAGGAACGTCTACGAGCTCCGGTACTTCAACATTGCCGCGGACGAGGCTGAGGAGGACGAGTAAAGCGGCTTGGCGTAGCAGCTTGGACTGGAGCTCTGGCGCAGCTTTTTCGCCGCCGCAGCTTTTTGGCGCATGCGTCGGCGGCGGTCTTGCGGGGCGGCTGCCTGGACCAGCGTTAGTGTTGTTGCTGAGGCGAATGCAGCTGGTGTGCAGCGCTTGTAACGAGAGAAAAGTCCATCTTGTTGTCCCTTCCGACCCAGGCAGTGCACTATGGCATCTTTCATCGGGGCATCAGCTTTGTTAGCAATAGGCCGGAGGCAGCACCCACGAGTGCATAGCAGCTGCTTAGCAGATTGTAAGCCAACGTTGGTGAGTCTGGGCGGGCATGTACTCCCCGCCTGCGTGCCAGTGTTGAGAGCTATCCATGTTGCCGCCTTGAGAGCTATCCATAGGTAACAGGGGGGGCCCACTTGCCCAGCGCAGCTGGGCTTTATCTGCAGCTGCTAGGGGAAGCGGCAACATGCTGGGTGAACAGGGGGGAACTAAGGGCTTAGCGAGGTTGCCCGTTGAGTCAGGGTTTGCACGTATTGTTTCAGTTCACCTCGCGGACAGCACCTGTGTCAGCACACGCAGCAGCAGCGCAGCGCAGCAAGAGGGCAATGCGGGTGCAGCACTGCTGAGGAGCCATTGGCAGTGGTGTAGGGAGGGGAACCTTCATGTCAGCACACGGGCGCATATGGCATTTGATGAGTGAAAGCAGCCTCACGACGCATGCGTTTGTGCTTAGGGGGGTTGGAAAAGCAAGCAGTGGTTTGGAGTGCCCCCTAACTGTAGAGGTGGGTGCTGTTAGGGGCCCTTTGTAGTGCGCTACCAAAGGGTGGCACGCGTATGGGAGTCCATGGAAGATGCCAGCCTTGGTGTCTCCAAAGCAGCTGGAAATAGCGTGTGCAGGTGTGCTGATCTAGGTGCGCTAGCATGCACATTAAAATTGTACGACAAGGTACTTAACGAAAACGTACGGCAGCACTGTACTCCACGGCAAGCCTACTGGTTTTAGACACGCACATTGGCCTGCAAAGGGGGTTTAGCGAGCGTTGTCGTCAAGAGGTAAGGAACGAAGAGGCGGACTTAAGTGAGTCAGTAGGGTATGCGACGGGGAGTGGGCGTTGCGCATAGGATCAGCCACAACCCACAAGACATTACGGGGGTCGCCGTATGCTTTTCGCGCTGCAAGAATCACTTTTGGTTAGTGGAATGCTAATTAGGCGAAATTTTTCACTACATAGGTCACAGACAAGGAAAACGAGCTTGCGTAGAGAATGCAAGCAACAGTCTTACATAAATTGTCGATGGAGTCGTTGGTGATGCCATGTCCCGTTCGGTCAGCCGCTATAAAAGGAATACACAGACAATTGCGGCACTGCGGTAGGGCGCGCGCGTATGTTGGACCGGTGCGTTTTCTGGTAAAGCACCCTGAACCTCGTCCAATACTTGAAGTAGCCTGCCCTTGCTGCAACTGAATAGGCTGTTTATGAGACAGCTGAACAAGCAGGCACGTTATGGGATGGGCTTTTTTCTGCAAGCCAGAGTGCCGATGCGCTCGTCACAACACAGCTAGCAGGTAAAGCGGCCACAACTTGGGCCAAGTTGTTAACGCTTTGCCAAAACGATCTCAACGCACTGTCGCCTAATCTTGTAGGAATAACGCCTATGACTTACCTGGTCGTATTGGGTGCGGGGCTGGTGACCAGCCTGTCGCCATGCACGCTAAGCGTGTTGCCGCTTACCATCGGGTACATCGGTGGATACAGCAAGGCGGAGGGGGCGGGCGGGCCTAATCTTACAGCCCAGGTAACTTAGATGCCGTTTGGCGCAACACAATCTCCAACCCTCCAACTCTGCCCTCAATTTACCCCATGTGTTATCTTCCCCCCGCTTCTCCGTGATTTTCCCTCTCTCTCGCCTACCCGTTTCCCCCCTCCCCCTTCCCTCATGGTAAAGCTTTGCGACATGGTTGTCTAGTTTCTCCCTCTTTTGTTCCCCCTCCCTCCCCGCAGGCGGTTTCCTTCTCCTTCGGCCTGGCCACCACACTAGCTGGGCTGGGCGTTGCCTCCTCGCTGCTGGGTCGTGCGTACGGGCAGGTGGGGAATGAAGGGGAAAGGAGGGAGAAGAAGAAGAGGGGGTAGGTGTGGGAATGGAAGGAAAAGAAGAATACGGTAGTAAGCTTGGCCTGTATGACAGCGGTAATGGTGGCAACACCCTGGTAAGGCAAGCTGCTGCTGGTGCGGGTGCTGCTGGTGCAGGTGGGGGAGGGGCTGCCGGTGGCGGTGGCGCTGGTGGCGGTGCTCATGGGGCTTAACCTGCTGGAGGTGAGGCAGGGAGGGAGGCAGGCAGGGAGGGAGGGAGGGAGGGAGGTGAGGCAGGGAGGGAGGGAGGGAGAAAGGAGGACTTGCTCACAAGAGGCAGGAACGAGTTGAGGAAGAAGCCGCCGCGGGTAGTACTAAACGTTCCCAGTGCCCGAATGGTTGGGGCTTAGGGGGGCAGAGACGAAAGCCCAACCTTTTAACAGGGCCGTGGCAGGGAGGGGGCTGGGTGGCCCTTGCGAACAGGTACAAGGGGGCGGGGTAAGAGTTCGTTGGACCCGAGCACACGTCAGCAACGGTAGCAGTAGCGGCCAGTAGCGGAAGTGTGAGGGCAGCGGTTAGGCGGGCAGCGGGTGCGGGGGCAGGTTTCGGCGGCGTGCGTAGCGTCACAGTCACGTAGCGGCACCGAAGGGCTGCCCTAGCCGCTTCCGGCTAACGATACGAGCGCACACGCGACTGAGTACCGTAACGGCCGCTTACAATAGCCCCCTTCCTCCCTTCTCACCTTCTCCCTCCCCTTGTCTCCCCCTGCCGTGCAGGTGCTGCCGCTGCGGCTGCCCTCCCTGGATGTGGACGTGCGGCAGGTGCCGGTGCCGCCCGCGCTGCAGGCGTACCTGGCGGGGGCCACATTCGCGCTGGCGGCGTCACCGTGCAGGTGGGGGGGAGAAGGGGAGAAGGAGAAGAAGCTGTCTTGGTGGAAGCCCCTGATGAATGTGTGCAAGGAAACCGGCCCAAACGTACGTTGGTAGGGAGGGAACCCGTAGGCCAGCGCCGGTGCCTACTGCCACCTCCTGGGGCCGAGGAGGGGCTGGGTTGAAGACACCCAGCAGGCAGTCCCGGCTGTGCCCGGCTCCGGGCTGCTGTCTTTTGGCAGGGCCGGCTAAGAGGCGTTGCGGGCTGCTAAGCTGCTTCTGGGCACTCTACCGGGAGCCGCCTTTCGTGTCTCGGCGGTCGCGCCTTACCATCCTTCATCGCCCTTTCCCCGCTACCTCCCCTCCCTCCCCTCCCTTCCCATCCCTCTCCTCCCCACCCCCAGCACCCCGGTACTAGCCACGCTGCTGGCCTACGTGTCCTCCGCCCCCGACCCGCTGCAGGGCGGCTGCCTGCTGCTCACCTACACATGCGGATACGTGGCGCCGCTGCTGGCGGCCGCATCCGTCACGGTATAGGGGGCAGCTGGGCGGGGCGGGGCGCGCCTGCGTGTACTGGTCTCCACATACCCGTGTCAACATTGCCGTACCGGGCATACCTGCGGGGGGTATTGTTGCATGGGGCGAGGCGCGTACGGCGCCCCGGGGTCTACAGCCTGTCCCGCTTAGTTCCTCCTCAACCCCAACCTGGTGCCGTCCTCCTGCCCCCAGGGAGCGGTGAAGCGGCTGCTGGCGCTGCGGGCCTACTCCGCCTGGCTGACTCCGGCGAGCGGGGTGCTACTGCTGGCGGGGGGGACGTACGCGCTGCTGTCAAGGCTGGTGCCGGCGTGAAGGCCGGATGGGATGTGTATGTGTGTGGCGCCGGGAGGGGTAAAGTGGGTGGCGATGGGTGTAGGCTGACGTGACGCATGGAAGGGAAAGAGACGTGGGACATGCGGGGGCGACACGCTAAGGGTGGCGCAGAAGTGACTCCGTGTACGTCATGAGTCAGGACAATGTGGTTTGGAGCGCCGATGAAGTGTGGATGGTTTGCTGGACTGTTGTTGTGAACATGCAGCTATCTGGATGTTGCAGGTGTTTCGCCCCAGCTTTGTGGGACAGCAAAGACATATATTGTATACATGCGGTTTCTTTTCTTGGCAGTATTCTGGCAACAGACTGATGTTGCTACTTTCCAACCGGCGCGCCGTACGGCGCTTCGCAGCTTCCGTCCACGATTGGCGAGTCTCACTCCTGCATACGAACTGCACAAGAATAACTTAATAAGCAAACGTCTTTTGTCTTTGACTGACCAGAATTGTTTCTGACTAGAAGTTGCGTGCGTGTTTGACGGGCAATTTTGCTCGCCTTGCGGATTGGCACCCTCGACCACTGATGAAATAACTAAATAGTGATTTACATTTATCGCTGCCAAAAGAATTGAAGGAGACGTGAGCTGTCCCTAAATTGCAGGTGCTGTTGGAAGTTGGCACTGAAAATTCGCGAAAAGGACCAGCTAGCAGCAGTGGATACATTATGAATGCCATCCTAGATAGTAGAATTTGTTGGCAATTTCCCTAGAAGAGCACCGTCGCAACATCATCCGAGCGTTGTCGGGGGACCCTGCCCCAACGCTGCTTCTCCCCGGCAAGCAGCACCCCTTCCTCTAGCCAAGCTCGGTAGGGACAAGTTGGCGGAGGCTCATGTGCTGCTTATCGCTCATCTGGTGCGGTGGCTGGGATGTGGGTCTGCGCACGCGCTTCACGGTCGCCAAGTGGTTCTATTGCGTTGGATTCACCGCCACCGCCATCGCGGTGTGGGTGCTGCGGGATTATGGGGGCGACTTCCTGCCACGAGAGGTCAGCGCTTTCAATCTGTGTAAAGAGGTAAGCAGCGGGAGCTTGAGTGAGGAACAGCGCCATGGCATTACCAACCCCAAACCGACCCCGTGCTCTCCGCAGCCTCCTAGTCACCTTTACCTGCCTCACAGTTCGCCCTCAGGAGCTAGTATGGCCTCTTCCTGCCGCCATCCGCAGCCATACCCCTTCGACCTTCCCCACTCCACAACCTCCACGCCTCCATCCAGCCCTACCCCTGGCACCCCTACTACAGCCCACGGTGGTGCCGCAGCCCATCTCACATGCTTAGCTCCCTCCTCTCCACCCGCCCCCTCCCCAGGCTGCCGACCCCGCCTCCGTGTCTCGCTGCGCCGGCAAGGAGGTGGCGCTGCGGGTCAGCTTCGCCAACCTGGTGTGGTTCGGCGCGCACCTGCTGGGCTGCCTGCTGCTGACGCGGGTGGAGGACCCGCGGGTGGACCTGCATGCGGGGCTGTGGGCATGGCAGGTGCGCGGGGGGGGGGTAAAATTAGGGAAACTGACGAACTGTATGACGAGGCTTGTGCGGGGAGGGGGGAGGGGAGAAGAGGAAGAGGGCCAGGGTACATCCAGGGTTGGGACCGGAACCGGGCCGGTCTTGGCGGCTATACGATGCGTACCGTGGTCTATGGTATGGAGAAACGTGAGGAGAGGAGTGGCCCCCTGCTACGGCGCTCCTGCCGAGGCGGAGCTGCGCTGCAGGGATCCCTTCCTTTGCTCAGTAAGCGCACGACTTTATTCTCCATCTGCCCGTCATGACGCCTCTTCCACCTCTCTCCTCCCCCGTTTCCTCTCTCCTCGGCTGCTCCCTTGCGGCTCCTTCCCGCCTCCTTGCCTCGACCATCCTGCCACGCCCTCCCCAGGTGCTGACGTGGCTGGCCGCACTCATCGGCTTCATGTGGCTGCCTGCCAGCACGCTGGCAGGGTATGCGCAATTCGCGCGCTACGCCAGCGGGGTCTTCCTGGTGCTGCAGCTGGTACTGCTGGTGGCCTTCGTGTACGAGGTAGGTACGAGAGATGCCGAACGAGGTGTGCCGTACGCATCATAGGACATGGTGGTGATTTCGTTGGTTTGTGAGTGAATCGCGATGAGGCGGGGGGTGGGAGGGAGCACAACTGAGAAGGAGGAGAGGAGAGCTCAGGCGCTGGGCTGCGGCCGCTAGTCAGGAAAGGGCACAACACGCCCGTCACCTTCTTCCCCTCCTCCATTGTCAGTTACCACAAGTTGGTATTCTTCCATTCCTTCCCCCCTCCACCTCCCACCCCCGCTGTGCAGGTGAACGAGTGGCTGGTGGCTCGCGACTCCCCGGCCGCCTGGGCGCTACTGGTGGGCGGAGCGGCGGTGGCTTTCGGGGGAGGACTGGTGGGTGACGGGGGCCGCTGCTGGGTGACGGGGGCCGCTGCTGGGTGCTGTGCTGCTGTTGCCACGCGGATATCCGGCCGGCGAGCCAGAAGGGTGGTTTTGGGGAGCGGGAGGAAACACCCGGCTGATGGCTCCTCCCGTAGCCCCACTGTTGTTGCCACCTGTGAGGGCTGCGATTCACGGTCCTCATGCACCCTAGCGGGCCCCCCATGCGCTGGCACCCGTGTCCCCACATGGCACATGCCCTTTTGCCGGCTAGCACTGGCATCCCCTGTTGCCTGAATGCCACCTTCTCCCCAGGGTCCCACCTTCGGTGTGTATCCCGGCCATCCTCACCCTACCTCACCTCACCTCACCCTCACCCCCGCACCTGTGCTTTCCTCTGGTTTGGGATGGTCTTTTAACCCCCCCCCCGCCGATCCGCCCCCAGGTCCTCACCGGCATCACCTACCACTACTACGCGCCCGCCGCCTCCTGCTCCCTCAACGTCTTCTTCATCACCTGGAACCTGCTGCTGGGGCTGGGGCTGGTGGGGCTGCTGTTCGTGCCGCGCCGCGCCCCCACCGCCGGGCTGCTCACCTCGGGGGCCGTGTGGCTGTACTGCTCCTACCTCACCTACTCCGCACTCGCCTCCGAGCCGCCCTCGGAGCGCTGCACCCGCGGGGGCGGGGTGAGCTCGGGCGGCTGGGTGGGCGTGGTGGCGTTCTTCATAGCGCTGGCGGCTGTGGTGTACTCCACGCTTACAGCGGGTGAGGGGGGTGGGGGTGAGGGGCGGGGGGAGTGAACGCAGGGCTGGGGGGCTGGGGAACGGGGTAGGGTGGAAAGGGAGGAGGGGGGTAAGGCGTCGCAAGCAGCTGCTGTGGGATGTGACTGGGATCACAAGGGTGGTTTCCAGCGTCCTTGCTGGAAATCTAGGGTTCAAGGCTCCCGAGTAGTCAGCACATAGCCTTGAACCCTAGGTAAAAAGGCAGTCAGCGCAGGTACTGCGGGATACCGGTGCCTTGCTATATAGCTACACGCTGCGTGCGCACAGCGGCCCAACCGCTGTGGAGGGTCATCCACCGCCCTCCTGCTTTACTTGCAGGCGTTGCGAGCCGCGACATGTTTGGCGGTGGCGGCTCAGGTGACCCGGGGGTCGGCGACAACTCCGTTGAGCTGCCGTACCGCCCGGACTTTTTCCACCTGGTGTTCGCAACCGCCTCTTGCTACCTGGCCATGCTCTTCACCAACTGGGCCGTCAACGAGTCGCGAACTGCCTTCGAAATAGACCGCGGCTGGGCTAGCACCTGGGTCAAGATGGCGAGCAGCTGGGCTTGTGCGCTGATATACGGTTGGACGGTGGTGGCGCCGGCGATACTGAAGAACCGTGATTTTGGGTTGCCTACGTGAGGGGCTGCTTGTGTGTGGGGCTGGGTAATGAGGGGGGCAGTGAACGAGATGAGCTTGTGTGATCCGGGGGAGGTAACGTAATGAGGTAATGCTTACATGCCGCATTGATCCTGGCTGTACCATCAAGTGGAACGGAGCAACGTATTAGGGGCAATGGAGGAATGGATGATTGGGCATTCAAGAAGGCAGAATGGAGGGGGGGACGCTACGCTGGGGTGAAGGCGGATGACGGAAAGGCTGGACTCAGCACGGTAAGGGCAGTCCGTGCGTACCAGCTACCCGGAGGCGGTACGACGCAAGTGGTTGTGATGATCTAGGATATCAGCTGAAACTGCATGCGGTATTGTGCTCTACCACTGGGTTACCGAAGTGACGCAAGAGATACGCAGTAAAGAGTTACGGTTCGGCACGCGATTGCGGTTTGGTACCCTCCACGATCGCCTCCACTACGGTAATGCCTGACGCAGCAACCTGCAGCAACTACAACAAGATTGTTGTCACAACCTGTTCTGTCCCGTGCAATGGGCTGCTGGCACAAGGTTCACAGCACTGCACAACTACGATTAGACTTACTGCCTCCCGATTGTCCTCCCTCAAACGCCAGTTATGGGGTTAATAAACCCACTTACCCTACGTGCTCACCACCACGACTATGCAGAAAAGTAGCAGTCGCATACCCTACGGCCCACATGCAAAGATACGGTTGGCCAATAGCTGCGCTAAAAGTATAAACACGAAAGGCCCCCTGCTAATTGAAGCTCTCCTCGGTGCACACGTCAGCAAGCCACTCGCTGCACAATGGGGTGCGGCCACCACATATAGCCACCCGTAGCCGAGCCTGCAATGCAACCGACTGGCCCCGGCCCGTCCTTCAGCACCATCCTGCACGCGCTCAGCGTTCCCACCGTACCCTACGTCCCGACCTGGGAAGGTGCTGCACAGGATAAAGAGGCGAGCGGACACCCCAACCTCCATGCGGCACCATTCCCCATGCCCAGCAGCCCGTCTACTCATCGTCTGACCCGGACATGTCGTCAGCCAGCTCGGGCCGGACGAACTCCCCCATCAGCCGCACCAGCCACTCCAGCAGCGGCCGCCAGCTGCTCGGGTCATCCGGGTTCTCGGCGGCGCTCCACGCCTCCTGCAGCACCTGCGCAGGTGGGGCGACATGGGCGGGACGTCGGGGTGGACAAGCGCGCGGTGCGAGATGAGGATGTGGCGCAAAACAGCATGGGCCCCCAGGTCAGCGTGTGTACATGCCGCCAAGCCTACCATCTCGTCCGCACCCCTAGTATTCACACCTGCGCGGTGTTAAGAAAAGCCGTAACGGCACCTAATGCCTACCCATGATGTACAAGGAAACACCTACTGCACACATGTACAACATGCCCTTCCCTCGCTGCACACGCATGCCGGTACCCACTCCGCACCTCTTCCATAGCGAGCATCAGGGCATCACCGCAATCTCCCAGCTCGTCATACCACCCGTTGCAGCCCGCAGCCAGCACCTCCACGCAGCCCTCCAGGCCGCTCTCCTTCACCAGCCACGACACTGCAGCCCTCACCCGAATCGCCAGCCGGTTGAAGGTAGCCACAGCAAAACAAACGGTACCTCCAGCTTGGAAGATGGTATAAGTCTTGATGCAATCCCCACCCAACTTCTCTTCCGCCTCCGCCAGCACTCCCCGAATCCGCTCTCCTTCCGAGACGGGTCCGCGCATTAGGAAGAAGATTTCCGAGGTGAATGGCAAATCCGCCGGCCACCTAGAGGGTGGCGGTGGCCCTCCGGACACCATGCGTGCGATCGCCCTGTTCATTAGTTCCTCTGCCGATGACAGTTCAGGCACCTGGGGCCCCTTGGTGGCCTGTGCCAGCTGCTGCTGCTCCTTAACCCCAGAAGGCGGAGGTAGAGTGGAGCCCATGCCCTCAATCTTAGTGTAGCACATCCAACTCGAACTGCTAGCCGGACAGCGCAGTCCGACCTCCATCGGAATGCCCATCAGCTCAATCATCTGCATCATGAGCGCTGGCGAGTTGCTGTTCACCAGGAGTTGCTCGACATGTGTGTGTGCGAAGTACGCCTGCAGCTTGCACAGCCCTTCCAGGTCCGCCGGCCCCAGCTGCACAACGTCGGTCAGCTCCACAGAATCGATGTAGAGCTCGCCCAGCGGCTGCTGCAGCTGCGCGCCTGCCGTGAGGGTTGACAGCTGGCGGCCTAGGTCCAGCAGCTCTTCCAGCTCCCCACCCTTGCATTCCAGCAAGCTCACGGCCACGAAGCGGCCGGCCTCCAGCTGTGCATGAAGCCTACTGAACTCCCACCCGTCGTCAATCCGGCCCTCCAGCTGCAGGCGCTGTAGGGAGGCTGGCAGGCTGCGCAGCAGGGACCGTCCAATGGACTGGGTCGAATAGGTGCACTTGTGAAGGCGCAGCTCACGTAGCCCTTGCAGCTGCGAGATGCAGCGGGCAAGGACCGGCTCCAGGTTCTCATCCTCATCCCACTCGCTGTAGCCGTGGATTTCCAGGTACTGGAGGTTGCCAGCGTTCGCCTCGGTCAGGGCAAACAAGAGTTTGCCAGCACGGCAGCTTGGCAGCGACAGCCAGTTGAGGTGCGGCAGGCTGATCGTACTGTGCTGGTACGAGAGCGATATTCCGTGATAGTTGCGCATGTCAAGCTGCTGGAGCCCGGGCAAATGCCGCACGACTGCCGAAACAATTATTTCTGAATTTCGGACGGCATCACAGGCGGGCTGCGACAGCTTCAGGCGCTTGATACGCTGCCGTGTCTCCAGGGGCAGCTGCAGGAAGGGCTGCGTGGCAAGAAGGATGGCGTCCGAAGGGTTGAAGCTCTTGTTAAGTCTAAGAGAGAGGGTGGCAGACGTTAAGTTCTTGAAGCGGGCAAGGGACGGTAGCTGGCCGCCTTTACAATCATGAAGATGCTCCGGCTGCAGGGTTATGTAGACATTCGTCACGTAGCCGTCCACCGCCGCGCACATGCCGCGAGAAGCGAGGCGAAGGGCGTGTAAGCTTGCATAGTCCGTCCGCAGTTCTTCAAGGACTTGCCCCAAAATATCACAGTCTAAGTCTCCTAAGCCTTTGGGCGTGGTATCCTCTGCTCCCATCGTTGTTGCCATGGCTGTCTGCTAATTTAAATACAATGCCTCCCCTATACAGGCTATGCTGTAATGTTGACAGGCCCGTCCTTTTATGGCTATAATGATTAGAGCTTAACAATTACGGTTACCAAGCGGAAGCATGCCACAAGAGTGTGATCGACGGCTTTTCCGCGGATCCTGACGTACATTCAGCTGGCTAGCACGGCTGCCCCACTGCGACAACGGCATGTAATTCTAAGCTTCCTACGTTTAACTGTTCACAAAAAAGCCAGTCTTGCAAGCCAGGACGCTGCCGTACGCAGGTTTGCCGGCCAGGCGTTATTTTCCTCCTGCCTTCCTCCTGCTGCCGGCCCGATCGCTCCATGGCAGGTGCGGCTGCTTGGCACTGAGCTGCCGCAACTGCTGCTCCACCGCCGCTATCACCTCGGGCGAGGGGGGCGAGCCGTGGCAGGTCTGCGGTTCCGGGAGAAGGAGGGGTTATACTTGCGCATCATACCCAGGCAGTGCAGGCGCCCTGGCACAATCCTAATTCCCAGAACCCCACTCCTCATACGGCACAGTGAATACGGCTGGTCACTGATGCTATGTTATTCACTAACCGCAGCTTACATTACTATTGCCCCAGACTATCACAGCCACTTACGGTCGTTACGGACCTACCGGTAAACTCCGACCACATTCCCACCCTCTCCCAGCTCATTTCTTTTCCCCCCTCCCCCAGCCCGCTCCGCACCCGTATGTGGTGCGCCACGTAGTCCGCCCGGTATCCCAGCATGCGGCCGATCAGCAGCTTGTAGTAGGGCGACTGGGCCTCCAACGCGGCCTAAGGGGGGGGCAAAGAGTATCAGGCCACCAAGAGTATCAGAAGACCAGCACAGAGCGGGGAAAAGATGGATGGGCGGAATGGAAAGGACTCAAGTAAGGGGTTCGAGCAAGCCATCCTCGCTTCCATTCCCGGCCCCTCCCCCTCCCCCGCTCACTGGATGACACAGCATGAGTCGCGGACACGGGATTGGAATCCAGTGCTTCAATCCTCATTCATCGTCCATCCACCCCCCATCCGACCCACCTGGCACCCGAAGCTCGCCAGATGCGCTCCCCAGGAGCGGAACGGTTCCTTATCCGCACTCAGTGCCATCGTCATGCCGTACACACCCGTACCCGCACTCGTACTCGTACCCGTAATCGTACTTCCGCCAACCCTTCCACCGCTGCCGTTACCGCCGCCGCCGGCAGCCAGGCCTCCTGCCCCAGTAGTGGGAGCTAGACTGCTGTACGACACAATATCAGGCCGCGTCAGCGCTTCCCGTAACAGTCGCAGTACAAGCGGTTTGTACGGGCCGTACGACGGCGGTTCGGCGGTTGGACTGCCTCCACCTTGTCCGTTTTCTGCTCCTGCCCCCTGCTGCTGCTGCCAGCCCACATGCAGCTGCAGCAGCAGCAGGCCCCTGCGCCCCTCCAGCAGGCAAGCTAGCTCCCCGGCGGTTAGGAGCGCGTGCTCGGCCTCGGAGAGGGGCGGGTCGGAGGGTCCTGGGTGTAAGGAAGGGGGATGCCGCGGCCGTGCGGGGATTCATGTGTTACGGCAGCTGACGGCAAAACTGGCTTCACTGACCTTGAGGAGGGGGCTGAGAAGTGGCTGCCAGGGTCGGTACGTAGGGGGTGTCAAACAAGACAACCCAGAGAGCGCAACTGTAACTGTGCCACATCCCCTTCCTCCTTCCTTAGCCCCTTCCCCTTCCCCTCCTCCTCCTGATCCCCACCTGATTCCCACCGGATCCCCTTCCTGCTCCGCAACTCCCCCCGCTCCCCGCACCCCACCCCCACCCCACCCCGCACCTGTTCCATCGCACCAGGCTCCCGGCTGCGCCACCGCCCGGCCCCGCAGCTCCCCCAGCGAGGTAACCCGCTCCGCTGACAGCACCGCCAGGACACCGGCAGCGGCAGCAGAGGCGGCAGCAGCGGCACCGCTGCCGGGCTCGTCGCCTTGCCCCGCCTGCTGCTGCTGCGGATGCTGCGGATGCTGTTGTGGGGACGCTAAAGAGGGCACCGATGGCGGTGCCGGTGGTGCCGGTGCGGAGCGGGGAGGTCGCAGCAGCGGTGCGACCAGCGGGGCCCAGGCGCGCAGGGCGGCTGCGTGCGGGCGGGGCGGGGCGGCCAGCAGCGCCAGCAGCGGGTCACCTGGGGCTAGGGCGCCTGGAGGGGGAGTGCGGTGGGGGGCGGGGGGAGGTGGGGAGCGAGTGAAGGAGGCGCCAGTGAGCGCGGGTTGGGAGCGCTGTTCGGAGCAGCCGTTCGATATCCATGGTGCAACCTTGTCACGTGGTGTTGCCGGTAGGTATTGCCATTTTACCTCAGCCCGCTACTCAGCCAGCCACTCACCCCCAACTGCCTCCAGCAGCAACACCGGCTGCTGCCCTCCAGCGGAGGCCCCGGAACCGCCGCTGCTGCTAGAGGGTCCTGCTGCGTCGTAGCCAGTAGAGGGCCCTGCTGCCGCCTCGGAGCCGCATGCTGCCGTACCTTGCCGTACTGCGTAGCGCACCCCCTGACACAACAGCTGCGGAGCTTGCTGCTGCTGCTGCTGTTGTCGTACAGCTGCTGCAGTGCTGCCGAGTGAGCTGGGGCTGCCTCGGCTGCCTGGGGTTGTTTGGGCCTGGTTGCGTGATGCCGCGCGCGCTCCCTGTTGCCGCGGGTGCTGCTGCTGCCTGCGAGGCTGCTGGGGTCCGAAGGTGCGTGGCGGCTGGGAGGTGCAGGCCTCCGCCGCCGCTATCACCTCGGCGTAGAGGACGCGGCCGTCGGAGGTGTGAAGACGCAGCACGTCTCCGTCCGACCAGCTGGAAGGAGAAAGGAATGTGGAGGTGACGGGGTCCAGGGAGGGATGAGGGAGGGTTGTCGTGGTGGCTGACGCGTCCGCAATGAAGACACGAGGAAGGGTTCGGCGGGATGTAAGATAAGGATGGGGATTTGGGTTTCTGCGGGGGTGTCTTACGGAGGTGGTTGCGGTGGGAGGTGAATGGGCGAGCGGGAGCCATGAGAAGGGGCTGCAAGTTACTATGGCGTCGCTGGTGCGGCGCGATAGCGCCTTTCCGTGCGAGGTAGTATTGAGGACTGGCCCGGTGCAAATTGCCATTTGACGCGGGGCAAATGCACAGAAGTGCCTTACCCAGCTTAAGTATAATACGGCTTGCTTGCTAGCAAGTATTAGAGCACGCGATTACTATGATATGAAGGAGCTCACAAAGCGACCCAATTCCCGTCAATGTTGCTTCTGGAGGACACTGCGACCGATGGCACTTAACGCTTGCCGTTGCCACCAAACCGCGACGTACGGCGAGCTCGCTGCAAAGGCCTCGCGATGCCACGCAACTTACCCGGACTGATTTGCTAAGCTAAGGCGCTAGGCAATTGTGTAGCTTGTGAAGCTAGGTGCGACACTTTCGCGCCATCGGCAACCTCCTTGCAGTTCGCGAACCCAAGCTTTATACCGGTAGCCAAAGATAACAAGCATGATTCCTGGCTTAAAATGTAGGACAGCAGCGTCTGGCTCCTTGGGAGGGAGATACTGTTGACCCTGACTAGCTCTGCCAGAGACACACAAGTTTAGCCCTTTATTTTTGGACAATTTCATTTAGACATATTGCCGAAATGGCGCTTCACAACTCCGCAAACGTTATGTATTTAGAAAGTTTTATTGAGAGTACCGGTGTCCTTCCCACGGAGCTGCAGCGCATTCTAAACACCATAAAGGCCCTTGACGAGAGATGTAATGACCTCTCGGCGGACATCCAGGCCAACGTCCAACTACTCTTGGTCATGCCGCCTGCGTACCAGCAGCAGACACAAAATCCAGAATACGAGGAGTTGTCATCGCGGGTAGCGGCAAGCCAGAAGCTCTTGGTCCAGTTCGCGGAGGAGAAGGTGCAGCTTGCGCAGCAAGCGCATGACCTGCTGGAGGTGCACGCACTGGAGCTCGAACGTGTGACCGACGACCTGGACAAGGAGCTGCGAAAAAACAATCCGGATGGCGGGCTCGACTACCTGCAGGACTTTGCGCTAGACACCACGCGTGGCAAGACGCCGCGCCTGGAGGAATTCAACATGTCGCTGCAGCAGGAGCTGCAGCTGCAGCCGCCTGCGCCCGCGCCGCCACCCAAGAAGTCCGCTGCCGCGGCGAACGTGGCCAGCAAGGGCAAGCGGCCGCGGGATGAGGACGGCGGCGGGGGAGGCGGTGGTGGTGCCGCTGCCCCGCAAGCGCAGCAGTCCAAGAAGAAGGCCTCGGTGGCTGCCATGCAGCTTACCACGCAGGTGGGTGGGGATGGTTAGGCTGGAGGTGAATCTCAGGATGCCAGCTAGGAGTCAGCTGGGGAGTAGCGAGTAGTTGTATGGGCAAAGGGCAAAAGCTCCTGGATGCGGCTGTGTGGATGACCCATGGGACGCTGGCTACTTCAGCAACCGCAAACACCAGTAAGAGAGGGGTTGTGAGCGTTGCAGATGACGGCGTTTCAGTTCTGTTGCGGACCACAGCGCATCGTTTCCACTGTCCCTTTCTCTTGCGGTTCCTTAGCGCAGCGCTCTACCTCTTTCGGCTGGAGGCACCCACTGCCTCCTCTGATGCCGTCCCCCTTCCCTCCTGCCACCCTCCCGCCCCCCCCATCCTCATTCAATCATTGTGTATTCTTCTCCCCCCCCTTCCCCGCTGCAGCCCTCCAGCTTCGAGGAGTACCCCATCGAGTCGCTGCCGGCCTACGAGGAGCCGGTGGCCACGGAGGCGCCCGTGGCCTTCATGCGGCCGCCGCCTGCGGGTGCGTTGCAGGGGGGCGGGAGGGGTTGGGCGGGGGTTACGGTACTCAGTGGAGCCGCGAGGAAGACCGGGACCAACAGCCCTGATGTAGCCCCAACGCCGCCGTCGCCCCCCTCCCCACCGCTGTCACCCACCGCTGCCCCTCCCCCCTCTTCGTCCCCCAGTTAGTTGTTTCCTCTTTCCCAACCCCCTGCAGGCTACAAGCCGTCCTCCACCCGCCCGCAAGCCGCCACGGGGGGTCTGGTGCGCTACCTGTGCCCCGAGGACATCCGGGAGGACCTGGTGGGGCGGCACGCGGAGCTGTTCTGGCCGGATGACAACCTGTGGTACCTCATTGAGATACAGGTGCGGCATGGGCGCCACACACGTCTCAAGTCGCAGGGGCGGGGGGGGGGTTTGCGGACGGGGGCTCTCATGGGAAGTTGCAGCCATTACCGGTACGACACGCACACTCTCACGTGACTATCTTGGAGCCATGTTGCTCCGTTTGCCCCCCCCCTCCACTCACTGCATGAGTCGGGATTCGGGATTGGGACTCCGTCTGATGCACTTATCTATAATCCCCCCCCCGCCGCCCCTCCCCGCCCTCTACTAATTGCACAGGAGGTGTTGGTGGCCAGCCGAGAGGCCAGGGTGCTGTACTCCACGGGCGACATGGAGACCCTCAATCTGGAGGAGACGGCAAGGGACATGCACATGGTGGGGTGGGGGGACCGGGAGGGAGGGGCTGGGCGGGTGCAGGGAATGGGGACAGGGAGGAGAGCCTGGGGGTATGGCGTGCTATGGTGGTGGAAAGCATGGTGGCCCTATTACTGTGGGAGAACCCGTGAAGAGGGATTTGGGGAGGGGAGTATGCAGCCGGTTGGAAGCGATTCATACAGCTTTGGCGGCAAGAGGATAAGCTGTGTTATACGGCAACGGCAATCGTCATTCAGCACCGGTACCACAGACTGCGAGAATTGTCGTCAGCCCGCCGTCGACAGAATGCATGACAAACCCGCATTGTTCGATGCAACACGCACAGTCCTCATAGCAAACCGTCGTGTATGTTAACGACCTATGATGACAAAAATCAAAGGGATGGAAAGAGTATAGTTGGATTCAGGGTTGGGTTCCAGTAATCTCTACAATATGTACAACCTGGCCTACTGCGAGACCACCAACACTCTCACCCCGCTGTTAAGACTAGAGTGCAATTCCCGGACGTTGCGCACCGTCCCCCGTCCCTACCCCCCTCCAGCGACCATCCCCCTACAACAACGGAAACCCCACGGAACGTGCCAACCTCCTCAGCCTCTGCCCCAATCAACGTCAGCGTGCCCCAACACGCCCAGCAGATGCACTCCTCCTCTCGCATGCACAGCTCCTTCTAGCTCTGTCTCTTTCCCTTCGTAAAATCCGCCTCTCCACACCTCCTGGGACCCCTTCCACAGGTGCTGATCCCAGATCAGCTGTACGGATGAAGCCTCGCGCCGCGGCAGGAGGTTGGCTTCCCGTGTCGCCAGTCACAAGCAGCGGGACGAGGCGCCTATTGAGAGGAGGGGCTGCACACCAAGAGGCGCGCAAGCACAAGAGGGGCTAACGAACAATGCTGCACGCATCTTGTCCGTACGCCATCGAAAGCCTCCTTCCCAGTGGAGCAGAGTGGAGCTCACACTCCACTATAGTCGGCGGTTCTGCGGTTGTAAGCATGATGATGGTGCTGATATCGGTACATGGCTGTACGTGTACGCGCATAGGGTTTCCTTCGTTAGGCCTGCTCGCGATAGGGCTGCTGGCTACATGTTACGTTTGGCCGTACACGCCGTAGTGGCGGGGTGGTGGTCGGTTGGGCTGCTGCTGCTGCTGTTGGTGCGGCTGGCCGGCTAGGGATGCCGTGAGCACGCCGCTGGGTCTCGGAGGCAGCACTACTGCGCCAGTTTGGGCTGCCTCAGGGGCCGGGTGCGCGGGCTGGGAGGCGGCCCTGTCCTGGGGCTGCTGCTGCTGCTGCTGCTTGTCTCGCTCCTCAAAGACCGTGCAGGCAGCCTGGTGCACCTGGGGGGATATGGACGTGGATAGGAGGATAGGGCTGGGGTTAAGGAGGGTCGTGTTGACCTAGGGTTAGGGGCAAGAGCATATGGCATGTGCGTACGGCTACCCCACACGCACCTTCTGCTCGATGTCCTGGGCCACGCGGCCATCGGATTTCGTAAGGATTTCCCAAACTACTCGAGAAGCCCGTTCCACGAGCCGGTCCCTGCTCAATACAGGGGAAGAAAGAGTAATGCACCAGGTCGCCGAGCAAGGAGAGGCCCTTGTCGCTTACTTCAACTCCGTTTGAAGCTCGTCGAGCACCCTCTTCCTTTCTTTACTCTGCTTTCCACCGCTGAGCGTTTTGCTGCTCTCCACTTGTTCTCGCACGTAATCGCGCAGCGCTGCGCTATGTTTAAGCTCGTCGAAAACCTACATGCAGTAGGCACCCGGGATATTAAGAAACAACAAACTGGATAAGAGCGGTAAGGCAAAGTATCCCATGGCGGATGGCCCCTGCTGCCGCTTACCAACTTTCGCACATCATCAAAAGCACCACTTTCAATTACGTGTTTGACTACACGGCCCCCCTCTTCGACTGGAGAAGCCATTAGGTGCTACACCAAGTCGGTTACGATAAGGATGCTGCCAATACAATTAGAAGCACTGAGCTGATAGTTCCTTCCGCACATATGCTCTTTGCAGTTCACATTAGTCCGTTGGATTCAGATACTTACTATAGCCTTAATAAGCCAAACGTACTGGTACTGACCTTCTGTACGACAGGTTTGCAGGTGTCATGCGTTCGTAGTCTCATTGTTCCTGAATTCCTATACCCATCAGGCGTGGGAAATCGCGCGTGCGTGCCAGTAGGGGCACGCTGGCTATCCGTATGACATGTTGCTAAGGAGCACCTCTCCACCAGCTCATAGTTACCTACAGCCCTGCTTGTCACACTCACCGCAATCCGCTCCTGTCCATGGTTGCATGTACTACTCCTACTGTGCTGCCTACCACGCATCCGCTGGTGGGTTTGTTGCCCAATCGCATGCATGCCTTCATGTCACATACCGGTTTAGCGAAACAGACTTAGCTTGAACAGGTGTCCCACGCCGATAGCCGGGCGATTACTCGGTTACACTCACCAGTTGCCTAATAACGAGCGTTTAGAACCCGTAATACCGCTAGTGCCTTCTCTCATCCTTGTACCGTATCACTACCGGTACACCTCTAGCAGGAGTATACCACACTTCATCAAAGTACGACAAACAAGCATGAAACGAGATGTATGAAACCAATCAACGCAAAAATCCAGTAAGCATCTTTAGCCTACGAGCATGTCTCCCCCACGTGGCTACCCAACCCAAACCGACGACCCCAGCGCGTCTTGCACACTCCATGACACCCCCTCGCAGGTCCAATAAATGGACACGGACCGCCGGCAAAAGCACATGGAATGGCAAAAGACCAGGGCGAAAAGAATCTACCCACACAGCAGTCCACGTGCCATGTATGACCGGCCGAGAATCCAAACGAAATACATGTCTCTGCATGCACCGAATCCATCATCACGCAAGTCCATGAACTGCTTAGGACACAACCTCGCGCTGCTGCTGCGGTTATTGCTGTTGTCGTTATTTTGTGGTTGAAGAGATTTTCGAGACCATAACGAGCCATAACGCATCAACCATTCCACTGGAATTCCCCTCCCAGCGCACAGAAACGCCGTGACATAAGGGGGCGCCCCGCTGTTTTGCGTCGCGCCATCTCCAGCAGGGTACCAACACTTCGCTCCAAACAGGAGGCGGACCTGATGCCCAGCGATGCCGCACCCGCAACCCTAACAGGCGGCAACACCTCTTGCGCCGAGTAGAAGCCACAACGAGCCTTCCCGGCCGTCCTACGTCCAACGTGGGCATGTAATGAAAGACGGCGGGTCTCCCTCGCAGGCCATACAGCACACATCACATTGCATCACTGCACGCGTCACAGGTCCACATCAGTCATCATCACCACCAAGCCCACCATCCTCTTTTATTGTGTGCGCCACCCATGTCATCCTTCTGCCATGCACCAATGAAGACCAGCATGCATCAGAACCGCAACAATGCTTCCCCACTTTGCCGCACTGCAACCACACTAGAAAGCCCCACGCCAGCAACCCCCCAGGCTAACAAAAGCTGACAAAAGAGACCAGTACCATCACCTCGTATGCATCATGTTGCTACTTTGCCACCCGACTCATGGACATGCAGACATGGGGTCATCGGTCCCCGGGGTACAGCATCCCCCAACCAAGCACCAAGCAGGAAGCAGAAACCATCGATGGCAAACGCATGATTCCCTCCCGCCCCGCATGGTTCTTCTTCTTCTTCTTTCCCACCCAGCTTTCCCATAGGGAAAGAGGCGGGCCACGTCCATCCTCCTAGCCAGCCTCCCAAGCCAATTATCCCCCATCCAACCAACGACAGGCATGCAGCATCGGCTCATGCTAACGCAGCTGCCTCACCGCTCACTCCTGGCCTTCTCCTCCCTTTCCATCCTCCTTGGCCAACCTCCCACCCAGCTCCCTCCTCACCCACCCGGCTGCGGGGCCCGCAGGGATGTCACCGCGCCGCCGCCGCCGCCACCTCCGCCCGTCACACCCCAACGCCGCCTCCCTCCCGCCTCCGCACCCCCGCCTCCCCCCGCCCCCGCCTCCGATGCCGCAGCCCCACCCGCCTCACTCGCCTCCCCATCCCCATACCCCCGCGCCAAGCCCCCGTTTCTTCCCCCACCTCCACCCCCTCCCCCACCTCCACCCACGCCTGACCTGGCGCCGTCGCTGCGGTGCCGTTGCAGCAGCTGCGGACCGGCGGTAACGCGACTGCCGCCGCCGGTTTCAGAGCGCTCCGGAGCCGGTCCGCCTCCGCCTCCGCCGCCACGGCTGAGGGCACCGCCAAAGGCGCCGCCGTTACGTCCGCGTTGGGCGCCTCCGCCTCCGCCCGCTGAGAAACCGCTGGCCATGGATTCAGTTGCTGTGTGGGTGGTGAGTGTGAGGCGGTTGCTGCCGCGATTGCTGTGCTGCTCCCGGGGAGCCACCGGCTGCGGGAAGAGGGGAAACGAGGAGGGGAGGTGAGGACGCATGGGAGGCAGATGGGGTTAGGTGGGGCGGAGGCTGGACAAGAACAAGATAGGGAGGGCAGGCCGCAAGGGAAGGCAGGCGGGGTAAGGAGGTCTCCGTACCGGTACGGCGGGGAAAGGTAGGGCAGGCCGCGAACAATGTGCCTTCAAATTCGAGGAACCCCTCATCGGCTGCACCCGCTAACCTCTGTTGTCTTACCCTGAAAGCCGAGGGTTGCAGCATGCGAGTTGCAGCCAGCAACACCTCGGGCGGCACTCCCAGCGGCAGGCCAGGACCTCCAATCCCTCCAAACCCTCCCGGTCCGCCGCCAGGTCCCAGCAGCAACCCAGCAACCCCTCCGCCCGGACCTCCGCCACCGAAACCGGCACCCGAAGCCACCAGTGCTGCCGCTGCCGCCGCCATCGCCGCGGCGGCATTGGGGTTGGCCGCCGCCAGGGCCGCCGCCGCCGCCGCTGCGGCTGCGGCTGCTGCTGCTGGGTTGCCCGGCCCCGGCACGGCTGCTCCTGCGGCGGTGATGTTGTTATTGTTATTGTTGTTTAGGTATTTGCCGCGTTTCTTGAGGGGAGGCAGGGGCATGGGTCCGCTGCCGCCGCCGGCTGCTGCTGCGGTGGGGTTGAGGCCGGCGGGGGTGGCGCCGCCTGCCGGGCCGCTCTGCAGCATCAGCTGCTGACCCGCCTCGGCTCCGCCCTCCTCCTCTTCCTCCTCCTCCTCCTCTTCCAAGGGGACATTGCCCAGGGCCTGCAGGGGTCGAGGAAGCGGCGAAAGCAATGTGGTGGGTTACGCATGGTTTGGTACATGGTACGACACTACCTTCCCCTTCAAAACAGACGCTGCAGACCCACGGGTCACCAAACCGACCCACACCTGCGGGTCCACCAGCCCTAGCTCCCCAAACGCCGTGTTGGGGTCCTGCCACCATTTGCTGACGGCGGCGGGGCCCGCGGAGGGAGTCATGCCGCCGCTGCCACCGCCGCCGCCCTCGCCACCCTCCGTCACGCCAACGCCCGCCATCGCTGCTGCTGCCGTAGCAGCTGCAGCTGCCGCCGTAGCAGCTGCAGCTGCCGCAGAGCTGCCGCCAGAGGCCTCCTCATCTGGCTGCGCGGGAGGGGGAGCAACAGCCGCAGGCGCAGCCCGCTGTCCTGCAGCAGTAGCAGTAGCATGCGGAGAAGGAGGAGGAGGGGCCTTGGAGTCCGCTGCCGCCGCCGGCGCATCCTTTTCCTTCTCCTCTCCCTCCTGCTGCTGCTGCTGAGCGGAGCCGCTAGCCGGTGCCTCCTCATCAGTGGCAGCATGCATTTCACCAGCCCCACCCGCACCGCCACCTTCCCTGTCGTTGCCGCGGTGAGTGGAAACAACACCCAGTCCTCCTCCTCCTGCTCCTCCACTTCCACTACCGCTCTTACGCTGCTGCTGTGACGGTCGCGCTGCGCCGCTTCCGCCTCCGCTGCTGCCTGTCGCCGTGCCCGGCGCGCCCCCCGCCCCGGACCCAGCTGCTCCTGACGCCCCGGAGGAAGCCGCTGCTGCTGCTGCTACTGCTGCGCTGGTCCCTATGTGTTTTGCGAACCAGGCCTCATGTGGGTCCAGTACGGCGGCAGCCGGGCGGGGGGCCGGCGGGGGGGGCTTGGGCGCAGCGGGAGCCTGCCATGGGGGTGGTGATGACGACAGGGAGGAGGGGTTATAGAGGGGTTTGGTAGCGATACGGTGATGCGAATGGGGGGAGGTGGAGGCAAGTTGACACCTGTCAAGGATGGTGGCAGTGGCCGTGGGCCGGCAGCAAACGACGCATGACGGCATGAGCATATGCATGCGCGGGCGCTCGATTGCCTCGACAATGTCCCTTTTGTCCTTCCCATCATGATACAGGTCTCACACACACACGCACCACCTCACAGCTCCTCATTTTCCTCTTTTCTGAACCCAACACAACAGCTACAAACACCGCCCCACCAACCCAGCGCCTCACCGGCATGCCCAGCCTCGACGAGAACAACACCGGCAGCGCCGGCGGCAGGCCGCTGAAGCCCCCCGTGACCGGCAGCGCCGGCGGCAGCTGCACCAGGCTGCCACCCGCCCCTCCCGCCGCTCCTCCCGCCCCAGTCGGGGGCCGTTGCTGCCCAGGGCCCTGCGGCGGCCCCACACCGCCTCCACCTCCTCCACCGGCGGTGCCGCCAGCACCCATTACCGCAGGCGCGGCGAGCTGAGGCGCTGCGGGTGCCCCGTGCGGCACCATCCCAAGCAGCGCTCCGAAACCCTGGTGGGCTGGTACGGCAGGACGACCTAGCGGCGGCACCGCCGGCTGAGCGGAAGGAGGAGGAGGAGGAGGAGGAGCAGCCGGGAAGTTGCCAGGCGGCGGTGGCGGCGGCGGCGACACGCCCGGTTGCACTGCATTCGGCAGCTGGGCCGCTGGTTCCGGAGCCGGCAGGCGCCAGGGCATGGACAGCGGCAGTGGGGGAAAGCCGGGGGGTGGCGGCAGGGGCGGTGGCAGCGCAGGCAGCGGCGGCGGCGGTGGCGCAGGTGGGCGGAAGCGGCTGTCCGCAGCGCCGAAACCACCCAGCCCACCAGCCTCACCGCGAGCCGGGCTGCCGCTGGGTCCTGGAAGGTTGAGGAGGGACCGACCCATGGGTCCAAACAGCGGTACCGCTGGAAGGGGCCGGCCCGGGCTCGGAGCTGAACCGGGAAGCAGGGCGGCGGGCGAGCCATGCATGCCGCCAGCTGCTGCTGCTGCCGCTGTGAAGTGGTACGGCAGTGCTGACAGCGGCCCAGATTGGAACCCAGGAATCTGAAGCGGCGGCGGCGGGGTGACAGTGGAGGAGACACGGGGGGGTGCGTCATTGCAGACTGTACACACTTGCTTACATATACAGCTTTAAGGCGTGAGAGACCTAACGGAGGGTTTTCTCAAGCACAACCCATCCTGCACAAAGAAACAAACAACCAGCCGTTGCTGCCCCGTCCCGTCCCTTCCCGCTCCCAGGCGTCACCAGGCAACTTGACGACACGACGCGGCCTGGCGTCGGCGTGCCTCACCTGGTGAAACGCCGAGAAGCGCCTCCCGTCCGCTCCGCCTCCGCCATTCCCGCCGCCGCCAGAGCTGAATCCTCCCATGCTCGTCATCTCCTCGCCGATAGTACTCAGCCCCCCTCCTCCCTGCCCCCGTCCTCGCGGCCGCAACTGCTGTACGACGCTGGGCTGCTCCGAAACCGCGGGGCCGTCGTCGCCGCCCAACATCATCGTATACAGCTTCGACGCCGCTGGCCGTACAACAACACCGCCGGCGGCGCCGCTGGCCGTCTGCCGTACGACAGCCGGCGGCGGCGGCGGCATCGGCGGCTTCGCCGCCAGCCGCTCCGGCGGCACGGTTCGCAGCACTCGGTCACGCAGGGTGCGGGGGAGGCACAGCAGGAGCTGCATGTCAGTCACCAGCCGATCCCGGAGCTGCTCCGGAGGCATGGGAAAGGCGACCATGCGGGGTTGCGCCACCCTGCTCCTGCCGCCAGCGCCAGGACCTGCCGCCGCTGCCGCGGCTGCTGCAGCCTCCCCCTGCAGGCTGCTCGTAGAGGCGGAACCCAGACGACGCAGAGGCTGGGGACCCCCCTCCGGGCCGGCGGCCGCAGCGTCCGAGCCCATCAGCTGTTGTTGTTGGGCAGGCGGCGGCGGCGGCAGCGGCAGCCCTCCCACGTTGCCCCATGGGTTGTTGTTCAACAGCGGGCCGCCGCCAGCACCGCCCATCAGCCCGCCTGCTGCCATCGCTCCAGACGGCCCTAGCGCCCCTCCTCCATCACCCCCACCTCCCATTCCCGCCGTCGTACCACCGATCTCCAGTCCCCCCGCCGCACCTCCTCCTCCTCCCAGCGCTGGCGGCCCCCGGCCGCCCACAGTCGCCGTCCCCGACGCCCCTCCTGTCGGCGGCGGCGGCGGCGGCCCAACCGCCGCCAACGGTATCGGACCCGTGGGTCCCGCTCCCGCAAACCCCGCCGCCAAGCATGCCGCCGTCATCCCCAGCGGATCCACCACCAACAGCTCCGACCACACCACCTGCTGCACCCGCGCGATCTTGTGCAGTTCGCAAAGCTGTTGTACGAACACAGATTGCTGACGCATCATGGTGGCGCGTACAGCAGTGAACCGCGCGTCGCCCAGCAGCGACCGAAGATCTTGGTTGCTGCCGCCGGATGCCGCGGTGCCGGCGGCGGCAGCGCCGCCACCGCCAACTGGGCCGGTCATGCCGCCGCCACCTCCAGTAGCGCTTCCCCCTCCGGGCGGCATGAAGCTGCCGCCGCCGGCGGAGACCAAGCCGCCACCGCCGCCGCCTCCAGCCGTCGCAGTAGCAGGAAAGGCACTGCTAGGGAAGGCGCTATTTGGAAAGGCAGAGGAACCGAAAGGTCCGGAAGGAGCAGCAGCAGCAGCCGTACCATTGAGGCTGCTGCCGTGGAAGGCGCTGCCCATGCCGTACGACAGCCCTGCTGCCGTACCTGGCCCGGCAGCACCCGGTAGCGTTAGGTGTTGCTGCTGATGTTGCGGGTATGGCTGTTGCTGTTGCAGTTGGAAGCTGTAAGGGGGCGGATGCTGGTTATTCTGCCCGATACCGCCAATCGCTGCATGCAACCCCCCACGCTGCTGTACCTGCTGCTGCTGAGTCTGCTGCCCCGCCACCTCCTCCTCTTCCTCCTCCTGCGACAGTCGCCGCTGCTGCATGGATCCGGAGGTAAGGGGCGTCTCGCTGCAGGGGGTCTCCGACATGTCGTCGTCATCATCATCGTCGTCGTCCTCGTCATCATGTCCGGCATTGCCGTACAAGCCCCCCACGGGGCCCCGCGCCAGGGGCTCCGGAGATGCAGCACTGCCCCCCATATGCCGCTGCTGCTGTTGGTGGTGCTGGTGGTGGTGCTGGTTATCCCGCTTGGATTGCCACTGCTGCTGCTCTTGCTGCAGTTGTAACCGCGGCGCCTGTTGCGGCACCTCCACAGCAGCCTCCTCCGTACCTCCGCCGCCGCCAGGACCCGCCTGCCCGGTCCGAAGCCCGGCAGCAGCAGCAGCCCCGCCCGACGGCATCACCCCCCCTCCATGAGGGCCCAGGCCGTCATAGGACTGCTGTCGCTCCTTACCACCGGCGGAGGTACCCCCCGTTTCCTCCGTTCCAGTGCTACCGCCACCCGACGCGTCCGGCACCGCCGCCGCCGCCACAGCACGCCTACGCTTCATCCCTCCCAAAAGCGCGCCCATAACGCCCTCCTCGCCGGCGATGGCACCAGCTCCAGCGCTGGTGCCTGCCGCTGCGCCAGCGGACGTTGTCCTCCTGCCAAGCCGCTCCCTTCCGCTGTTCCCGCCAGCCCCAGTCAACCAGCTGCCAGCAGCCCCGCCCGGGGCGGCCGCGCCGCCACCGCCGCCTCCACCACCGCCGCCGCCCTTGTTTCCTGGCTCGTTACCGGCCGTGCCCGTGCCCGTGCCGCTGCTCACCTCCAGGCTGGCAGTAGCCGAGCCGTCAGATACCTGCGGCCCATCTCGAGACTGCGACCGGGCTTGCAGTCCGATGCTGCCGCCGCCTAGACCCAGCCCCAGCCCTAGTTCCGACCCCCACCCGCCCTGCACCGGCACCGGCGCGGGGGGCTGTGTTGACGGCACCGGCCGGCGCAGCAGCAGTGGCTGCGGCAGCTGCGGCGGCTGCAACCCTGCAGCCGACATGGCTGCTGCTGCTGCTGCTGCCGCCGTGGCTGCATCGCCCAGCCTCTGCCCGCCTGCCGGGGCGTTAAGAAAGCCCAAGGGGCCCGCTAGGTTGTTGGTGGCACCCAGGACGCCGCAGCTACCCAGACTCCCACCGCCGCAGCCTCCCAGCAGCGGCGCCTGGTGCACAGCAGTGCTGCTGCCGCCCGGGTAGCCGCTCCGCACGGGTGCGGGTGGCAAGGGCAGCGTCAGCGGGGGCGGGTGGCCGCAGGCAGTGGCAAGGATCGGTGTGGGCCGCGGCAGGGGCGTGCCGCCGGGGCCGCCCATAAGCCCCGCTGTGAGCGACAGCGGGAGGCCCTGCAGCAGGCCAGCATGGTGGCCGGGAAGGCTGCCGGATAGGGAGCCCTGGCCCAGCTGCGGCGGTGGTAGGCCCTGCGGGAGGAGAGAGGGCGGCGGCTGGTGGCCGGGAAGGGTGAGCGGCTGCTGCGGGTGCTGTTGGTGCTGGAGCTGACGTTGGAGTTGGAGCTGCATGAGGGGTTGCATGGATGCCTGCAGCTTCGTCAAAGCCGCTAGTTGTTGTTGTTGCTGCTGCTGTTGTTGTTGCTGCTGCAGTTGGAGGTACTGCTGTAGCTGAGCCGCCTGTGCGGCTTGTTGATGTTGCGCGAGGACCATCCCCGGGTGCAGAGACGCGTGCTGTGCTAGCGGTGGAATTTGGGAAGGCAAGCCGGCACCCGGACCTGGCACCTGTCCCAGCAAACCACCAAGCCCCGTGGCTCCCAAAAGCCCATACGGTTGTGTTTGATGGAGACCAAGCGCCGGCGCGGCTGCGGAAGGCAAGACGTGCGGCTGCTGAAGGGTTCCATACGGCTGGACAAAGCCGCCGTTGAGGACAGCTCCATTCGAGTTGCTAGTAACGCGCGGTAAGGAGTCAGGGCCCATACCAGCGAGCCAGGTTAATGTGCGGACGCCAAGGCGCAACCAACTCGTTTCAGTCCACCATCGCGCTGCCCTTCATTGTCGCTGGGCGGCCCCGTAAGGCCCCGCGAAACGGTGTCAAGTCAACATTTTTCAAAGGAGGAGGATAAATGATTACGAGCTGTTGGAGCCGCGAAGCCTTACTCCGCGACCGTTTGACGGAAAAGCGGGAACTGCCACTATCCCGAAAAATAAATGAGAAATACCAGGCGTAGCCCTCGGCTGAGTCAACGCAGGAAAAAAGACACCTTTCGTATATGGTTCGTTTTGCTTTCTCTAATACCTTACCACTAGGCGTGTTCCGCACAGGATGACACGGCTAACGAGTAAAATTCATTTTGCTGATTCTGCATTACGCCAAGGTGCAGACTTGAAGAGGCATTGATGACTGTGTTCGCAAATCGGATACTGTACGGAAAAGCGCCCAGCATGATATGCAATCCAGGAAAGGGCCGAGGCGAACTAGAGTGCGCACATTCTCGAAACAAGCGTGGCAAAGTTACGATAATCAGTTGCTACTTGCCAATCATGGCGTGATGGCGGGCCTACATTACCTTCGGCAAGGCACACGGAACTGGGTGGATGGCTTCTTGCAGGCGGCCAAGGCGCGCTGCGGAATGCCATGTTCTGTTCGCGAACCTAGCGTCTCTAATAGCCATGTTACATAATGTGCAACCAAGGGTTCCCTGGATGTCACTATGTAGGTAACCGTGTCGTGGATTTCACTGGTCGGAGCGAGAGGACGACGAGCCGAAAGTAACATCGAAGGGTTTGTCATAGCCTTGCTGCCCAGAGGGTCTACTTACCTGCACAAAGGGTGTTAGTCCGGGAGAGCGGCGTCAAGTTAGTTGAAGGCGGATAGGCCTGTTTGGACGGCCGACAGACAGCAGTCACCCATCTCCTCTTGTGGTCTTTGGTTCAGGTCAAGGCCAGCTTTGTGCTCCTGCCGTTCCCTGCATGTGTACAAGATGCACCAATGCATACAGTTGGGACGTATGTACAGCTAACTGCCTGTTCAAACTTGCTGTTAGGAAAATGCTTGGGATGGTGTCGTCTGGGATAAGAGGAAGAAACTGAAGAGCTGTATGGGGGAATGTTCGGTGGCGAAACGCTAAGGGCTTGCTGGGCGGCCCATGGGCCAGCTACGTCAAATGGCCCCGGCGTCGCTGGCTACCCGTACATCCATGTATAGCGATAGTGGCTCCATCGGGGTTCGTGGTTTCCAAGGAGGACTGTCTAAAGCATGTCAATCCATGACGTACATACCCCTTAGGTTCACGTCTCATCTACCATAGCAAGGCCTGGCGTACATTGATATCCGCTTAGTGTTTCCTAATAGCAACTAATAGCAATTGGAAAGTCGCACATGTGTCTTCCCCCAACCACATGTTGACATGCAGCAGTAGGTTTTCAGCAGGTCTTCGGTGGGCAGCTCCTTTACAAGCTAAGCAGAGAAGGCATTCACATAACGACATTATATCCTACTTTAGTACGGGGGTGCTACGATTGGGGAAAGGCTACGTATCTACCGTGATGTGTGCCGTAACTAGCCGAGCAACTGCACGATTCGTCCGAGCTTCCAGCAAACTCCTTGCATGCTTTGTTACATATCCCTAATAACGTTAACACTTCTCTTTTTGTAATTTCTATAGCTTTGTCGTATCCTTGGTGACTGAGTTTTGGTCGGTTTACCTACCTTGGCATGTTTACCGCAAAACTTTGACGAAATGCTGTAGGACATGACCTGCAGTTGATGAACAAAACTTCTGGTCTGCCTGCGTGCCTGCACTTAGCGAACTAGAGAGATGGACATGTCTATCCCGAGCTGGATTTAGGCAGGCTGCCAGCAAGGTGGCTTACGTATACTGCTTAACAATTAATCGGCAGCATGACTGTCACTACCACAATTGAAACGGCGTCAACAGCCGTAGACAATGTCCAGCTGGACCAGCCGGCATGCCTCGATCCTGCTACGCATACGTTAACCCCGGAGCGATCATCAGATGGGTCAACAAACCGGGACGAGCTTGCGGACGTGGGCGAGCACACCGACTTGGAGTCCACGCATTCCCAGACGTCATCGTCACCCAAGAAGAACAGATACCTAATAGACCCTGCACGGGACGCAAAATTTAACAAGGCGTTGGCGCCGTACGTGGATAAGGCCTACTGGTGCAATGAGAGGGCCTTGCAAATCACTCGGGAGTACCTCTCGGCGCACCCGCCACCAGAAGACGAGGTGGGTAGTGCTGCGAAGGGCGGTCTGACTGTAGCCGCACCAAAGGAGGAGGCCACAGTTGTCACCATGCCCCCTCTCTCGCATTACAACAACCCTACAATCCCTCCAACTTTGCGTTCCCAGCAACAACACTCCACATAACCCAAAACCCCACCTCCCCTCCTTCCTTCCTCTCCTCTTAGTCTCTTCACTTCTCATTTACTTTTCCTACTCATCCTCCCCCCCTCTTCTCCTCCCCTGCCTCCCCCCCAGTCCGACCTGCCTGCCTACATCTCCTCCCACCTGCGCGACCTGCAGCGGGTCACCTCCCGCTGGGCGGGCTGTGTGGGCGGCGCGCTGGACACCCTGGCGCACCAGCTGGCGGTGGACGAGCGGCTGGAGGTGGGGGGAGGGTGAGGGGGGGGGAGTCCATGTGTGTATAGCAGTAATGTGTGTATGGTCAGGACACCCCAGAGGGATGAAAAGGGTACTGGTTTTGGTTAGGAGTTCCAAAGCCGCTGGGTGAGTGCCCCGGGGAGGGAAAAAAATATAATGAGACACTGACGAGAGGGAGGGAGAGAGGGAGGGAGGGAGGGCAGATGGTGAGAGGGAGCTGTGGAGGGCGGTGGTGCTGATGGTTTCAGCAGCTCACAGCCCCCCCGCTGCTCCCCCACCCATGTCGCTGCTGCTCCCCCCCACGCGGTCTCGGTAGGGGCCACTAACCCTCCGTCTGTCTTGTCGATATCTGCCGCCTCGTTCCCCGCTGTTTTGCCCTTTTGTGGTTTCATATGGTTTGGTCTAATTAGACCCCCCCCTTCCCCCCTCCCTCCCCCAACAGCGTCAGCGCCACGGCGAGGAGGGGCGCCACTGGGAGGCCCAACCGCCCGGGGAGTACCTCATCAAGGGGCGCAAGGTGGGGGGTGGGAGGGGAGTATCTCATCAAGGGGCGCAAGGTTGGGGGGGGGAGCAGGAGGAGGAGGGGAGGGGTTTGGATCTGAAGCCTGAGGTGAAGTGTGGCAAGCATGTGTGGTCCACGCAAGGAGGGTGGGGAGGAGCGCTCCGCGCATGGCATGGCGTGTATGGTGTATCGCCAGCTGCCTCCTCACCCACTCTTCCTCCTCGGCCCCTCCCCCCAACATACTTCTTCTCCTCATTCTTCATTCCTCCCAATATTTCTCCTCATTCTCCTTTCCTCGCCACTACTACAGATCCGGGTGTACGACCCGCCCCCCGGCCCCCGCCCCCCGCCCGGGGGCCACCCGCCCTGCCGCCCCGCCGCCGCCGCAGCAGCTCACATCCGCCTGCCTCAGCGCAGCGGCGCCAGCGGCAGCAGCACCAGCAGCAGCGGGGGCGGCGTCGGCGGTGGCAGCAGCAGTGGAGGCAGCAACAGCGTCAGCGGAGGCATCAGCGTCAGCGGGACTGGTAGAAGGGCGGGCGGCGGGAGCAGCAGCGGAGGGTTAGGTGGAGGTGGAGGTGGCGGCGGCGGCGGCAGCTGCAGCGGGGCGCGCGGGGGCAGTCGGTTTGGGTGGGCGGCGGAGGATGAGGAGGATGAGGAGGGAGAGGGTGAGGTTGAGGTGCAGGATGTGGGGCTGACCCCCGCGCAGCTCATGGGTGCCGTACAGCTGGTGTCGGATGTCAAGGTGAGGGGGAGTGAGAGGGGGGGAAGGGGGGGGGGGTGAAAGACCATACCGAATCATAGGAAACCACAGGTTGGGCTGAGGGGGGGGCAGGGCGAGGGAAACGACGGCTGGGTAGTGCGAGGTAGCAGATGGGAAGGGAGTTGCGTGGGGGCTGGGGGCGGCAGGGGCACACACACACATCCCCACACACGCACTCGGGCACACCGGCGCCACCTCCTCCAGCCACAGGCGGCATGCCGCATGCCGCATGTGCTCCACCCCTCTCTCCCCCCTCCTCCTCCCTTCCCCCTACCAACTTGGTGTTCTTCGGTGCTCTTACTCTGTTCCCTCCCTCCCCCACCTTGCTGCACTTCTCATAACCCCCATCAGGTTTGGGAGCAGATCCTGGCCGCCCGGCGCGCCGAGGAGCGGCGGCAGCACGCCATTGCGGAAATCCACCTGCAACACGCGGCCAGGATCATACAGGTACGGGGTAGGGGGGGAGGGGGTAAGGAGGAAACGACTAACGAGCCGTATGATAGGGTGTGGAGGGGGGGGTAAAGAGGAAACAACTAACTGACGGAGGGATAAGGCGTCAACATGGGTGGTGTGGAGGGGGGGGGGTAAAGAGGAAACAACTAACTGACGGAGGGATAAGGCGTCAACATGGGTGGTGTGGAGGGGGGGGGGTAAAGAGGAAACAACTAACTGACTGAGGGATAAGGCGTCAACATGGGTGGTGTGGAGGGGGGGGGTAAAGAGGAAACAACTAACTGACGGAGGGATAAGGCGTCAACATGGGTGGTGTGGAGGGGGGGGGTAAAGAGGAAACAACTAACTGACGGAGGGATAAGGCGTCAACATGGGTGGTGTGGAGGGGGGGGGGTAAAGAGGAAACAACTAACTGACGGAGGGATAAGGCGTCAACATGGGTGGTGTGGAGGGGGGGGGTAAAGAGGAAACAACTAACTGACTGAGGGATAAGGCGTCAACATGGGTGGTGTGGAGGGGGGGGTCACCCATCCCAGGGTACTGCGCCGCTGCCGCCGCCAACCGGGTCGCGTCCCTCCCTCCCTCCCTCCCTCCCTCCCTGCCACTCTCCCCCTGTCCTCCCTCCCTCCCTGCCACTCTCTCTCCCCCTGTCCTCCCTCCCTCCCTGCCACTCTCTCTCCCCCTGTCCTCCCTCCCTCCCTGCCACTCTCTCTCCCCCTGTCCTCCCTCCCTCCCTGCCACTCTCTCTCCCCCTGTCCTCCTGCCCTCCTGCCACTCCCTCTCCCCCTGTCCTCCTGTCCTCCTGCCACTCCCTCTCCCCCTGTCCTCCTGTCCTCCTGCCACTCGCTTTCCAAAACGTGGTCTTCTTCTTCTTCTTCATCTCCTCCCGCTTACCCTCCCGCTTCCCTCTCCGCTTCCCTGCCCCTCTCCTCCCTCCCCTCCCCCTCCCCCTCCCCCCCCTCCCCAGCACTCCTGGCGCTCCTTCCTGGCCCGCAAGCGCGAGGAGCAGGCCCGCCTGGACGCGCTGGTGTCGCCCGAGGTGCAGGCCATGCTGGGCGAGGCGGCCTACCGCGCGATGCGGGACGCGCGCAACAGACTGGCGCTCACCAAGCTGCGCAAGTCGCTGAGCAGGCGGACGCGGGGGTTCGGGTCGGCGCTGCGTGAGTGGGGGAGGGGGGTGGGTGGTTGGGGGTGGGGGGGTGGGCGGGTGGGGCGTGGGGCGTGGGGCATGGGGTGGGGTGTGTGCGGTATGGGGTTGCATGGGATTCGCAGTGTGGTGCTTGAAGCCGCAGGAAGTGCCGCAGTTACAGAAGCCTTCCTCATCTCCCCTTTCCATCCTTCCTCCCCACCTTGCCCCCTCCCGCAGCTCGCGATCTGGACCCCATATCCGCACGCCACACGCAAGTCCACCTGCCCCCGCCCATACCCGAGGAGGGGGAGGCAGCCGCCCCCGGTGGCCCCGCTGCTGCTGCTCCTGCTGCCGGCAGCCTCCCCTCCCTGCCGCACCGCCCGCACTCCCGCTCCCCCACCCACTCCCGCACCCGCACCCGCTCCCGCGCCACTACTGCTACAGGGAGGGGCCTGCTGGCGGGCCGCGGAGGCAAGTCCTTGGCTGCTCCTGGTGGCGGCGGTGGCGGTGGGGGTGGTGGGGGTGGTGGGGGTGGGAAGTCGTTTAGCGGTCGCTCGCATGACTTGTTCAGGAAGCTGTTGGAGGCGATGCAGCAGGGGCATGACGGGGAGGCGGAGGAGGAGGGGAAGGGGAAGGAGGAGGAGGGAAAGGAAGGGGGTGGTGAAGGTGGGAGGGGAGAGGGGGAGGAGGTGGTAGGTGGGGAGGGGGGTGATGCTAGCCGTGCCGAAGAAGGGGCGGTTTCCATGGTCCAAGGAGGGCTGGAGGTGGTCGATGAGGAGGAGGAGGAGGAGGAGGAGGAGGAGGAGGATGTGGAGGAGGCGGAGGAGGTGGCGGCGGTGGCAGCAGAGCTGGCGGAAGCTATCCTGGGGCCTGATGGGGAGGAGGAGGGAGAGGAGGGGGCCGAGGAGGGCGCTGAGGAGGAGGGAGGCGCAGCAGCGGCCGCAGGCGAGGGTGCTGCGGAGGGCGGCAATGAGGTGGAGGGTAGAGACGCAGGGCGTGCGGATGCCGGCGAGGAGGAGGACGGCGAGGAGGAGGACGGCGAGCTGAATGCGGAGGATCTGGCGGCAGCAGCGGCAGCGGCCGCCGTACGAGCGAGCATGCTCCTGGCGCCACCGCCGCGGCGGCGGACAGCAGCAGCCGCCAGAGGGGCCCAGCCGCCTAACGGCTCTGCCGCCGCTGACGTGTCGTCATCCCGTGGCCGTCGTCGTCGCGGCCGTTTGACTTCCAATAGCTCGGCGGTTGTACGGCAGGTGGTTGCGGGGGCGTTGGCAGCGGCGGCGGCGCCGGTGTTGGGTCGCGACGGCGCACTGGCTATGGCGCAGCTTGGAGTGGTGGTGGGCAAGGGCAGGGGCGGAGGTGGGGGAAGAGGCAGCGGAGAAGGCAGCGGAGACGGCTCACGAGACGGGCCCCGGCCTCGAAACCCCACCAATGCGGTATCACCGCGTGCTACGGCGGCGCGGCGGCGACCCGTGGGTCAGTCGCCGCAACCGATTGGCGTCGAGCCGTTGCTGCGCATGCCGCCACTGGAGATCCGGGCGGCCGCGGCGGCGGCGGTTGGGCTGCGGAGCCCCCAGGCCTCCGTGCCTGCTGCGAGGGATTCCCCTACCAGCGCTACCGCCGCCGCCACCGCAAACCCCAACACCAACCCCAACACCAACCCCAATGTCATCACCACCACCACCAGCAGCACCTGGCCCGCAGCGGCCATCACCCTCAGCAGCCCCACCGGTCCCGCCATCATGCTCGTACGACAGTCCTGTCCCAGCCTGCCCCCCGTGGTGGGTACCCGCTTCTCCGACCCCGCCTCCCCCTCCGCCTCCGACGCCCCCGGCGACAGCTGCGGCTTTCGCTCCGCCCGCCTGCCTCCCGCCAGCCCCTCCCCCACCTCACCCCGGCGCCGCAGCCCCTCCCCGCAGCCCTGGGCGGCTCCCCGCTCCTCCAGGCAGACCGGAGGCATCTTCCCCAGCGCCTTCTCCAGCCACCTGCAGCCCCTGCTGACCTCGCACACGCAGCACCCCGCCAGCACCCCCAACCTGGCCATCAACTGCGTTACCGTAAGCAACGGCGCTGGGTTCGGCAACAGCAGCAGCAACAATAACAACAGCAGCACCCTCGGCCTAACCGCCGTCCCGCATTCCCCGCGTGGAGGGGGCGGCGGTGGAGGTGGCGGCGGGGGCAGCGGAGGCGGCGGCACCGGCACTCACTACAGCCACCCGCAGCACCACTCCCACTATCACCACCCCCGGCTGCCCCCCGGCGGAGCAGTCATGTCGGGGTCCCTACCTGACCCCCGTCACAGCGGAGGCGGAGGCAGTGGCGGAGGCGGCGGCAGTGGCGGAGGCGGCAGTGGCGGAGGCGGCGGCAGTGGCGGAGGCGGCAGTGGCGGAGGTGGTGGTCGGGACCCCTCCTGGCTGCTGCCACCCATTGGCGGAACGCTGCACCGCATGACGGGTCTGGGGCTGCCAGCCACCACCGCCACCTCCACCCTGCACCGCACCTCGAGTGATCCCGCGCTGACGGGGGGTGCGGCGTCGGGGACGCTGGGGTCCCTGACGGTGACGGCGGTGGGGCCGGCGGGAGGCGGAGGAGGAGGAGCTGGAAGTACAGCTGCGGGAACGGCGGGGATGACAACAACAACCGCAGCAGCAGCAGCGGCGAGAAAAGGCAGGAGAAGCAGCGACGGTAGAGATGGCGGCGGTGGTGGTGGTGCGGGGGGTAATGGTCCCATGCAGGTGGCCAGCTTGAGTCCGGGGCGGCAGCGGGGGGACGCAGGAGGCAGGCCGCGGCGGACGAGCTTGGGCGGGGGGCGGGGCATGCGGGGAGCCTCACTAGACGGGGGTCCTGCCGGGCTAGGCCCGGGGCTTGGACTGGGGCTTGTGCCGGTGCGTGAGGGCGTGACGGAGGGTTACGTAATGGACGGTGGCAGCAGCACCACTCGAAGTGCTGGTGGTGGAGGAGGCGGGGGGGTGCTGGCGGGGGCAAACCCGGCACGCGCCGCCGCTGCGGGAGGAGGTGCCGGCTTGGGGCTGGGCCTGATGACGGTGACGGTGGCGGCCGACGGCTCCTCCTCGCTGGACGGTCAGGCGACTGTTATGCAACAGGTGCGGGGGGCGGGGGCTGGGGGCGGGAGCTGCGGGGGCGGGAACTGCGGGGCTGGGGTCGAGGGCGAGGGTGAGGGTGAGGGTGAAGAGGCGGGGGGCGCGGGGAGGTGGGGTACGGTTAGGAGGCGTAGTGGAGGTGGTGGTGGTGGAGGTGCTACGTTGCGGGGTGGGGAGGTGCGTTGCAGGTACCCGATCAGTGTGGTGGGGGATGTGGGGGACTGGCCGGTTAGGCGGACCGGCGCCGCGGGGTGAAGAGCTTCTGGTGGCATGATGAGTTGATGACCCATGATGACCGATGATGACCCACGTGCGTTGTGAGAGGGGGGGAGAGCTGCTGGGTGAGGGGGGTGAGGAGGGTTTGCCTGCATGTGTGTGGACAAGTGGACGTGTGTACGGTAGGCGTGGTGCCGTATGGAGTGGCGGGTGCGCTGGAAAGGGTCGCAGTACGGTGGTGTGAAACTTGCTGCGTGTAGGTCGGGTTTGAGAGGACATGGGTGTGTAGCTGTGTTTGGACACGCATGGACTTGGTGACGCACATGGATATGTGCGAGTGAATGCGGGTATTTTTCTTCCTTTCATGTACAGCCTTTCTTTATTGTACATGCTCTTAACGGTACTGTGCATGTTTTGTATTCCTTTTGGCGACTTGTACTTTTGTGTTCCTGCATGCATGTGCATTGCAAACTAAAGTACTTAGTCAAGGCGATTCCTAATTCCTGCTGAGGGTTGACTTGACTTGACCTAGCACAACTCGCAGCTCTAGCGGCCATGTTAATACGAGGTCGTGAGTGTTTGTGTGCTCCCTCCGTGCCTGTTCACTCGCCCCTGCACACCACCGCCGCCTGCACCCGAGGGGAATCCCGCCTCCTGCACCCTTGCACTCGCTGCCTGTCGGCCCCTGTGTCCTGTGCATCCTTCTCGCTGTCATTCCGTTGAGCATCACTGCACACCGCTAGCAGGCTGGTCACTGGCGTTTTGGCTTTGTTTGTTTTGTCCATTTTTGTAGCATCAGATTAGCCCGGTGTGTGGGTTGTTGTTGTCATGTTGTGCCGTACCACCCTGCCGTCCTGGCCGCTACTCCTGCATTGCCACACCCCGTCTGCTCTCTTCTATACCGGTACCTTAATCCTCGTTCCGACCCCCCCCCCGGGTGGGATTCGGGATTGGGACTCCGTTGTTACACTTCCTACACTTACACTTCCTTCTACACTTCCCCCCCCCGTGGTCCCCGACCCGGTTACTAATTACCCGCTGCTGCTGTGTTGCGTGTTTCTCGTTTTCGGACCGCTTCTGCTGGTATTCTTCGCTCCCCTGTCCCCGCCCCTCTTCTCCCTCGCCTGCTCCTCTTGCCCCCCTCTCCTCTTGCTCCTTCCGCCGGCCGCCCTCCCTATGCCTGTCCCCCTTTCTCTTTCCCTTTCCCCTCCCTCTGCCCCTCGCCCTTTCCCCTTTGCCCTTGTTTGCCTCCCTCCCCTTTCCCTGCCTGCCTCCCTCCCTCCCTTTCCCCTGCCTGCCTGCCTCCCTCCCTCCCCTTCCCCCGCCTGCCTCCCTCCCTCCCCTTCCCCCGCCTGCCTCCCTCCCTCCCCTTCCCCTCCCTCCCTTCCCCCCGACCCCCACCGCTCAGGGCGACGGTTTCCTTGTCAACTGGGCACACGGCCCCACCACCTCCCCCCTCGCCCAACTAAGAGCCCCCGCCGTATCCATATTAGCGGAGGGGCTGACGGGATCGCCGCCGCCACTGGTCCTATCATACGCTTTATCCGGCGGCGGCGGAGGCGCGGGCGGCGCGGCGGCGGCTCGCCAACTGCACCATCAAATGGAGGCGGCGCGCGGAGCCGGGGGCGGCCGACATGGGATCGGCCGACCCATGGGTCATAGCATGGCTGGAGGCCCGCTGAGCCATCGAAGCAACGGAGAAGAGCCCGGAACGGGAGGTACGACGGTTTCCTCACGCCAACAGCAGCAGCAGCAGCCGCATCAGGGGCATCATGAGAGCCACGGGCATCAGCATCCGCATCCCCACCCGCATCGCCACGTGGAGTGGGAGGAGTTGTTGGAAGTACGTGCATGCTGACGAAGAGTCGGAGAGCGAGGGCTGTACGGCAGTAAGGCTGCTGGTACATGTACTGCTGCGGCTAGGATTGATGACTAGTTGTGGGACGAGGGACCGTAATGTAATGTGCTTGGGATGGTGTTTCCTGACAGCATGACGGCAGGGGAGTCCTGTACATTATGCAATGGAAGGTTCAATGTGACTTGCGGCGTGAGCGTTGTTGCAGTCTTAGGGGCAAGGGGCCGTATGTCCAACCTTTAGGCTCCCTTCCCGGCTACACAAGACCAAACTTGTGTGACGGACCTTCCATGTGACGGACCTGCCTACCGGTATCGTGGAATGCGGTCCACGGCGGGGTCCCGGGCGGTGGCGGGGTGGGGGCTTGGACCGTCTTACGGCGCCACTTGCTCTCATGTGTTGTGGAAGGCGCTTGGAGTGATTGCAGTGTGGTGGAAGTGTCCTACTTACCCGTGCATGAAGATGAGTCGAGCACTACCGTATTGGTCTGGGTCATGCATAAGTCGCGTGCTTGCCCTGGTCCGTCATCCATTCATTCATCCCGCTATTGGACTGTTGCTGGTGGATGGGAAACGCGAGTATGTACCCGTTGTACCGTTGTTGGAAAGGGTGGAGGTGAGTGTGGAGAAGGATGCCCACCCATGCAAGCGGGGATTGGGCTAGAAGGCTGTCGCATGTGAATTCGTGGGAAAGGATTGCAACCGGCGTGAAGCGTTCCTGTGTCGTGAAGGCAGTTGCGAGTTGATGAAATGAGTGGGGTTTCGTTCCTGTAAGGTGCATGTTGTGATCCGGCATACCGGTGTGCCGATGTACGGTATACGTTTTTGTCGCCTCGAAGCAGCGTGCATCGTGCAACTCGTCCGTATTGCTATTGTAGCTTAGTTCATGATATGCCAGCCTCTGGCACTGTGTAGGCACTGTGTTTGGAAGTTACGAGGTATAGTCGTTGACGGCATTACCGTACCGGTACTGTACGTGGGTACTCTTTTGAGGCTGGTCCGACGCACGTTATCCTTGCATGCATCTGAAGATTCTGAACGCGTCCTTGATGCTGCCGGTACGGACTACCTTTTGAAGCCTACCGTGGATTAAGTGTATCTCGTCACATCACATACCGAACCGGACCGTATGTCGTGCCGTACCGTGATAACAATGCTGATTAAGACTGCAAGAGGCAGATGGAAGTAAATTCTGCCCCTTTTCCTCCTGGAGGTCAGCCACCGCCGCGTAAATTCTGTCCCTTTGTCCTTTCCTAAGAGACGGCTGTTGTCATGTCAGTGCTGTTTCGGTTGTTTTCCCGTTGAGACTACGGCGGCCGCATCATGTATGCGTTGTATGGTATTGTACTGCATTGTCGCGCTGTGTTGTACAGTTGCTGTCCTATACTGCCGTACACTGTCCTAAACTGTTGTATGCATGCGTAAATATGGGTATGCAGCTTTGCGGCGATGTGCATTGGCTGTGGAGGAGGGTTCATGTTTGTAAGGCTGCATGTTCGCAAACATGACCTGCCCTCCCTACCATCAGGACAGTTACGGGGTTGTGCCAGGAGGGATACTTGGCAGAACGAGATTGTTTGTTGATCCTTGCCTGTTGGTATGAAGCCTAAGAGATAAAGGATCCCACGGGTAACAACGGAGTGAACTCCTAGCGTAAGGCGACCATAATCGCCGGACATGACCCACCATCGCCCTTCTGTCCATATGTGTGTGAACAGCGTAAGGTTACTCCCTGAATCCCATCAGTAATGACCACATTTACCTGGCCGCGAGGCGAAACGTACTGTGATTGCCGAAAGATGAAGTCCTCCCACCGAAAACGCCTCAGGTGAAGTGAAGTCCGTTGGCTATGTTGTAATAGAGCTATCGAGTAGTACCGTGTGCATGTCCTATGTTTTGTCCTTGTACATTCTGTATGTAGGTCGAGGGCATGCGAAAAAACCCGTCAGCTTCGCAGACACCGGGGCTCGCCCCCTTTTTAAAATTCAAACTCGCTGTCAAGTCTTGCCTAGGACATATCGGTGCCGGCTTCGTTGGAACGGAATGGAGGGAGGTCGTACAGTTGGGATGCGTATTACATGTTAGTGCTATGCGTAGAAAGCGTCAGTGCGGTCCGTGGGCGTGCCTGTGTGACCCTGCTTCCCCGTGATTCGACGCGAGGTTTGGCGGTGTGTAGAGCTAGTGGAAACGGGAACAAGGGTCGACAAGAGCAAAACCCTAGCTGCACCACCAGCCTCCTCTATCCCAAGTTCCCAACGTATGCATGCAGGCGCACCACAGGACATTTGCTAAAATAGTCCGCCATGCTTGAAAACCTAGGTTGGCCCACCGTCATCAAAAGACGAGCGCAGTGCGTCCAGTTATCACGCGCCATTGAAACACAGTCAAACAGCCTGTTAGCAAGGAGGGGTACGTTGTCCCACCTGTTGCGTCATGTTCAAGAGTATGCCAATAATATAACCCAGACGTCATGCTGCGTGAAGAAGATGTAGCCACGGTCACGAAGGGCCTCTCTGAATTGCATGCCGGTGGCAGGGATGCGCGCGGCGTCACAGCCGTCCAGTTGTGCTTGGAGCGCTGCCTCGGTCTGTATGCTGCTACACGCCTGGTGCAAGTCGTGGCTCGAGGGTGGCAAGGCGGGGTGCAGGGATGGCAGTCTTTGAGGGTTTGGTTCGGTTGGGTGTGTGTATGGGGGGTGTTCCTGTCAAACTTTCCCAACAGTTTCAGGACACACAGCTTTAGTTCTGGGCTGGACCGCGTTATGATATTGTACACCTGGCTGTGTCCAGCAGTTCGGGCTTGACGTGCAAGCTCTGTCACTATGGCATCTGCGACCTGCTTGTGGGTTTTAAAGCGTGGGTGTGATTGCTCTGGCATGCACAGCATTTGTGCGGCTAACAGCACCTGGTCGCACAACTTTAGCGATGCTGTTGGGCTAGATTGAGGTTGGATTGGCGATTGAGGCGCGGTTTTGGTTCGTTGGGTGCTTGCATGCTGGCGGCTGTTATGTGCGGGGTCTGGCAGTGGATGTGCTGTGGTGCTTCGAACAACTGGTTCGTAATGACCCGCATAAAAGGCTAAGTGCAGTTGTTTCCTAGTTGTGCTGCAAGTCACCTTATTTGGTCACGAATCCTTATTGCCCATGCAGGAGGAGGTACGGCAGGTCCTCCAGATCCGTTATAGCGAGGTGGTCCTCAAGCCCTTTATCCTGCAGGGCGAGGTCGTGTCCAGCGGATCTTCGTCAGCTCCTTTGCGTTACCCTACGCGTCGCGACCGACTTGCAACACCGAGCTGTTCGTGGACAAGGAAACTCTGGCTGCGCCGGCGGGGATTATGGGGCCCGTCCCCAGGGACGGCGGCGTCTAAGTTACACATCAACTTGTTGGGTGCTATAGGCGCTCTTGGAGTGGATTGGTTGCATGATCTTACTGAAGTGCACGTGGTTTGCCGTCTCTTCCCAATCTCTGTTCTTAGTGCCAATTTGTTTGATAATATGTTATTACTGGCTAAGATGCAAAATTCTTAAATTTCGTGCTACCGTATGATGGCATGCAATTAGCCTTGGCTAACGAGTGACTATGCCGCATGCATGCTGCCCCAGGCCGGAGGTATCCTGGAGGCGCATATCGGCTGCTTTGCGTGCGGCCGTGTCAAGGATCATCTTGCGATTATGGCAGAGTACGAGTTCGATTTGAGCGGCACTGTCGGCAACCGCACCACGAGCGAGCTCAGCCGCCTGGGCTTTGTGGCTGAGCTTAAGTTCTCCTGCACGGACAGCATGAAGAACCTGTGGCATGATAGGTTGGGTTTACGCTTTTGTGTGTTTACCCACTTGTCGGCGAATGGGTTTGTAGCTGTAGTCCCACTTATTGGGGGCTACAGGTTTGGTTGCGGTGTGTTTTTGAACATGCCGGCGCTGCTTGGGGAAGGGCTTGAACAGGCGACCTGGCATGGGGCGGGTTCGACACTGTCGTCCCATGGGTCGGTTGACGGTTTGGGGTCAGCGGGCCAGGAAGCGGAGGCTCAGCGTGGTTTCCGTTGGGACAATTGGCTCAGAGAGGCCAGTGTCAGTGGGAATTCGTTGGTCCCAGTGAGTAGCGCCTCGCTGAGCGTGTTTTCCTGCTTCTCAGCGGGGTAACGGCTTGTTGGTCGGTTGTGGTCAACGGTGGCCGGTTTTTGGCTCACCGGGGTTTGGAATTAGTATAAAAGGGCGTAGTTTTCTTGTCTCTGGACCTTTTAAAGTGAAAGTGGCCTAAGTGCCGGCTGGGGTCGGTCAGGGCAGCCTTAACCCTCTTTCTGCTGCGAGGCGTTAGACGCCGAGCGTAGCGAGGCTCTAGCCTCGGAGATACAGCCACACCCCACTGTACGACAAAAAAAGTCGCACACATGCCGGGCCCCAGGGCTAGGCGCGACCCCCCATGCGGCGTGAAAGGGCAGCATAAGAGTCGGGGGTTTGAATCAAGCGTCATATACACTATGCAGGAAGGCCGGGAACTTGCACTCGTTCGCCTTTGACCAGCTCTCACCGACGCGAAACCTGATCTCGATGGGTTTTGACGTGCGCTAAATTTAAAGCATAGAGTGAGCTAGCGACTGCAAGTGAGAAATCCATAGGGTTCTCGCGTATCCGTCAGAATGAGCACGGCAAACGGTTACCGGTCAAAAGTCGTCGCGCTGAAAATAGGTACCCCCGAAATACCATCCCAGACCGTTTTTACTTTATAAAGTTAAAGAGCACTATGTCCACGATAAAGCTACGTTGGCAATAGCGTCTAAAACGCTCTCTTCGCGCGGAGCGCTAATTGCCTCCCGACCCGTGCCACGTCTCGGAACTGAGAGGCAAACGCCAATCTATTGTCTTAATACGTATCTTCACTCGTAGCAAAAGAAATCCGCATAGGCAGCGAAACCTTAACTGCGCCCTTGCCAATGCTCGCTCCGACTGGTTCCTACACATCTCAGAACACGCCGCCGAACATGGATAGTCGTTCTACGGGTAACCACGATATAGAAAATGTGAAGAGTTGGCCGATTGGAGTTCTTTTCTTGGGTCGCGCGCACCGCGATGACATCTCACGGCTCGGAACGCTTTGCGAAAAGCCTCACCTTCCTTACCAGTTAAAAGCGACACTACTATAACTCTCTTGAGTATGTCATCTGTCGATTGCCGCTTCCTCGGTTACCCTTCTTGCTACTCGGCTAGCCGGTGGTTGCACCCGACCAACCTGGGTGCAAACCTCCCTTAATTGCTGCCCCCCTTACCATCCAAGGAGCTTGACTCTGCGTTCCTTCCCCTCTGCACCTGGCCATCGGGTGCAGGCCCCCCCCCCCCCCCCCCCCTTTCTCACCCTCGCTCCTCCATGCCCCCTCAACTTGGCAGACGTCCCCCCCCCCCCCCCCCCCCAAGGGACTCTTCCCGCCAACATAGTCTGCGTCACCAATGAACCCTTCCATTCCACCCCATCTGTATACCCACATACCATGCCCCAGACGTCTGCCAAGCGCCCTGACGTTCTTGCTGATGAAAAGCGAAACCACCACGGCACTCTCTAGTAAGGTCCCTATAAATTGGCGCCGTCTCGGTTGCTCCTCTCGGTGAGTATCCCCTAACCCACCGCTCGCACCCGGCCACCCTGCCACCCGGTTAGCAGATAGCGCACTTCCTCCCTAAAACACCCCTCCTGCCTCTCCAGAAACACGTCCCTTTTGCAGCGAGCTGGCAGACATCTTCACATGACCAATCGACCTCTCCACCGCCCATGCCCTCATTCCACCCCACGTACAACACCAGCTGTGCCACACCACCTGCTCCTTTCACGCCCGACATCCCACCACGGACGCTTTAATTTTATTGTTCATCATCACCTGCCCTCTCCGACATGCTCCCCCTCCCACACACACCCCCCACACACACCCCACTTCCCCCCGCCTCCCCCCTCCACACCACCCCCGCCCCGCCGTCCAGCCCCCAACGCCTCGCAGTGTCGGCGCGCGCGCGCGCCGCTTAATATGGACTAAGCCTCCAACAACTGGACTCGGACTTGGACTCATCCCCGTGACACGCGTGGAGACTGGAAGGACCTTTCGCGTCTGGACATCAAGCACTGCCCTACCTGGGCAGTTATACGGTTCGTTACTGGTAGTTATACACCGGTATCCCAACTGTCATCACGTACAGCCTTAGGTTTGACCAATCGGCCTTAGTTAGGTCCCGCATTGGCATCCCTGAGCCTGCTCTTTCAATCTTAGGTCGAATTACCGTCCCCGTAGCTCGTTGAAGGAAACGTACTTTTGTACGGTTCCGGAGCGAAGCTAAGGGAAGCATAGACGGTCTCCGTGGTCACGCTCCAGGGAGGGAAACCTTGACTAACGCACTTCTAACCGCTTTCAAACGGCGAGAGCTAAACGTTCAGCTTCCCGTGCAGCGCTAATGACGTCCAGTAGTTTTCGGACTATTGTTTCAGCAGGGAGTTAAGAATTGGCAAATATTCGCGGCCTAGTTGTGGCTTGCAGGCGCCAATTACGTCCGACGATGACACATTATTGTCTGCATATATCAAGCAAACAAACACAGCGAAAAATTCATTGTAGCAAGCTGTTGCTGGACGTAGGAAAATGCTCGATGACAGCCAGTGAGACGTCTATTAGGGTGCGCTAGCTACTAGAGTTGTCACATTTAGGACATAGCGGACCTCGGAACTAACAGTGGCGCTTCGACAGGAAGCTGGACGGCGGTGGGGTGTCGGCGACGTAGTCGTGCGTCCGTCCTTCGATGACGTGCCGGCCTTCGC